TTTATTTATAACAAGCCGCACTGCGCAGCCTTGACACTGACGAGATCCGAGATCCGTGGGCCTAGAAGCCAGGGGCCAACTCAAGGTTATGGCCTAGGCAACTTGGATACTCCGCAAGTGTCCAATCTTTCGCCCAGCAGCCGCCTGCAACTTTGTTCGGCGCTAATTTATAGTTTACCCCGACTGTTTGGCTTTCGACCGAATTGCTGCGGGTAATTGCCAGGATTTTTCCTTTATTTCAAATCCAATTTCTGTTTTATGACGGTGAAACGACGTGCTGGGGGCTTTACTTTATATTGGAGTCCAATAATTCTCTATTCTTACTTGATCATCAAATTAAAAAACGAAGTATATATTTTTTACAAAATAATAATTTAACCTTTTCTCTGGCTAACTTACAAATATTTTCTGTGACTTCATAAAACCTCTTTTTACCACCCTAAAAAATCTGTATTTTCGCCGACATATTGGCAAAAAAATAACTAAAAGAGGATTTTTTTGTTCAAAGTCTTAAAAATATTCATTTTGAATTGTACTGGTTTTAAAGCAGTTCAAATGTGGATCGTCTTTTTACATTTTAAAGCAGTGAGTTTCATGTAAAATGTATGTAAAACAGGACTACTTTCAAAAAAAATCCGCTAGATGGAGTATTTAAACACTGCTTGTAAAAATCGGAAAAGTGGAAAAAACTGCTTTGAAAAGAATATATTAAGTTCTATCGATAAAAACCCGGTAAAACAACGAAAGTTCAAATAAATAGAAAGCAAAATAAGAGTATTTCGATAAAATAAAAAATGATAGAATAGATAGAATAAATAATGGGGCGCCGAGCTGCAATTTGACGATATGGAACACCTGTCTTTTATGTCTTTATCAATATACGTTTTACACCACTTACGTGATTTCTGTGGATAAATTAAAAATTATTCAGGATAATTTTAATTACAATTTATTTACCATGTTATATTTAATTGCTAGATTAAAAGAAACAGTTTCATATTTCTATTCAATATAAATTAGTAAAGAAAATTTTATAAAATTAATAAAAAGTGGAACTTTTATATTTAATTTATTTTTAACAGGGCTCGCTTCTAAAATAAAATTAAAATTGTATTTCTTTCATGCACTCATATCTATTTATTTATATATATCCAATATATGAAATCAAATCTTCTACATCCGATACAAGAAGCACTCTACGACACCCAGTCTCACTCATTCATTAAATAATTATTTAAAATAAAATAAAGTGCCATATTGGGCATCAAGATCTGACAGCGCCCCGGGATAAATTCAGCACTTCGCAGGCTCCCAAAATCCGAGTTTTATTAACACAAACAAGGCATTAATATCAATTTTGGTTTCACTTGAGTGGTGAGCAGATAATTGGGGGTCAGCAGCTGCTGTTGAGTCAGGTTCTCCCGATCTGCCCCCGATTGTCAGAAGAAATCAGCGCCAATTGGCTTCAAAGCAAATATTTGCCTCGAGTGGCAGTTAAAGCTCGTTCGGCGATAATGACAGGGATGATCGGGGATTTGGGATATGGTATATGGGATCCGGGATCCGAGGAACTGCTGCTGCTTTTCACACCATGTCGGTTGAAAAGGTGCGATCGCTTGGCACACCTTTGGCCCATCTTCCTCGTTGGCTGTGTCAATTCCGGGAATGTCAGGGATTTCGGCTCCAGTCAGGCAATAAAACGTTGCTGCAAATTAGCGCTTTATTGCGTGTTTGTTTGGTCAGAGGTAAGCCAAGCGGAAAAGGATACCCAGTCAATCTGTTGACTCTTTGCGAGACCCGTTAAATTCTTGTTAAGACAAGGGCCGAGTGCAAATTATAGCCGGCGGCCAAGAAATTTATTGTGAGGGGCATAATAGCAGCAGAACAGCAGAGAACTCTCTACCCCACATCGTACATAATTCATATAATCCGCATAATATATGTAAGCTTTTATTGACATTTGAAGCACCTGCTTGAGGATTCGCCCGCTCAGCGTTTATCACACAACTATTTACACGTCATCGTCGTCATCGCAGATGATGACTTATCGTCTTCTTGGATCCTTGGAGTTATTATCCTTATAGGCATTTCACATAGCTCAGCTATCGTCCTGTAGGCCTGGCTATTTTGGCGCCACTAGCGCCTTATCACATGTGTTTTCGGTATTTTTAGGGAGTACCAGTTCCAGTGTTTCCAGTTGTGGGCATGCCCCGTGATGATACCCTAGACGGTAGCGAGTTCGCCGCTCAGGCACTGCGGGGTATACACGTTGGCCAGAGAGTCCCAGCCACAGTCGGCCAGCTGGTGAGTCCTGTGCGGATTCCAGTCCAGGCCGCAGACGAACTCCGTGTGCTGGGCATTGATCTCCTGGGCGGACTCGCCACGCTCCAGATTCCAAATCCTAAGGGGAGGAAAGAGAATGATATTTTTAAAACCCATATTTATACCAAGAAATAATAGAAAAATTCAACTAATCCACAAAAAATAAAGGAGCATCCTAAATTAATTCTCAATCTTCTAACAAAATAATCATTTGAAATTTCCTATCAGTTCTAAAAGGCTTTTAATTTTGTTAGCAGAACAAAAACAGAAAAATGATGCTCTTGATTTTGACTGACTTTTTTAATATTTCTTCCAGTTGTAATGACCTGGTAGACCCTTGAAATTGATCATTAAATAAATCTCGGTCTTTCTCAATTAATTCTAGTATTTTGAGAATGATTAAAAATATTAAGATCTTAATTTTACATGATTTTCTAAATAATTGATCATTAAATAAATCTCGTTCTTTCTCAATTAATTTTAGAATTTTGAGAATGATTAAAAATATAAAGATCTTAATTTTAGATGATTTTCTAAATAATTGATCATTAAATAAATCTCGTTCTTTCTCAATTAATTCTAGAATTTTGAGAATGATTAAAAATATTAAGATCTCAATTTTACATGATTTTTTGATTAATTATTCTAAATGTAGTGCCCTCCCTGCTATTATGGAACCTGTAATCCTCTCTTATTTATTGATAAACTATTCCATTTCCCTTTTAAATGCATCTACAATCTTAGGAAATTGCTAAAATATGCCCTTCTTAATTTTCTCCACTTTTCTCTCCTTGTTGTAATAACTTCCCTTCCCATAGAGAACCTCCTAACCCCTACTTACCGTGTGGTGAAATCATAGTTTGCCGATGCCAATACCGCTGCCGAGTGCGGTGAACAGGCCAAACGACGGACAGCGAATTCCCCGGAGTACAGCTCAAAGACGTGGGTCCTCATCTTGCGCAGATCCCATCCGCGGATCAGGCCATCCGATCCTCCGGTGACCAGGACATTCCGGTCGAAGTGCGACCAGTCGCAGGAAAGGGCCTCGCTCGAATGCGCCTCGATGCTCATCAGGGGTTTGCCTGCAAAGTCAAGAGAATTCCATAAGTTCAAGTGTCCATCGGTACTCACGCTAGCAAAGAGATTGGCGATCAGGGGCGAGAACTTGGCCCCGTAGATCAGATCGCTGTGGCCCACAAAGGTGGTGATGGAGTTCTGCCTGTTGCAGTCCCACAATTTCAGAGTGCAATCCCAGCTGGCCGAGAGCAACGTGTGGTAGTTCCACTTCTCGCCCCAGTCCAGGCTGTAGACCTCGTTCTTGTGCTCCTGCAGGCAGATCAGCGGCTGCTTAGGCGTCTGCTGGTTGGCCGCCGATTCGCCGTCCAATCCGCACCAGATCTGGAGCGATCCATCCCCGGAGGCGGTGGCTGCGATGTCGGCGGCATAGGGACACCAGGCGACGTCGAACAGCCCATCGGACCACTCCAGACGGCACAGCTCCCCGAGGTTCTGGTCATCTGAGGCGGTCTGATCGGAGTTCTGTTCGAGCAGAAAGAGGGAACCACCTCCAGCAAGACCGTACAGTTGGCTGGGGAATTGAGAAAATAATATATGGTTAGTTTATAGTTCAGTTTGGGGTCTTATAAGTGGTCTCACCTTGTAGCTAGCAGCAAGTAGTTTGCCTCGAAGGGCGAGAAGCGCAGGCTATAGCCATGTCGGTCTGTGGTGGTGTGTCTCTGAGTTTGCATTTTATTTAGGTATCTCAACTGCAAAGATATAAAGGAATTTATTAAGATAAGTATTTAGAAACAATTATCAAAAATAAGGTTACATTTTCCGAACTTAAATTAACAAGCAATATGCCTATTTGGTTAAGCTTCAATGAAGGAATTAAAGAAATTTATTAGAGATAGTCATTATAATAATCCAAAATAATGAGGTTGAATTGCTTTTAGATTAACAGTCAACATTAGTTTTTAGTTGTATTTTGAATACAGAATTTATCCACAATTTTATTGTTAATTTTCATTTTTTGATCAATTTATTGCAATTAATCTTTTAACAATTGTAATTTTAGGAACACATATAAGGAAGATCTTTGACATCTTATATATATATTTTGTATTATCTATTATATTTATTACAAATATTCAGAGTTTAATATTTTCAAATTTTCAGCAATAAGATTCCTAGATTCAAACCACAACTAATCCTCAAACAGACAAATCAATATATCGATGTTTGATCTTTAACCAAATTAAAACTTTTGGGGCTTCCCCTGCTGGACAATAGAAAGTTGGCTAAGAAGAACAAGACTGATAACAACCCGGTAACAGCGAATCAGATGCTAATCCTGGCGAGGCAACTGAGACCTCCCAATTATTCAACAGTTGGCCCGATGACCTCGCTGTAGGTCGGAATGGGAAAATACTTGACATTAGCCAATTTGCTCGGGCAAGTGGCAAACTGCGCAGAAAAATAGACCAACCCCCGGGGAAGCAGCTTGTTTGCAGTTTTTCCTATGTTCTATTCTATTTTCTATTTAGCTATTTTCCCATTTTTTGTCATGTCCAGCAAACAACCGCATAACGCGCAAATCCAGTTAGTGGCCAGAATGAAGAAGACCCACGGACAGGGCCAATGGAAAGGTATATAAGCAGGTTGCACGGAACTTGGGTTTCGCATTTTCCTCCGCCGAACGGAAAACTCAATAACGCGCATCGCTAAATTAGAAATTTGCATCAAAGGAATCTAGGAGCCAAACAGGAACTCTAATCCACAATGGTTGTATCCGTGAAGGTCTTCAAGAAGGCCACGCCCAACGGCAAGGTTACCTTCTATCTGGGCCGCCGCGACTTCATCGACCATCTGGACTACTGCGATCCCGTGGACGGGGTCATCGTGGTGGAACCGGACTACCTGAAGAACAGGAAGGTCTTTGGCCAACTGGCCACCACCTATCGCTATGGTCGCGAGGAGGACGAGGTCATGGGAGTGAAGTTCTCCAAGGAATTGATTCTGTCGCGGGAGCAGATCGTTCCGATGACCAATCCGAACATGGAGATGACTCCGATGCAGGAGAAGCTGGTGCGGAAGCTGGGCGTGAATGCCCATCCCTTCACCTTCCACTTTCCGCCCAATTCGCCCAGCTCGGTGACCCTGCAGCAGGAGGGCGACGACAATGGGAAGCCCCTGGGCGTGGAGTACACCATCCGGGCCTTTGTGGCCGACTCCGAGGACGATCGGCAGCACAAGCGCAGCATGGTCAGTCTGGTGATCAAGAAGCTCCAGTATGCTCCCCTTAATCGAGGACAACGCCTGCCCAGCTCGCTGGTCAGCAAGGGATTCACCTTCTCCAACGGCAAGATCAGTTTGGAGGTCACTCTGGATAGGGAGATCTACTATCATGGCGAGAAGACCGCCGCCACCGTTCAGGTGTCGAACAACTCGAAGAAGTCGGTGAAGAGCATCAAGTGCTTCATTGTGCAGCACACCGAGATCACCATGGTGAATGCCCAGTTCAGCAAGCATGTGGCCCAGCTGGAGACCAAGGAGGGCTGCCCCATCACCCCGGGCGCCAATCTGACCAAGACCTTCTACCTGATTCCCCTGGCGGCCAACAACAAGGATCGTCATGGTATAAATGTCGAGGGAAGATGGGTATTTGAAGCTTGCTAATTGGTTATCTCTTTTCCTAAGGTATTGCCCTGGATGGTCACCTCAAGGACGAGGACGTCAATCTGGCCTCATCCACCATGGTGCAGGAGGGCAAGTCCACTGGAGATGCCTGTGGTATTGTCATCTCGTACTCGGTGCGCATCAAGCTGAACTGCGGCACTCTGGGCGGCGAAATGCAGACGGATGTGCCCTTCAAACTGCTCCAACCGGCACCGGGTAAGTTGTATATATGCTAACTGCCACTTAACCTCCGGTTAACCCTCTTGATCACTTAGGAACCATTGAGAAGAAGCGCTCGAACGCCATGAAGAAGATGAAGTCCATCGAACAGCACCGCAATGTGAAGGGCTATTACCAGGACGACGATGACAATATTGTTTTCGAGGACTTTGCCAAGATGCGCATGAACAACGTCAACATGGCCGACTAATCATTATCTATAGCTTTGTTGTGAACCGGAAAACGGAACCGAATTTAACCAAACCGAATCGAAAGCACTGAAAACTTGTTGCAGCAGTCTCTCGTGGAGGCCACAATCTTTGTATTATAACCGTATCTCTATAACGCTCTCTGTGTAGTAACTTTGGTGGATCTGGAGTTTGTACCCGTACATATGCATGTTGAAGTGTTGAACCGACCTCGTGTCCCTACTATATTATAAATGTGTTATGCCTAACTAGTACTAACCTTTTTATCGTTGCGATGGAGTATCCAAAGGGGGTTTTTGTTCGGTAGAGGAGCTGTTGGTATAGTGGTGCTGTGGGTTTCAACTTCAGAAGTCGAATGATCAGCCTAGCTGCTCAGCTCGACAACGAAGGATCTGTTTCTCTGGATTTTAGGGGTGATTCGTTGACAAGGGGTTGAAAAGCCCACTGCTTATAGGTCACAAGCAGAGGCTTTCAACCCCTGGAGAGAAAAGAAGCAACAGGCTGTCAGGATATTTGAACGACCAATCAGGACGAAGTGGAACTGGATATGGCCGGGAACTCTAACGGTCAACGGAAGTTCTTGAAAAACAAATGTTGACAATGAAATTGCCGAAACTTTTCATATGCTAAATAGTCCAACTCTATGACCTTGATGATGGCTAAGGCCGCCAGCTGCCGTCAGTTTGATTCTAGGTCTCATCTCTACCGCCTGATTTTCCCCTATTTTCAGTTTTACCTTTTTTGTGCTATTTTATGCTTATTTATCTTATATAAGCAGCTGACCGTTGGAGCATTGCACAATCCGGGGCAGCTTCGATCGATTTCACACACCGCTGACTGCTGGGCAAGTGACTTCCGGCTTTTGGCCACCTCTCCTCTGAGAGCCAAGCCCCAAAAGCCAAAGTGGCCAACTATAAATGGCTATGTTGTTGTCAAAATGCTGCCACAAATTTGACGAGAGTGCAACGCGATGGAGCTGCCAATTGGGAAGTTATTCGGTGTGTTGCATCTAATGTTGCTCGTTTCGCCGGCAATGTTGCAGCAACAACTGTTCTACCATCCCAGGCAATTGTACAGCGATTCACCGCGTCTGCGAAGATTCGAGTATGCAGCTGCCACGCCCTTTGTGGGCGGTGGCTACAATCCAGTTGCTCCTCCGCCGCCGTCGGCGTTGCACTACCAACAGCAGACACCGCACTTCCAGCTAATCAACTATCGACCCAGCTATCAGCCGTTGGCCCTGGAGTACCAGCAACAGCAGCTGCCCGCTCCTGCCCCGCCCCTGCCGCCCCTCTATCCGCAGCAGAGTGTCCAGTATCAGCAGAGGACTATTGCTCCCCACTCCGAGTTGGCCAAATATCGCTATGAGGGGAACTATCTGCCGGTGCAAAGGATCGCCCTGCAGCAGCAGCAACCTCAACGTCGCGCCGAGGAGCAACTACAGCAGCAGCAGCAGCAGCAACACTTGTTGCAACAACAGCAGCAGCAGCAACTCTACAATGTGCCACCGGCTCTCTTCACCAGCGATGTGCTGCATGTGATTCCACCTCGCATTGCCAGATTGCAGGAACAGCAGCAGCAACCCTCGCAGAATGTCCAAACCGAGCGACCCAGAAGGTTTGCCAAGGATCTGGACACGGATGTTGCTGAGAGCAAAGGTCACCAAAACACCGATCGAAGCGGCAAGGAAACCAAATACTTTCAGTAAGAAAACTGTGAGGGAAAATGGGTGGTTAAAATCATTCAGAAAATACATTATCAAGCTGTTTCTGTCAGCAAATTTAACTTGAAAATGGGTGTAATTTTTCTAAAAAAAAAAGGTGGTACACCCAAAAAAAAGTAGTCATCAATATGCCCCTATTTAGGTGTCAATGTGACACTATTGAGTGGAAAAAAATCTTTGATCCGAACGTCATTAAATTGACCCTATTCTGGTGTCACTTTAATACTTTCGAAAATATTAATTTGACCCCTTTTGGTGTCAAAGAGCCACTAGCCGGTGTCATTTTCTAAGTATTAAATAAAATTTGACATTTGCTTGAAAGCTCCTGTAACCATTCTGCCATGGCAAAAATTAATATGGGAATGGCTCAGGGGCCAAGGCGCTTGGTTCTCATATTATTTTGTGCTCGGGGGAACGAGGTTCGAATCCCGCTCGCAACACCATTATTTTTTTTTTTTTTTATGAGTAATCTAACACAACTTAACATTTTTGTTCTTAAAATGATATATATGCATTTTAAAAACTTTTTACCTACTATGATTTATCTGGGTTTCGAACCGGGGACCTCTCGCATCAGAGGCAGACGCCTTACCAACTGGGCCATCGAACCATTTTGCGCGCGAGCGAACTCTTGACAAGTATAAACAAAATCGATACTCGAGTAAAACATCGCCGAACTTCGAACTTCGAAAATCAAAAATGATAATTATTGGGATCGATGTGAACCTAGTTTTATCAAAATGACACTATTTAGTATCAAATACGATTTTTCTAAAAACGCGGTGTACTTTTGACACTCATTTGGGAGCAAATTGACCCCAAAAATTTGATCCTAGGGGCAGTGTCATTTTAACCCACAGTTATTAAATTGACACTCAGGATTTTTTTTTTGGGTGTAGTTAATTTTTATAAAAAAGTCATAGGATTTTCTGGAAATCAATCTTTGAAAATGGTGGTTGTTTAATTCAGGCACACAAGCAATTATTCCTAGTACCCAATTACTCTCCTCTTACATTTTTGATAGAAAAATTGTATAGGAAAAAGGGTGAAAAATGTGTAAAATCTTAGGACAAAATGGTGGTGGCTGCTTTAATTGAAAAGTATAATTAGGCAAGTCCAATTACTTTGTGATCTTATTTTTATTATTTTTATTTTACTTTAAAATATATTTTATTAACTAGAAACTCCTAAACCTTAAATACTAATTTCTAAATTTAGTGACATTTTCATGCGCTTTGATGGCCCAAATTCGCGGAGTCACGGTCACGTCCTCAAGCATCCGAAGTCCCAGGAAAAGCGATTTGAGTCGCAGCGAGGCACGAACCGCTACAGGGGCGAGGTGAGCTTAAGCATTATAATTCCAATAAATTTCCACATAATTCGCCAGGCTTTCTCCCGCTCCCAAACTCCTAGGTGATTTGGACGGATCGTCAAGGAGGCCACGGCGAGCACCGCTGGGACATGGCGCAAGGAAAACTCTAGGAGCAGACCTTGATTTGCATACCCCTTCCTCTATCATTCCCCTCCCCCTAACTAACTCTGTACATACCCATCGGAACTCTTGCATAAATCGTGACTTTTCATAATTTTGGCGTATTATTTATTTAAGGGCAATGATTTGGCGTGAAATTCGAAAGAGCACTGCAAAAGATTAGCATACGAATGTAGGAATCTCAGCTTGCTTCTTTTCTTGGGTCATCTTTGAGATTTTCTCACGCCGCTCTGGAAAAGTGGACTGTCCAACCGGTTACACGAGTTCGCGGGCAATGGGCCATCCCGAAAAGGTCAACTATCCTTTGGCTGGAAACTGGTTCTGGGCAGTGACCCGAATGTCCTGCAGTCGCTTAGTTACAGGACAAGACAGTCAGTCAGTCGGTCCATCATGCGGGTCGGATATGTAAATGCGTCTTCTCCTTGGCAGTTCGAAGGGGTTGAAGGTCGTTAGGGTCTTATCTGCCCTGTAAGTCGTAAGTCTTGTAACCTCGGGGGTTGCATTCGTCGCTCATTTGCATATCTCCAAGTCGGTCGAAGGCAAATGACACAAATGCCCTGCGGACAGGCCTAATGTCCAGTTGTTTGTCCTGCGTCTTGGGTGCGAATGACCATGCACATGTTCGGGATCCTTACATGTCCTTAGATCAATACTCAGTATACTCAGGATATATGCAAATGGGTTGCAGCCCCTTTGATCCGCTATGCGGGTCATTAACGAAGCGATCGGCGCTGGCTGTCAGTCATCGCACCTCCAGACTGTCCAGAACCGGTTCGTAATCGCCGCTCTTGGTCTCCTGGTCTTCTTCTTGGGCGATAAGGTCATCAAGGCGATCAAGGGCTGCTCAAAGTTCTCACACGCTCCTGTAATTTATGCAAGGACACTGCAGAAGGACACTGCGATGCGACTGCGATGCGATTGCGATTGCTATTGCTGTTGTGGCGTGAGGTTCCCAAAAGGACAACCGGTCTGACCGGTCCACCCGGGTCCGAATCCAAATCCGTGTCTTCGGTGACCACGATCCACGGCCTCTCCGGTGGGAACTTGGGAACCATTCGATGGCCTTTGTCAGCAACTGCCCGAACGGGTTGTCCTTAGATCATCTTCTTCTTCGGGTGTCACTGGGATCTTGGTCCGCTTCCTTTGTGAGCTTTGCCAATTGCTCGGGGGTTAGGCCATTGATTTATACGAAAATAACATTTGTTTACCTTCGAGTTGGCAGACATCGGTGTGACCTCAATTTGGACATTCGGGTGCAGATTGTGTTTCAATATTAATTTTATTTTAGGAAACTGGGAAGGTGGTGTAATAAAAAAATGGTGAGTAAAATCATAAGGCTGATTGGAAAATTCAGCTTAATCCAAACAACAAGATTTTTAGGTAACAAACTGTATTTTTTGGGAAATTTGTCTAAAAGAAATTTTATTCAAAATGATTGAATTTAATTTTTGTTTTGTGCTTGAAAATTATAAAATTTTTTTTTAATTATTGCAGCAAAAAATAAAGTCAAATAAATGTTAAAATCTCCAACTATAAAATACAATTCCACCTTTTCTTTTTTTTTTTTAACTAAAAACAAAAAACACTTTCTACGTTTTTTCCAAATTTTTAATTTAATATTCTAAACAAGAAAGTCGAACCTAAATGAATGACATAAAATAGAATAATGTTATAATCTCGTGCCAATCGAGTCTCGGCATATTTACAAACTACATGGACTTGCGGAACTTTCAAGAGTGTTTCGACAAGAGTCGCCGATCTGATGGGATCGCATCCCCATGATTGCATCCCCTACTGGTGGTACTGGTGGTACTGCGGCTGCTGGGGCTGCTGGTGCTGATACTGCTGCTTGCTGGGACCGGAGCTGTACTCCTGCTGCGACTTGTGGCCTCCAGCGCGGAGCAGCTGCGTCGGCGGCGGGGGAGTGGGGATCTTCACCACGATGTCGGTGGGCTCGCGGATGACCTCGGCCTTGAATCCCTCCTTGGGATCAGCCGTGTACTTGACGGTGCGGATGAAGCCATCGGAGTCCACCACCGAGTAGCTGCCCTTGATCACCGAGCCATCGCGGATCTCCTTGCGGTTCTGGTAGTTGGTGAACTCGTCGTCTTTCACATCGAAGCCAAACTGGTAAGAGGAGTTTTGCTGAAAAAATTATAAAGCAAAACGTTAGCCATAAAAACTTATGCTCAAAATATTTGAAAGTTAATATTTGGTTTACAAAATATATAATATAATTTTGAAAGGGTGCAATTATATTGTTTTTTAGTAGAACGTAACCAAACTTTTTTTATAGAGGGTTTTAGTCATATTTGGCTAAGTAAAAAGCTAATAAATTTATTATTTTATATTAATAAAATGAAATCAAATTTAATATGGGTTAAATAGCTTTTAAAAAAAATGTATACCCATAATAGGGAAGTTAAAATTTAATGGAGCTTACTATTAAACTCTTGCCTTATCTTGGTCATTTTTTTAAGAAATCAAATCATATTTAAGCGCTTTTTGTGTTCGATTTGGGACTTCAAACGCGTACTGCAATTCAGTGCTGACCCACTTACGTGGCTGGCCCAAAAAACGTGTCCAGACGGCGGAGGTTACGTCACCACCGCAGGCGCATGCGCGTAGGCAGTGACTGCAAATCCCAGATCACGCACAAGTGAAAGTAATTTGGACCCGCTTGCATATTTTAATGGTCCAAGCGCACGAAATCAAAGAGCCGTTGCAGCGGATCGGATCACACGATCGATCCGATGACTGCGGATTATGCAACCACCGGGCGGTAGAAGTACGAGTACCACCCATAAAAGCTCGAGGCGTTGGATAATTTATGCGCAAGGTTGTCGATTTCCCCGCCGCTTTTTTTGTGAGGATGCAGCATAAAAACAGAGAGACCTTCAGCTGGCCACGATAATCTGATCAACTGGGTTAAGGTAACCCAAAGAACGTGGCTTAAAGGCGTGGCCATCAATCGTTCTTCACGAAGCCTTTGGGCCTGACGTGGCCTAAAAATAAAAAAAAGCCAAACTACCCAAAGAACTGCAAGCCGAAAAATTGGAAAGGCAAAGCCAGTTTGCAAGCCGGTTCTAATGCGTGCAGTGTCCATTGCAACTCATTGTTCGCAATTGTGGGAATTGGGCTCGGAACTGCAGATCTTTGGGGCCGGGGGTTCGGATTGGGGTATATGGGTCGCATTTGAAAGTGATTGTCTGGCGGAGAATGCAATTGCCAACGGCAGTGTCACAGAAAAATAACTAAGAGCTATTAATTATCTAGTTAGCAAGTTGAACTTGCTAATGGAACCTTTACTGCTATGCTGATTTTATGGGTCTATAAACTTTATATGATCTCTTTAAGAGTTGTTTAAGTCACCGTGAAATTATCATAATTTTTTAAATACTTTCCAATCGACATTTTATTTATGCCATCCTGTCTTGGTCATTAATTTTAAGTGGCCAAAAAGATGACACGCCATCCGATCACCATAACCTCATCTCGTTAGCAATACGGCTGATGGATTATGGTCACTTTGGTAACGGATATTCATTCGCCAGCTTCCGCATGCAAAGGCCATAAACAATCGCCGATGGCTAAGTGGTCGGACCAGGAGCGAACTCGGAACTCGGGCCAATGAACATGCAGTACAATGCAGTGCGATATACACACACATATGGCCATGGCCAAATCCACACTGTTGCCGAGTGTGGTTAATGAACCCCGAGTCACAGTTCCCACTCCCTCCCCCGAAACCATCGCGCAATGCCATTGCATGCTTCAATTGTAATTATGTTGCTGTTGTAGATGTTGCTGTTGTAGCTGTTGCTGTTGCTGTTGCTGTTGCTGCAGCAGTTAGTGCCGCAGTGAAGCGAAAAGGAAAGTGCGCGAAAGTCCCACTTGAATCGGGGGTTCGAACTCTATCTCTGCACCGCAAAAAGAGGATCGATTTCAATTTAAAATTAATGTTATAAAATAAGTAAAATAGTATAAGAAACTCATTTACTAAATTCACTACTATCCCAATAGTTTGAAAAAGATATTTAAAAATTGTTAATATTTCCCCTTAAAAATATTAAAATATTTATTTGTGTATTCCAAACTTACGTCATCGTATTCCTCCTCCTCCTGTTGCTGCTGCAGCGACAACTTGTGCTGTCCCTTGGAACCCAAGATCGAGGTGGAAGGTGCCTGGTAAGAGGGCTGCTGAATCCTCCTCGGTGGCTGTGGAGCAGCCTGGGCAGGTGGACGATAGGCAGACTGTTGTGGCTGGGCCTGGTATTGCTGATGAAAGGGATATATCACATTGGTATAAATCTGTAAAATTCCGATTGAGTAGCTCAACCCACCTGATAATCCCTGACCGCAGGTGCCACATACTGTCCCTGCTGCTGCTGCTGTGCCCTGATTTGCTCGGCCACCGTATCCTTGATCCTGATCTGCTGCCCGGAGTTCACATACTGCTGCGTCTGCTCCGAATTCTGCTCGAAAATGGGCGTGCCATCGTTGGGCTGGGCCTGTTGCTGCTGCTGCTGGTGCTGCAGTTGCTGGTAGTACTGTCGCAAGTAGGCGGGGTCCACGCCCTGCTGTCCGCTGACCATGCCGCAGATCGCCAAAGTGGCCGCCACGAGCAGGAGTTGCATGTTGCTGGTGGTTTATTGGATGTTGCTGGTGGTTTACCGACGAGACGCGAGCACTCACTATTCAAATTCGAACTCTAACTCAAAACTGAAACCTCGGCGGAGCCACAAATGTATCTGCGCTGGCTGCGGACCCAAATTGCACTTTTATATCGACAAACACCGAGCGGCAACTACATCGCCACTCTCTCACTCTCTTTGGGCCATAGAGCGACTCTCTTGGCTGATTTACAACAGCTGTTTTTGGGTGGCTAAAACCCCCCAACGCGGCTGTCACTTCCGTTGAAATCATAGTTCCTCTACCCTCGACCTAAGCCATTGTTAAAGGTTTTTTCTCTCTTTTCTTTTTTTGTAACCCTACGTAATCTCGGTCAACAGCTGTTAACTTGGCTAACAGAGGCAGCTGATTAATTCCAAAAAAAATGGGGAAAACTTTCCCGAATCTGTCATTTCCAATATATACCATGCAGGGCCCAAAAAATAAATGTAAATTACATTGCGGTCGAGACTCCTCCGACATGCAATTGTCTCGATGGCTTCCCATTAGATAATCATGCCCAATTAATCGCTTGGCTCTCGAAGAAGAGGTCAATGCGATCGGAGGAGTAGAGCCGCACCCAAAGTCGAAAATCCGAATTCAACAAGTGCGGAGCCGCCTCCATTGTTTCTGACCCAAATTGCCGTAAAGCGTTTTTCATTGGCGCCCATCCATCTATCTGTGAATACCTATCTATCTGAATCTGAATCTGAATCTATCGTACGTTGCGTTTGCGTTGCGGTTGAATGGGTTCAAGCGATCTTCGATGTCGCCGATTGCCAAATCTTTTTCTGCACTCCCCTACGATCATGTGATCGTGTCATTAAACCCCCATAAGTCCTCCTCCGAATTTGATATTTGAGATGCCGATGTGATTACAATTGCCACACTCGCAGAGCTCTTTTATATACTGTTGCCATACGCATACGCCCTGAATTTGCATCAAATCGCAGTGGACAAGGTCGTTTTAGGAGGCGGAGTGGGAGGAGGAGGTCGTAATGGGGCTGACCGTTTAATGGGATCGCTCTGACATTGTGCCAGCTTTAAAAACAAGACATTGTTTTCTTTCAACCACATTTGTGGCTTAGTTAGCCGTGAAGTGAAAGTACATTATGTGTTGCAGACAATTGTTATGCACATTACACACGTACACTCTCGAGTGACTTATTTCCATTCAAATTAAAGTCAAATTTATGGGTACGCTCATTTCTCGGCTCATGTGTGCATATAGTTTCAATATAAATACGTTTAATTGCCGCAATGATTGATGGAATAAGTGCAGATTTGCAGCGTCATGTTATGCAAAGATTTTCGGCTACTCTTTAGGGGTATGTTTTTTGGTTTTTGGGTTTTCGGGTTGGGTTGGGCCCTACTTATGTTATAAAGAAGGCAGACAGACAAAAGAGCTCGTCATATTCAAATCATTGTGATACAATTACGTTGCCGGCATGTTGAAATGTCCGAACCAAATTATATCACACTTAAAATGCGAATATCAGGTGCTGGAATATGTTAATAAATTTACCCCACATAATATACACCATTCTGTATCCAATCAAAGTCACTTTTATTAATAAAAACATTCTGTAGTATACCTATTACATTCCATGACTAGAATCACTCGACATTAACACACCTGCCGGCTGTTAACTTAGAATCAGCATAACATAAACATAACTGTAAATCAAAGTGCCTGCTAATTTAGTTTACGTTTCTTTTTATTTAATTAATTTATATAGATTTTCTATTGCATACGGAGACAGTAAATTGGTTGAGGCGGAGTTAATTTGGGTTTAAATTGTAGACATATCATAAGTTTATTTCGCTGCCAATCGTTTACCAAACCAATTTATCATTAAGCTTGTTAGTGGTTCACAATTTCTTCTCGTTCTTCATATAATTTATTGAGTAAGTTAAACAGAATTTCATAAAAATCCGCTAAATATGTTAGGAGATAAACAACTGTCGGTGCCAACGTGCAGCATATGTTGCTGTTGGTGTTGCTGTTGCTGATGATGTTGCTGCTGTCGCTGGTGTTGCTGCTGCAGTTTCTAGTACTCGGTGGCACCAATAACGCTGTACATGAGACGATTGAAGGAGCCGCTCTGGCGTATGTTCTCGTCGTGGGTGTTTACCACCTGTGAATTATATATCGTTATTCCATTTACATTCAGTTAACAGTGACTTAACAAAGCTACTCACATTGTACGGCGGCCGGGATACTGGCGCTGATACTGGTTTCTGTAAATGCATTCGGATGGAGTGGAGAGATAAGATATTGCTTAATAAGTCTGGCAGATTCCAGCGATTTCGGTTAAAAACTTTTCAAATGCAGTCTCCAACGGTTATGAGCTTCTGTTAAATGTTATTCTATGTTAGAGTGCCAAAAAGATGTGTGCTTGTGACTTGGAAAATATACACAGAGATGGAGTTAATGGATGTTTAGTGTAGTTCGATGCCAGCAGGTGATCGACCAAAAACCAGGTTAGTAACACTACTTCGGCCCCGTTAATCGTCGTTACAGCGCGTTAACATGCCGCCAGACAAGGACACACAGACTAACAGTTGACTAACATTCGGTCGGTTCAACTGTACTCGTTTACATTGACACACAGAAAGAGAGAGACAGCGAGCGAGATAGGAACAGAGAGAGACAGATAGACTTTGTACAGGATGAGCTGGCGAATCGAGCGATATTGTCGTATGCCTTCACATATAGTTTTGACTTTGACTGAGGTCGGTTGATTCGATTGAGAGATTTGATAGATTTGCTTGATTTTCGAACGGTTGGGCACGATCTTACCTTTCCTGGAACCAATCTATTGGGCTGATAGACCCTAGTCTGCACAGGAATGGTTACTTCCTGTGGCGAGGACTGGCCATAGTTGCTGTAGCCGCCCTCTTCTTGAATGGCTCTGTAGGTATCGCTGTTCCTGGGATCGTACTGGACAGTTTGCTTATAGCTGCTCGGTGGCAGTGATCAGTGATCAGTGATTTCGGATTCAGTAATTCGGGGATTTGCATTGAGATCGTTGAAAGCGCCGTTATTTTGGTCAATTATTCGTTGGTTTTTTGTTTGGTGTTATGCAAGTTTTCAATAGATTTATTTTTTAAGTCGTTTTATTGTTGTTTGTTAATTGAGATTTATAAAAAATATATTGTTTTTTTTTTTTTGGTTTTTTTTTACATCGGTTGAGTAGCGTGAGACAGAGTAGTGAGAGAATAGAAAGAGAAAACAGGATGTGCACAAAATACGTTAGAATTATTTTGTTTTTGTAGTTGTAGTTTGTTGTTGCTGTTGTTGGTGGGCAATGGTGTGCTTCGTAGTCTTGGAACTGCACACTCCTCAAACGGATTGCGATTAATAGGAAACGCATTAACAAATTCCTTACGAGCTAGTTATTAAGAGTAATCGAACAGAACTGCATAACAATTAATATATCATCGGATGAGTTGAAGCCTTGAGATCGGGCGGGATTAGGTTTAGGTTTAGGATTAGGTTAGTTAGTTTGTGTGGTTAATACTGGATGGGTTGCAGGGGCATCATGAATAGGAACTTTCAGTGCTGTCTTTCGAACAGTTCGTAAATATAATTCAGCAAACGTCTTTTAGTTTTTGGATTAGTCTTATTCGGGGATAGAAGGGTCGTAGGGGATGGGGACTTTTAGCAGGGGTCTTGGATAGAGGAAGTTGGCTACGGTTGTCTAGTAGAATTGGGTAGAGTTTTTGGCTACTATTTCTTTGATCATTTGTTTTGTTGATAGAGTAGTTGCAGTTGCTGCTGGCGTTGCTGACGTTGTTGCTCTGCAAGTTGGTCTTTTTGCTTTTGTTGCTCCAGAATTATACGTTTTTGTTCCAGGAAAGATAGATCGATGAAAATTCTAACATTAATCGTGCAGCTAAGTTCTAGATATATCAGGATCTAAGAGCTAGAGAGGTATAGTCTAGGGTTCGTTTGGGGTTAATCTATGAGTACAGCACCTGACCTACCCAGAAACCCCTTCCCGATGTACCTGCGCCACTTTTGCCATACCTTTCGGATTGTAATAGCCCAAAACAAGAAAGCCTCAAGACAAACAAAGTTCGTTGGGGGTTCGGGTTCCGTTGAAGATGGGTAGTTTCCAGAAATACACGTATATACAGAGTAGAGTTTTCCATATCACAGACTCAGATCAAAAGGAGCTTTTCTTTGCAATAGGAAGGTTTGGGAGAAGATAAAGGAAACACATTTACATAGACAGACAGCAGAGCACATGCAATCGGGTTCTGGACTTGTGTCGTGTTGTTTCTGTTGTTCTGACATAGATATTGCATCTGGTTTTCAAGGACTAGATAAGTAAAGTTGTTGTGGTTGCGGGAGACAACAATAATCGAGGGTTAATCTGTACAGACAGGCGGGGAAACACGAGAAACACGGGAAACATGGTAAACATTCCTCATATATAATTTGTTCAATCTCAAGATCTTGTGCTTTCGTATCGTATGCTTTCCATATCAAAGTGAGAGGGATTCAATCAAAGAACGAAATCAGGCTGTGCTCAAGATATGAATTTACTTTTACCCGTTAAGTTTCGATGGCAAAGGACGATGCAAAGGACTGTCCTTCAAGCGATTGCTTTCGCTTGTGGCGAAGCTACAACAATATACACAGAATATATATATATGGTTTATATAGAGAGTGGTATTTATAACAGATATATCCGGCAGTAGGCGAGTAGTACGTACAACATCTATTCGTTTCGTTTGTTGGTTTGTTTGTGTGCTTCTCATTTCGTGTGTGCTTCGGTTTAGTAAATTTCGTTTCGACTTTGATTTTGTGGCTTTTTGGGTTAGTGGATTATGGCCGCAGCCGCAACCAGGAACCAATTTTTCTTTTGGGTTATGTGGACCTTAGGCTACTCGTAACCGTAATCGTGACTCGCTTTATTAGTTTCAAGCTACTGGGCGCATTTCGAGTGGCTCTCTCTCTGGCATAAAGGAAAAGCTGCATCAAAAATTTCGAAGAGTTCTACGCTGGTTTATTCAATAATTGCAAAATCCAAAGGAAAATAGCGTAAATCATAGGCTTTAAAGTTCAATTTGACAAGCGTATTCCAAAGTTCAGATATTAGTGGTTTTTCATTGTGTCGAGCTAAGCATAAGAGTTTCCAGACGGTCAATTTCTGGGTGGCAACTTACGGAACTGTGGATCTGATGGTGTCCTCGATGTTGTTGTTGGAGTACAGGCCGATGGGCGAGTTGAATTGCTTGTGGAAGACCTGTGGAAATGGGAGGAAATTTAAATTTTGTGAGTATTATAATCACTAAAACTTAGTATTTAACTATTTTTCAAACTTCTTTTAATTTTCAATGTAATTTAAGTTACAAAAATAAATCATTTCCAAATAAAAAAAATTTTAGAAATTATAAATGGATGGTAAAATGTAAATCTTTCAAAAATCTCAAAAATTAACAAGATCATTATTTTGATGAAAATAATAATACTACAAAACTGAACACACCTAAAATTCCTAAAATTCCTAAAATGGATGGTAAAATGTAAATCTTTCGAAACCTTTAAATATACAAAATCATTATGTTGATGGAAATATTAATACAGTAAAACTGAAATACGAATTCCAAATGTTTTATGTACAATGCACATTTATAGTGTAGAAAACATAGTTTTTTTTTTCAATTTTACATTAGATATAATCAAGTTTTATAGGACTAAAAGACTTACGCGGCCAGTGTCGGCCTCCGAACCGACGACCTTGTGCAGCATGGTGTCGGCCACGCGCTGCTTCATGATACTGTCATGGTAGTCGTGTCCTGGGTGGGCGCGCACAGCCGGGTTGGGGTAGTGCCTCAAGTAGGACTCTGTCGTGGGCGCATCCTTCTTCACTTTGGCGCCCGGCAGGACCAGCGGAGTTGTTCGGTAGGGCTGGAAAAAAACGAAGGGGAACGGAAAGGAACGCCACACGTGATCAGTAGTGAAGATTAACGACTTTGTTTACGCCAAAATGGGCACACATTTGGCAGCCGTTGCGGCAAATGATAATATACATAAATAAATCAGCAAACGATTACCAGAGCTTCGTTTCGATTCTAGAAATCCTCTGATCTTCGCCCACTGTGCTAGGTATTATTATTATTCTCCTCTGAGTGTGTGTGCATCATTTTTCTATAGCTAAATTCCATTTTATGTGCGCCCGTTTATATACTTTAAAAATATCCCACAGCCAGAGCAAATATTTTTAAACGCTTACGTAAGCGTGTTCAGCAGCGTCCAGCGTTTTGTATTTTGTATCTGCCGCGAAACGTTTTATTTTTACCAGGCCCGTGCGACGAGCGAGTGTGTAAGTAATTCAATATAGGCGCGCTGCCCCCGATCAAAGTTTAAATGTTGTAACTAAGCGCGGCTAATCGATAGACGATCGACAATGAGCAGCTCTGCGCGTAGTGCTGCCAGATGGCCAGACCAGGCTTGATCAGCTGTGGTTCGGGGTGAATGGCAAACCGATTTGCGCGCTTTTTTAACTGTGACTGCCAGCTGGAAATTCCAACACACGCCGTGGCTTAATTAACTAATTTTAATAACTAACTGCTGATCAATTGACTAAACACCTGCTTAAATGGCTGCCGTACGTCGCTCCACGCGGCTGAGCAGCATCAGCAAAGCGGCCGCCGCCTCTCCGCTGCCGCAGTCGACGCAGACGCCGCCGCCGCCGCCGCGTCGCTCGGAAGTTTGGAAACGCAGGCAGCCGAAAAAAGTGATCGCCGATAGCGAATCTGAAGAGGAGGAGGCGGCGGTGACCCATGACTTGACCAGCTCCGTTTCAGAGAACAACGAGAACCGCAACCTGCTCAACAAAATGGACAAGATCTCGCGGCGCAGGACCTCGCAGGTGGTTCAACATTCGGAGCCCCCAAAGACGCCACGCAGCACAAAGAAAACAGCTGGTATTTCGCGGGCCAAACGCGAGCAGGAAAACCGCGAGGCCACCGCTATATTCCTGGACAGCGGAGAGGAGGACCAGCTCCATGCCTCGCCGCCCAAGCAGCGGAAGCTGCAGCCACTGCCACAGCATCTGATCAGTCCTTCGCGGCTGCTGGACAGGCTGAGCATCGACGAACGCCAGGAGGAGGAGCAGGAGGAGCCCGAAAACAAGACTGACAAGAAGCAGGAGAAGCCCAAGGATCCTCTTGCTCATGAGCAGGAGAAACCTCCAACCCAGCTGCCTGGCAAGCCGAAGAAATCTCCTGGCAAAGGGGAAACCCCGCAGAGGAGACCCTTGCCCTCTCCTCCGCGCAACAAGTACCAAAACGCCCGACGAGTGCTAAACAGCGCAGAGACCCAAAATCTACCAGGACGAGAAGAGCAGCTGCAGGAGCTGCGTGAATTCTTCAGCAGCCACCTGGAAAGCCAGACTTCAGGCAGCCTCTACGTCTCCGGGCAGCCGGGCACGGGAAAGACCGCCTGTTTATCGCTACTGCTCAGAGATCCGGACTTCTCCAAGCGCCTGCAGCGCGTCTACATCAACTGCACCAGCATTGCCAGCGTGGGCGCAGTTTACAAGAAGCTGTGCACCGAACTGCAGCTCAAAGTCAGCGGACGCACCGAAAGGGACCACTTGGAGGCCATACAGAGGCATTTAAAGACAGCTAAGCGAATGCTTCTGCTAGTCCTGGACGAGATCGATCAGCTTTGCACCAGCAGGCAGGAGGTTCTATACACAATCTTCGAGTGGCCTGCGGTGCCTGGCTCCAGGATTCTCCTAGTCGGCATTGCCAATAGCCTGGATCTCACCGATCGAGCGCTGATGCGACTGAATGCCCGGTGCGAACTAAAGCCCCGGCTGATGCACTTTCCGCCCTACTCCAAGCAGCAGATCGTGGAGATCTTCAAGTCGCGCCTGGCCGAGGCGGAGGTGCTCGATGTCTTTCCGCCCGTCACCCTGCAGCTGCTGGCCGCCAAGGTGAGCGCGATCAGCGGGGATGTGCGCAGGGCTTTGGACATTGGACGGCGAGTGGTGGAGATTGCCGAGCAGCAGAAACGCGATGGCGAGAAGGAGTTTAATATGAAGGCCCTGCAACTGGAGGGCAGGGATGCCGTGGAGGCCAAGGAAAAGCAGGGTAAGTAATTATACGCAGGGCAGAATCTTAATTCAATTATTTAAATTCTTATTTTCCCATCGCAGACACTCTGAAGCCCGTTCAGGTCACCCAAGTGGCTGCTGTGCTGAACAAGGTCTACGGAGCCTCGCAGAATCTGGAGGAGGACATCGAGGGGTCATTTCCGCTCCAGCAGAAGCTAATGCTGTGTACCCTGGTGCTCATGCTGCGCAACGAACGCAACAAGGACATCAGCATGGGTCGCCTGCACGAGGTCTACAGGCGGGTGTGCGCCAAACGCAACATTCTCGCCCTGGACCAAGCGGAGTTCACGGGCACCGTGGATCTGGTGGAGACCCGCGGCATCCTGCGCATCATGCGCAAGAAGGAGCCGCGCCTGCACAAGGTCCTACTGCAGTGGGACGAGGAGGAGGTGCATGCGGCACTCAGCGACAAGCAGCTGATCGCCTCGATCCTCAGCGACACCGCCTGCCTGAACAAGTGACGATCTGGACGATTGCCTCTAGGAAATTAGTTTGCCAGACAATCCGCGCTGGTTAATTGCGCATTTCTCTCATTTTCATTCACCTTGGGGACGAGCATATATGTATAGGAATATAAGAATACTTTTTGACGCTAAATTTAAAATTCGTGGCTGGCGCAAGCAGTGAAATATTTTGAAATATCATTTGAGGGTCACTTTCGACATTTTGTTTTCTGACTATTAATTGAATCGAATCATTGGGATTTTATGTTTGTCATAAATTTAAGTAAATGTTGCGCCCATAATCTATTTCTAATCCGATCCGTTGACCAATAAGCTCTAGACAATTCGTGTCTCTTCCTGTTAGCCCTAAGCAAATAAGAATAAACCAAATAGTTCTGTAATACACAAAACGCAAAAGTGAAAACAATTTCCACTTTCGCTGCGCCACAAGTTTCAATCTTGAGACGTGCCAAAAGTTGGGAAAATCTTAGGGAAAGTCTGCCATTGTTTTTTTAGAGGGGCTTTCAGATCGTACGAGTCAAATTAACACCAATGCTGCTGAGTTCGTGTGGCTTTGTTGGCCATCTCGACATGAAATTAATTTCTTCTATAATCATTTTGTTTATTTATTTGCTGGCTTATTGTTGTTTTTTCGGCTCTCTCTGCTCTATAAATACCCCCATTTCGGTGGTATGAATTACATTGAGCACAGCACGGCAAGAGCGCAATGAAAAATATGTTTAAAAAACTCTGGTTGCCTTTCGACGCGTATTGACGAACGGCGAACAAATGTTTGAATAACAAGCTATATGCAGAGAGGCGGAGAGAATCGCCAGGCCAGCCAGATATATGCAGGAATATACTTATAGCTTTGGCATATGCTGTTCTATATTCTTGCTCCTAAATTAAACATATATTTCTGAGGGAAAAGTAAGATGAAAACCTCGAAAAATACACACGTCGTTCGCTTTTGGCATTTGTATTTGAACTTGAATTCCAAGAGCAAATGTTTGACGGTAAAGGTGAAATGTTTCATCTGGATTTTGGCTACCTACGTGTACTTAGACGTCTGTTGTTTTTGAGTGAGTGGAAAATTAATCACATCACAATGGGATAGATCTTTTAAATTAATAAATATTTTTCCATCCAGAATTAAGTGGATTTAACTGGAAATTATCCTGTTTAATAATGTAATATTTTCCTTAAACACCACACACTTTTATTTTAATTCTTTTGGATTTTTTCCAAATATTTTTATAAATTTTGTTTTTAAATTCGAGTTAGTGATTCACTGGTTGGCTTACTTGGTATTGAATGCATTCATTGAGGTCTGGCTGCTCCTTGTAGTAGACTGGGGATCCGTTTTTGAACTGAACGTACTCCATTTTTGTAATGTGTGTGTGTGTGTATTTGGGTTTTAATTTAAACTCCTTCGTTGGATGGAATTCGAACAAAATAGAAACGAAAAATATTATAGCCAGGGACAATTACGTAATGAAAGATCACGTCAGTTTCGATTGTTGATTTCTCAAATCGGTTTTGTTATTCTTGCTAGTATAGTTATTTGTACTTTTATTGGTAACTTGCTTTTTCGGCACGTTTAAATCAACGCTGCAGCTGGTGAGATCGAAGATCGTTTCACGAGGATTCACTACAAAAAGGATGCTCGAGCTCGAGTCTTATTGTTGTTTATTTTTCAATATTCCGAACGCAACTGATTTGAAAATTTTCAAATGCTGGCGAATTATTGCTATTCCGTCTGCGCGGAATTCCAATTTGTCTATATAGCCAACTGAGTATTGGTTGGAGAGTGTCTGTCTGTGTGAATAGAAAACATATAGAAAAGTGAGTGCTGACGGTCAGAGGCCGTTCGACCCACGCACCCACACCACCCCATTCGAGATCTTATGTATTTTTCAGAGAGAGCGGAGATTTTTTAAATACACAGAATATGTTTTTGTGCAAATAGCTTGTTCACCGAGCGTAAACTCAGCGTATAAACTTGGACTTGGTGTGATCTATATAATTTATTTTCTTTTTTCGTTTCCCGCCCACGCGCCTTTGCCACCCCCCTCCCCCTTTCAAACGGATGTTGTTGTTTGTCCTGCCGCCCCATTTGAGAATTATTCACATATAACATCTCGCGTATATGTTTTAATTGCTGCTTTTGTGGAACAATTTCACATACCATTTTTTTCGCATTTCGAAAATTAGGCACAAATATTTATCGGACTCGAGGTTATTGTTTCGCGCGAATGCAGAAACATTATTGAGAAATATTTCGCATATTCGCAGCTAAATTATTGATTGGCTCAGTTTGTATTCGCTGATTTGCACTGACACTGAGCATTGGCAATTGGCCGATGGACCGCAGATTTGTCAACCAATTCTGACAGTTCCAAAGATACCGAACCGAGATACATATATCCCATCATTATTGGCATTGGCATTCTGTATTTTTGTCGGCTGTCATAAGCAATTGACATTGGAACAGGGCATTGGGCATATCATTTGATGTCGCGGACAGGCCCAAAAACACACGAGCAGGTGTAATTAGCCTTGAAAGGCGGTTGGAAAAATTTCAAGTTCGATGGAAGATCCAAGGAACGCATAACTTACATGGAATTATGTTTTTTTTTCCCACTGCGAAGGTTGCAGTTCATTCGAGTATAGGAATCTTTTTCGGAAACTCAAATACACCGAAGAAAATGCAGTAAAAAATTTAAATATAGGTAATCTCTAATTCGGCTAAAAAAAAAGCATTAAATACATTTTAATATAATAATTTTTTTAAAAATTGAATTTTTTCAGTTTTTTGAAGGAATAATTTAATTTTTATTCCAATTTTCAAACTTGACATTAATCTTTTTCTTTTCTTCTTGTGTACCCACATATACGAATGTTTAAAACAAAACGATCAATAAACAATCCGACTGATGGTTTTTTGGGGCATTTTGTGCCTCTAACAAAGAGAAATTAAGAACACAAATAGAACGCATTGAAGGTAAATATTAACCATAAATTAGTTAAAGCACAGTACAATAACCCCCGAAAAATAATGCTGAGAATAGACCAACTCTCGGCCAGGAAGGTCACCTGTTCTGGAACTTTTTCTCGTCACCTTTTTCACACTTCTGTATGACAAATCATCAAACATCAAAAACATATAGGTAAGCACCTTGATTTTTATTTTGGTGCCGCATTGGCAAACAAATTTGCGACCTTGGCAAGTGTCTTGATTCATTAGCGGCGTCATCTGCGGATAATGGGACATTTGGAGGGGGCGGTGTTTTCATTGGCATTGCCACCGCCTCGCAAGTTTGGACGGACAGTGGATCAAAATCATCTGCTTACACCTCACTCACCTGCCCAAAAATACCCGTATATATTCTTGTTTATTTGCGTCTTTGCCTCTTGGCATTTTCCGCAGAGTTCTTGTGGGCGGGCAGCTCGCTGTTACAGCTTCTGACTTGTTTTTGTTTGATTTCTCGCCAATTTCCACCTGCACACTGCGTCACTGGGCCTCTTCCTGTTTAGCGCCCCGCACTCGCGATCTCTGGTCTATATTTAGCGGATGTAAGCGGCGGAACCTTGACCACCAACATTGCTATCTGCTGATGTCAGCGTTTTGGTGTATTCAAATTACAAACAAAGAACTGTTTTCTACATTTTACACAGTGTTTTACACGGACATTTTCAGTATCTAAGGACAGTGACGATGAAATTTAATAACAATAGTCTTGTTTTTAGATGTTTAAGATTTTTTTACTTTGGTATTTTGCCCCAAATATTGTTTCCATATCTACTTTACACAAAAATTTTACATTTTTTATCCCCGAAAAGTATGCAAATGCAAACGCATTTAGTTAAAATATTTTGAATATTTTCGAAATCAAATTATCAATTCAATATACATGACATCAAAAAACTGCTAAGATCAGGGACCGAAAATAATGATTATTTTTTTTGAGTAAAAAATAAAAATCTCCATTTAATGATTATTTTGTAAGCAAAAAAAATATCGCTCAGAAATAATGATTATTTTGTGAGCGATATATTTCGCTCAAAAATATCACTCAAAGTGGGATTGCATCCGTCCTACGCGAAATTTTACAAAGATTTAAATGTGCTCTTGTAGGTAGAACCACGGAGAACATATTCCGTTAAGAAAAAAATTAATTTTCTTTGTATAAACCGCTTAAAAAAACAAAAAAAATCTTTTTGTATAAAAACACTTTCTGTGGGAATCGAACTCGTGCTTACAGCTCGGTGGACCAACACACTAACACCCAGCCCACATGTCGGGTTGGATCTAAGAGGAATAGCTCATAACATCTTGTTAAGTCGTTTTACTAATAAATAAATGACATAAAGTTCTAAGGTTGATACAACTTGTTGTATTTAAGCATACCTCATGTCAACTAAAAACCGCGTTTTAAAAAGTTTATACAAAGAAATCACCTTCTTTTATTAACTCGATGTGTGCTCCGTGGTTCTACCTACAAGCAGAAATTTAAAAGTTTGTAAAATTCCGTACAGAACGGCTGTAATCGCACTTTGAGTGATATTTTTAAGCGAAATAATATCGCTCACATAATAATCATTATTTCTGAGCGATATTTTTTTCGCTTACAAAATAATCATTAAATGGAGATTTTTATTTTTTCACTTATAATGATTACGGTCCCTGGCTAAGATTATATTTAAATTTAATTGTTAAATATTGATTTTCATAAATTCGATCTTAGTGTTATCATAAATTTTTGAAAACACAAATGACACAAATGATTTGATATCCACACTTTTTAAGACACTTTTTTGTTTAAAATAATCAGAATATATTTCAATTTTGTGTTTTTGGAAGAAATTTAGTTTTTATAATTTAAATTTGGAAATGAATTAAGATTGCCATGAATTACCGATTGAAGGCAACTTCTTACAAATCTTACAGTATCCACTCACCTGGTTTACAATGGCGGCCTGCTCCTCATCGACATCCTGCTGATGATCCCTAGTCGGCTTGGGCGAGAACACAGTCGAAGGCACCTCGTAGCCACCGGAGGAATTCAACTGGGGAAACACGGTCTGCGGCAGAGTGTCCACTGGCAACTGCAAGGCCCTCTCAAAGTGGCTGGGTCCGGGCAAAAAGGGCGAGGGGCCACGGTGGGGCAACAGGTCCGGAGTGACCGGCGGCAAAGTGGAGTTGCTGCGCGATCCAGGACCCGCCTCCTGAGTTCCCCCCTGCGTGTAGGCGATTTTGTTGTCCCTGGAAATTAGTAATATTAATATTTTGTATACAAGGGAAAATTATTTTACGATGTCCAAGTAAACTTTCATATTACAAACTTTCCTACTAAATTAATAGAGTGTTTAACATGACCTATACAATTTTGTAAATAAACACCTGTAGATAGGGAAAATGTTTTCTTACAAACTTTCAATTTTTACATTATAACAATATTTATTTACACAAATTCTAATGGTTTCATATTTTATCTTTATTACAAAAAAATGTTTAAGTTTCAGCATTTCTGCACATTTATTAATAAATTGAAATAAGACTTAAATATGCAAACATATTTGATGCTCATTAAAACTTTTAATATCATAAAAATTCGATAAAATCATGATTAATATTAGCCAAAAATTAAGAAAAGTTTCAAAACAAATTTTGGGGTTAAAAATTAATGTTGTACAGTTTAGAAACCATTTATTTTATAATAAATCTAAATAATCAATTTTAATGTAATTTTTTAATAATCACTTATTTACTTTAAACATACGGAATGGATCTTTAATCTCCCCGCTTTCTGTTTGGTAATGTAGTTTTCGATTTAAATAATCACTTGTTTACTTGAAACATACGGAACTTGTGTTAGATCTCCCGTTTTCCTATCGCGGAACACGGATTTCCTGGCTCACCTGTGCACCACCAGGCGGATCTCGTTGCCAGCGCCGCGGAACAGCTGCTGAGCATCCGCGTGACTCAGGTCGCGTGCATCGTACTCGCCGATCTTCGAGATGATATCGCCGCGCAGCAGCTCGCCATGCGATGGGCTGCCCACTTGCACCTGCAACGGGGTGGAAAGGGGGTGGGAAGGTCAGTCGTTTCGTATACACAATTTAGGGACCAGCCGCCCGGTTGCAACCTTGACATAGATTTCTACGGGTGCCTAAATAGATGCAGACAGAATTATGATCGCCAAATTGTGTGTGTTTACATCGCAACGGGGTGGGAAAAAAGGGGCAGGAAAAGTGGGAAATTTCTTCGGCTATTTTGTTGCGCCTCAATTAGTTTTACTGGCGTCGCGTTTTGGCAACGCTGCAGCGTTTATTGTTGCTGTGCCCGTTTAGCTATTTTGATTTGTTGTTGTTTATTTGGGCGCTGAGAACAAAGCGGAGCGGGGCACAAAGGCCAAATCGCTTTTCCTCTGCCATTAGAACTGCAAATGTGCATCATTTTGATGAATGGACCACAAGCGACCACAAGGCGACAATCGCAATCTCTGGTTACATAACGCCCATTTACCCTGGTGATAATTAGCGGCGTGTCCAGATCGTTGCCGCCCACCAGGCGAATGCCCCAGGGCGTTCCCTGTCCATCGCGCAGCAGCACCACCGCGAACTCATGCAGCTTGGGGCTCATCCTGATGATCTTGATGTTGCTGACGATCCAGAGGATCCCAAATCACAGGCTCATCCAATCGATCGGACCGAACCCGAAACTATATATTTTATTGTTTATTATTTATCTGGCCTGCGAGGCGCAGGCGGCGCGAAATTGCAGTCCGTTAAGCGTTTTGTTCGATCGCAAAGCTGCTCAAGTACTAATTTTAAAATACAATTCGTATTCCTTTTTGCAGCAACAGCAACAGCAGCGGCAGCAGCCGCAGAATCTTGGTATACCACGAGTACACTGCGCCACAACTGTATATCTTATGTACATATGTACAGCTTATATCCGCCGGCAACGGCAACTACATGCTGAGAAACATGAATTCGATTCGCGAATCCTAATCGTTAAATGGCTTTTCCGCCAAGAGTACTCTGTATTTCTCAAAGATGTTGTCGTTGATCCAAGAAAAGTAGGAAAAGTTCTTAAATCTGCCTCCTTAAGAACCATATTCCATGTAAGTTAACAGGGCGTATACTTGATAAGTGTTTGAGGATTACATTACGCATACGCAGAGGTGTACAGTTCTTTAAATAAATTGATATGTGAATTATATAAAAAAAAACTGTCATTATAATATTTAGTTTTCCTAACATTATATTATAAATCAGTGAATTATTTTTAAGAAACAACCTCATAGAGCATCCAAAAATCACCTTCTAGGCAAAAGTATTTTCCCTCATTGCTCCCATTGTTTAATTTGCCGAGTGCCCTGCATTTGTGGCATTCTGCGTTTCGTTGGCCACATTTTAGGGCAGCACTTGATCCAGTTGCAAGCTGACCCTGAACAAATGAATGCCACATGTCATCATCTAGGCGAATGTTTTGATGAACATGCCTGATGCTCAGAGAGAAGAAAAATCAAGTATCTAGGCATCTGTTTTTCTTCGACGTTTTCAGCTAGTTTATTAGTGTTTTTCCCCAGACTCGTTGGCCAACCGATGAGGCAACCTAGAGAGAGTGTAATTAAATTTATTTACTAAAGCGGTACTAGCACAACACAACTAGAAATTCGCATTTGCCACTCTTGCCCAATTTAAACAAACTAATCATATCGGATTTTTACTGCATTAGTCAATGGAAAAGTCTACGTTCAACGTGACGTATAAGCAATGTGCTCGGGTCAACGGTTGAAGGACGTTGATTTCTTTTAAACATTCCGTCTGCCTCTCGATTTTGGCAACAATTTTACTTTTTACAGCGGAAAAATGTTTTCCTGCCTTTCGGCTTTCCGCCGATATACACACAATATATGGCTTGCCATTTCATTTTTCACTTTAAACATTCTGTTTTCGGCACTTTTTGGCTGCTGCTTGAAATGTTTTTACTATTTGCGGTCTGAATTGTTTTCATTTCATTTTCATTTGTGTAATGTTTTCGTGTGACTTTTGCTCTAGATCAGCCTTGAGGGGATTGTAAATCATTTGAAAATCTTTAAAAATCTGTTATACCATTTGCATTAATACCGTATGGCAATGGAAATATGGATCCATCCATCTTTTTTTGGGCCATTTTACTGGCACAGAAAGTGCAGCAGTGGCCAATTAATTAGATTTGGCTTGACAAATTTACGAGCCGCCAGGGGCGAAATGTTATTGAACTGATTTTGATTTTTCTGTGTGAATTGGGGCCACGAATACGAGCACACGCGCGCGATGATTGACAAGCCGGGCGATTTAAAGGGGGGTTTTTTCTCGCCTTTCTCTTGGACTCACCCCCACATTCGGTTCGTCGGCGAAATGGACGCGCTTCTTCAGCCCGCTGCTGCTGCGCCGTCGGCAGGGGGGTGGCAGCGGCACCACAGGCGCCCGAGGGGCTGGTTGTGGGCGGTAGGAGGAGGGCAGGTCGTAACCGGGCACCTTCCAGAAAGCCGGTCGACTGTATGACGCGGACGCCGATGATCTGCTGGTCGTCATTGCTGGCCAGCGACTAGCGTAAACAAAGAAATGCTCCGCACATTCAGAAATATGCGCTAGATTCTACTATTCGAACGCGTCTGTTCGCGACTGCGTGTGTGTGTGCACTAGGCAATTGAAAAAACCAGCTAAAAGCACATGAAAAATCAGAGGAGACGAGCGCAACCCAAATATTAATCAGTCAAAAGGCATGTGAGAGCGGGAGGAGCAGGTGATTATGAATGAATGGGAGGGTGTTCGAGTCAGTTAAGTTTTAAGAGCAAGGATAACTTAGCATAATTAACAAATCTACGGGAAGTTATTTTGAATTTCCGTTTCAAAATATGGCGCATTTCTTTGCTCAATGGGCAGCACTGAATTTAAAAGTTTATCGAGCCATCTGGCTAGACTAATATATTTAAAAGTATTTAAAAGAGCTTGTAATGAACAAGTTATTTTGAAATGGAGAAAGTGCTCAATAGTTAATAAAGTATTCATTCTTAAAGCACTGTGAAAATTGCAAATATTTTCCTAGATTTATTTTTTGTAATATATTTGTAACATGTAAACTTATAAACTGTTTTCAACTGTTGGAATGGATTACCTTAATAATTATTTTAAAAACCCGCCCTTGGTATATTTTCGGTATATTTTAATCAATTAAATATGGTATAAATGTTATAGACGGTCACTCTGATCCACTGCCCGTTTTGTTTTGTTGTCTTTTATCTCCGAATTTCTCTCTGCATTTTGGGAAGATAAAGCCTTAATTAAAACCATATAGGGGCACTGCATGGACCCAGCGAAGCCGCGCCCAAGTGAAGCCACAACATGTCTATTTTCAAGGCGCGGTTAGTACTCCCTCCCAAGTCTAACTAAACTATAAAAACAAAGGTCATAAACAAAGACTTTCTCCCACCGAACAGAGTTAAGGAATTTGAGGATGTTTTGGCGGCGCCGCAGGATGTGATTGACCTGAAGGAGCTGAGGAAACTCGCTTTCAATGGTGGGATATAATAGCCACCTTTGGGAAGCGCTGAAAACTAAGATTCTAACAATCCACAGGTGTGCCCGATGTGCAGAGTTTTCGAGCCCTCAGCTGGAAGCTCCTACTGGGCTATTTGGGCCCGAGGCGCAGCAGTTGGACCACGACCTTGGCCCAGAAGCGAGCCCTGTACAAGCAGTTCATCGAGGAGCTCGTCCTGCCACCGGGGCACTCGAGCAACGGAGGCTGCGCCGACGGGGGAGATGGGGACAAAGTCGATTCGGGGGGCGTTGGCCTGCAAGATCATCCGCTGAGCGAGGGACCCGAGAGCGCCTGGAACACGTTCTTCAACGACAACGAGTTCCTGCTGCAGATCGACAAGGATGTGCGGCGCCTGTGCCCGGACATATCCTTCTTCCAGCAGCCCACCGATTATCCCTGCGAGATTGTCGTTCACAGCAAGGGGGAACACGGACGAAGGCTTCACGAACGGGTGGTTCCCGCCGTGCTCAGCTCGGCGAATGTGGAACGCAAGGGCCTGGGCATGACCAAGGTGAGTTTCAGACGGGATTTCCGCTAGACAATAAGCTCAGAATGTGTTGTTTCATGCATATCGTGTGGATTTTTAGCAGCAAGTAAGTAAGCCCCACCCGGGTAAACCCGAAACTTACAGGAATTTATTCTCTCCATAGATAAATTTGATCACTAAACGGTCCGTGGAGAACTATGCCGCCATGGAGGAGGGTCAAGAGGCCCACTGGGAGGTTGTGCAACGCATTCTGTTCATCTACGCCAAACTGAATCCCGGCCAGGGATATGTTCAGGGTATGAACGAGATTGTGGGGCCCATTTACTACGTAATGGCCTCCGATCCAGATCTCTCGTATCGAGCCCACGCCGAGGCTGATTGCTTCTTCTGTTTCACCGCCCTGATGAGCGAAATACGAGACTTTTTTATCAAAACCCTCGATGATGCGGAGGGCGGCATCAAGTTCATGATGGCCAGGCTATCGAATATGCTAAAATCAAAGGACCTGAACATTTACGAGCTGCTCAAGAGCCAGGAACTGCATCCGCAATACTATAGCTTCAGGTGGCTCACACTACTTCTCTCGCAGGAGTTTCCACTGCCCGATGTGCTGCGCATTTGGGACTCTGTATTTGCGGACGAACAGCGCTTCGATTTCCTGATTAAAATATGCTGTTCCATGATATTGTAAGAGAACTTTTATTTCCACTAGAAAGCTATGACTGATTTTATGAGTTTTTCAGAATCCAAAGGGAAGCCATTTTGGAAAACGACTTTGCCTCGAATGTGAAACTGCTGCAAAACTATCCGCCTATTGATATTAATGTTGTGATTACGCATGCCGGTTCGCTGGCGTAGCAAACGTCCAACAATATATCCCAATGCCCAAATGCTTGCAAAGCCCCCTAGTTTGTCGGTTATCAACGGAAGGAAAGAAAGCAATCAACTACATTCTAGTTACGCACCTTTACAGGAACTCCAATAAGTATACACACACACAGTTACTTTTATATGACTAATAATTTGTATGTCATTAAAAAACGAAGTAATTTTAACATTTTGTGGTCCCAATCAGATAAAAGTCAGAACGTTAAAGAAGTCATAGGTTGGTCAGTCGTTAAAAGAACACCGATGAACGTGTGGCATCGTCTGATAAAACACAAAAACACCGTTCCACGTATCACTTGTTTAGCTTGGGCGCCGTATCCTTGCATATGGACTGCGCAATAAACTCGATGAGTGTCCTCGTTGGCCGCCCGGCCATCCCCTGTCGCAGATACTCAAACTCATCGCCGCGAGTGATCATCACATTGGTGGCGTCCTGGAAGGGATAATTACTTTAAATTAAAGCTCTAAGGTTTTAAAAGCTTTACTTACAATGTGCATCCACTGTCCGCAGGGCACGAATTCACGGAGGAAGGCGGCTGCTTTGCAGGGACGTCCACCACGGCCAATGCCGTAGTTCTGGACATCACTGCGACCTCCAGCACGTACCGCCTTGCTGTAGTAGTTCCACAGGGGGAAACGCCATACGCGGTCACCAGTGTGCATACTAGCGTGCTTGATCTGCTGCCACAGGATCTCAGAGTTGGTAAACACACCACAGGCTGCCTCATCCAACGCTTGTCGCATATATCCCGAGCAGGTGCCAATGTCTATGATGCACTTGGGACAGAAATTCTGGCCATACAGCAGGGCATCCGCCAGCACCAAAACATCTTCGTGATCTGTACACTGCACCTCGATGGTCTTGCCGTTCATGGACTTTACCATGTCGCCCGGACGGAAGGAGTTGCATCCAATAACGTTCTCACACAGAGGGATTAGGCCGCGGATATTGACCTAAGATCGGAGTGATTAAAATGTGATGAAGTTAGAAGTAATTCAGAAACTTACAGGCAATCTCAAGCCAGCCACAGCCCGACAGGTGGCCACCACCACAGCCGCTCCAGTCATATCCCCCTTCATGTGGAAGAGCTCCTGTTTTTCCTTTAAGCACAAGCCACCCGCATCGAAAGTCACTCCCTGGCCAACCAGGACAATGGGACGTTCCTCGGCACAGGTTCCATAGTAGCTAAGCTCCAAGAAGATGGGTGGCTCGCAAGAGGCCTTTCCCACCGCCAAGAAGGCGTGCATCGACTGGCTCTCCGCCCAACCCTCGACCTTGACCTCCACGTTCACGCCGGATTTACAGAGCACCTCGACGACATTCTGTGCAAAGGCAGTGGGGGTCAGCAAGTTGGAGGGCATCTCCTGCAGCTGGCGGGTCAGGTTCTGGGCAGCGGCCTTTTGCAGCCCAATGCGCCATCCTTCAATGTCGCAGATCTCATCCTTGGTGGCATACAAATCGATGGAGGGCACCGAAATCCGACGCTTGGGATCACGCAGTTCCTGGTAAATCCAAATCCCCAAGGCAGCTCCCTCCGCGGCAGACTCAGCATGACCACAGTTCTCCACCTCGATGCGGTCGGTGTCCAGCTCGGCGAGAATCCTGCAGGCATCCGCCACCGAGCGCCGGATGGCCTCCTTCTGCTCGTCCAGGACCTCGTAGGGATTGTAGCCCAGGCATTCCTTGCCCAGGCCGATAACCGCCACCGCTGAATAGTAGGGAACTCGCTCCGGCTCAACGGCGAACAGAAGGCGGGTCTCGCCCCTCTTGGGCATGGGTCCCGACATCCGGAGCACCTCCAGCAACCGGCCATGCGTCTTCTGGACATTGTACTTCCAGCCGGTGGGCGTCAGGATGCCGGCATCGTTCTTGTCCTCCTCATCTGCGTAGACTCCTACGACGAGGCCGCGCGACGGAGGATCCGCGCAGATCTCCATCTGCTGCAGCTGCAGCATTTGGTTAATCGCCTGCGAGGCGTACCTACGATGGCGAATCACCTCCGGCCGGCGGATGGCGAGCCTGCAGGCACGGGATATTGCGTTGCGCGAGAACCGAAACATTTTGCTAGAAGTTGAACTTAAAACTTTGATCAAAACAAAAGGATACTACTTGGTTTGATATAACTTGCTCTTCGATTTTCTGTGCCGCTCTAAAATAATTCATAGAATTTTTCACCCAGATTAGCTAAAAATGTGTACGTGTTCAACCTCGAAACGAATAAAAATGAGACTGAGCTCGTCTTGTAGGGCGTTTCTTCGACGAGGCACTGACAGAAGTACCAAAAAGGTTGCTAGATCTTCAAGAGTAAACGCAAAAGGCCAAGCCTGCTCGGGATTGATTTTTATAAATGCAAAAGCTACCTAATTTTAAATGCACTTTTCTTGATAACATTCGTAATTTGAACTCAATACAATGGCGCATTGTTCTAATATTTTATCAGACTTAGAAAAGGGGTTTTCGAATTCGTTTAACAATGGATTTATCTAAATGCAAATGCTACCTTAATTTTAATTGCACTTTTCTTGATAGAATTCGTATTTTCAATATTTTATATTTCTAATATTTTATCAGAATTAAAACAGATGCTTTCGAACTCGTTCAACTATGTTGACTCCCCTTGACTTTATATAATTTCAAAAATATATTAAAAATTACCAAACCAAAATTAACAATTGCAAGACAATTCAATTAATTTTAGATTAAATAAAAACCCAATTTAACATTGGCAAGAAATCAAATTAATTTTAGCCCGAGTATAAGAATAAGTCACCATACTTTTTATCAAAGTTCCGACAAGAGTCCTATATAAACCATCCTGAAGCACCAGTTAATACTCCCTTGCATTTAATAATATTCAAGATGCATTTTTATTCAATTCGAAAGAGAAATTTTATTAAATAATGTAACTTTTAACGAAAAAACAATTTTTTGGCCTGGGAACAATCTCGTTAGCAAGGGACAAACTGAATAATGACATCCATCCTGGACAGACTTTAAATAAATTCACCAAAAAGTGGACATGGTGGTAGCGCTTCTACTGCCGTTGGGATTTAGTCATCTTCTCGTCAGTTGCTCCTCCATCGGAACGCAATACCTATTTTCCCATCTTGGGAGCAGTGTCCTTGCAGATTGTCTGGGCAATAAATTCGATGAGGGTTCGGGTGGGTCGGCCAGCCATTCCACGACGCAAATACTCGAAGTCGATGCCGTTGGTGACCATTACATTGGTGGCGTCCTGTGGGAGTAGGAGATTAAGGAATCGTTCGGTATATTTAAGGATTATTAAACTTACAATGTGCATCCACTGTCCGCAGGGCACGAATTCACGGAGGAAGGCGGCTGCCTTGCAAGGACGTCCACCACGACCGATGCCGTAGTTCTGGACATCACTGCGTCCTCCAGCACGCACCGCCTTGCTGTAGAAGTTCCACAGGGGGAAGCGCCAAACGCGATCCCCGGTGTGCATACTGGCGTGCTTGATCTGCTGCCACAGGATCTCCGAGTTGGTGAACACACCGCAGGCTGCCTCGTCCAGGGACTGCCGCATATATCCCGAGCAGGTGCCGATGTCTATGATGCACTTGGGACAGAAGTTCTGGGCATACAGCAGGGCATCGGCCAGCACAAGGACATCCTCGTGATCCGTGCACTGAACCTCGATGGTTTTGCCGTTCATAGACTTGACCATGTCGCCGGGTCGGAAGGAGTTGCAGCCAACTACGTTCTCGCACAGAGGGATCAGGCCGCGGATGTTGACCTAAGAGGGGGACTATGAGTAGGGGAACTATCCAAGAATAGCCAGAATTACTTACAGGCAACCTCAGACCAGCCACCGCCCGACAGGTGGCCACCACCACCGCTGCTCCGGTCATGTCGCCGCGCATGTGGAAGAGCTCGTGCTTTTTCTTCAGGCACAGACCGCCGGCGTCGTAGGTGATTCCCTGGCCAACCAGGACAATGGGTCGCTCCTCGGCACAGGTTCCATAGTAGCTCAGCTCCAGGAAGATGGGTGGCTCGCAGGAGGCCTTGCCCACCGCCAGGAAGGCGTGCATCGACTGGCTCTCCGCCCAACCCTCGACCTTGACCTCAACGTTGACACCCGATTTACAGAGCACCTCGACGACATTCTGGGCAAAGGCAGTGGGTGTCAAAAGATTGGAGGGCATCTCCTGCAGCTGGCGGGTCAGGTTCTGCGCGGCAGCCTTTTGCAGCCCAATGCGCCATCCTTCAATGTCGCAGACCTCGTCCTTGGTGGCATACAAATCGATGGCCGGGACGAAGATTCGGGTCTTGGGATCGCGCAGTTCCTGGTACAGCCAGATGCCCAGGGCAGCTCCTTCGGCCGCAGACTCCGCGTGTCCGCAGTTCTCCACCTCAATTCGATCTGTGTCCAGTTCGGCGAGAATCCTGCAGGCAGCGGCCACCGATCGTCGAATGGCCTCCTTCTGCTCGTCCAGGACCTCGTAGGGATTGTAGCCCAGGCACTCCTTGCCCAGACCGACGACGGCCACCACGGAATAGTAGGGAATGCGCTCCGGCTCCACGGCGAAGAGCAGACGGGCCTCGCCCCTCCTGGGCATGGGTCCCGACATCCGGAGCACCTCGATCAGGCGACCATTGGTCTTCTGGAGATTGTACCGCCAGCCGGCGGGCGTCAGGATGCCCGCGTCGTTCTTGTCCTCCTCATCCGCATAGACGCCGATGACCAGGGCTCGCGACGGCTGATCGGCACAGATGTCCATCTGCTGGAGCAACAGCATCTGGTTGATGGCCTGCGAGGCGTAGGATCGCTTCAGGAACTTCGGAGCATATTGGCGGCACACGGCGGACCGACTGCAGACCCGGAAGAGCAACTGACGCGATTTACCGAACATGGCCCCAGTACTACTTTACACGAAAGTACCCCTTCAAAAAAATGTTGTTCCGAAAAAAAGCAAATAACTTGGAATTTATCGCCGGTAAAATTTGGTTTCCAATAAATTGGAAATTAAAAGGAAATCTAAAAGAAATCTACTGCAAGTACAGACAATTTTTTTACGTTAAATTTTTTACTGAGTTGTTTACTCTACGAGAGGTTAACGGATACTGAAGCTATAGAGTCTGGCTTGGGGTTGGGTAGCCAACGGAATCGGAAGTCGGGTGACGGATGGATCAGAGCCATCTTTAGGATTTTTCCATGGCCTACGAGGTTTGCAACGACACTAAAAACCTTTTAAAATTCAACCTAATAACAATATTAATCCAGAAAACTATTCATTTTTAACCCCTTTATTGTTAATACCTTTGAATTAACCTAACCCCTCTGAAATAAATTAAATCCAAGAGCATTTCTTTAGTTCCGTTTATTAGTTTCCATACTCAGCGTAATCATTTAGGTACAATTCGTTCATTAGGTAATACTGCTTAACATTTGAGACACAAACTAGACACAGACACGTACACTTATCGAGAACATTTTTGGTAACGTACATATACATGGGGTATATTTCTCTTTAGCTACTACGAGTAGATATTCCTGTATATAAAATAACAATGGCTATCGAACGTCCTCCTCCATCGTAATTCACTGCGACAATTCTTGTACTTATTGTATGTGTAAATCGACCTTTGGTTGGGTTGCCGTTGCCTTGGGATATGTTTCAGTTTAAATGGCTTCAGATTCGATTCCTTTTGTTTGGTGGGGTGTGGTTTTGCGGTTCGGTTCGGTTCGATACGATACGAAAATATGCAGTTGAGATATAGATATAGATATACTTATAGTTCCTTTTTGATCTGCGGGGGGTTCAATAGTTCAACAGAGACTAGCGTAAACTTTGTAAGAGTGCAACAATCTAAGGGTGCGCAGAGCACATAAGAGGCACATTAGTTATTTGAGCAACAATAGCATAGAGACTAGAGTGTTAGACAGCTGTGAGTATCCAAGATGCTTGGTACTAATCTAATCCGGTACTTTGGCATTCGTCAGCAAAAAAATCTCAACCCAGCTTGTGTAAAGCCAGGCTTTATTTCTGTACTTAAGGGTGGAACGAAGTTGTATCTAAAATATAAGGGTTCGCCTTTGAAATCATGACTTAGTCATTATAAGCTTCTAATTCACAAAATTATCCTTTGAAATTTAAAACTGTTATTTGACTCTTTGAGAATTGAAAACAACCTTGAGAAGATGGCTGCAGAATAATATCCTACTCAAGAAAAATAGATTTGAATTACTGGTTAATAAACTTCATGCAATTACTAGTTTAAAGCCACATTTCTCCAAAAGAAGAATGAATTCGAAGACTTACAGTTTTAGCAAATAGTTCCACACCATTGTACATGCGATATAAAAATCTGATCCTTATCGAAATCCGATCGAGCAGTGATCTTAAGGTGGCAATCACAAAATCGTGGTCACGGTCACGGGTAACCCGTCGGCATTCACCGCCCGCTCCGTCTGCACCCGGGTGCCGAAGCTCTCCACACTGGTGGCCTTGCTGAGATCGATGGCCGGCACGTCCTCGTCGTAGTCGGAGGCCAGCTCCTCCTCGGCCAGGTAGCTGCACTTGGTGCCCGGCGCCGCCTTCGCCAGGTGCTGCTCCTCGTGCTCGTGATAGAAGTGGGTGCGGTCCATGTAGATGATCCCGTCATCGGTGTCGTCGTCCGTGTGGCAGACCGGATAGTGGCCGTAGCCCGCCTCGCACTGGTACGGATTCGACTTGACATGCACGTTGCGACAGCTGCCGCCGCAATTCTGGTGGCTCTCGGCGTCCCCGCCATTGGCCCCGTAGCACTGGCCCCGGTGCAGCGAGTGGCCCGCCGAATGGCCGCCCGAGTGACCCGCCGAGTGACCGCCCGAGTGGGCGTTCACCTGACCCACGCCAGCCGCCGCGCTGCTGGAGTGGGCCACTGACTGCTAGATGTGCGAGTGGGAGCGCGCTATCGAGAGCGAGTACGGACTGAGGTCCTTCTGGATCCGCATCGAGTCGTAGATGGGGAACTCGCAGCACAGGATGAACTTCAGGGCACTGGGCACCTCCACGTAGACGGCGGGGGGCACTGGGATCAGCGGCGAGGTCGAGGCCTTGTACTTCCGGTACTCCAGCTGGCTGCAAAAGGCGGGGGGAGAATATTAAATCACTTAAAGGGACAGCTCTATAAATTATTCAAGAAGTATGTACTTTATGAAACCTTAAGTATCTCGCTAAAAGGGCAGTTTTATTTATTTTTTCTACAGTTCTTTTATGATTATTAACCCCAGTAATAACTTAAAAAATAATAATACTTACTCTTTGTACTTCTCATCGGCACTTCGTTCCCTCAAGGGAATCCCGGACAAAAAAAGTATGATCATCGTGGTGAAAATGGGTGAGGCAATCGCCACCCACTCGTGACCGCTGATCACATTCAGCGATATGGCAAAGATGCCCCACCAGATGACTACCTCCCCAAAGTAGTTGGGATGCCGGGAGACGCTCCACAGGCCTTTTAGGGATTACACTTAATAACTTATACCAAAGAACATTATCAATGGCTTACCATCATTGCAGAACTTGCCCTGATTGGCCGGATCCTGGCGGAAGGAGAACTTCTGCAGATCCGCATAGGTCTCCGCCAGCAAACCCACGATGAACATACCCGTTCCCGTGGAGTCCAAGGTGGTCATGGTCTTTGGGGCACGCGGCTGCGAGTGGCGCGGTGAGTTGATGATTATTACAGGCAGTGACACAATGTACACCCACACGGCCTAAAAACAGGAAATTAAAATTCAAGTAAAATATAAACCTTTTAAAATGTAAATTTTAAATTAAAAGGGGTATTTCTTAAAGCTTTCGAGAACATAACAATCTTGGGAAAGTATTATTTGTAAAAATACACTGTTAGCTCTAGAAGAAATATAATTATCTAGGATCATGGGTCTTATCAAGCAATGGAAATATTTTTTAAAGCCTTCTGCAGATCTTAACTTTTTAATATTTTTGTTAGAATTTAGTAAGACTTAGGAGCATCTTCAATCGTTTTTAAACCATATTTTACTTTCCCACTTTGACGGAAAAACCGAGAATTTTTCAATACCACACTCAACAAAACTGTATCGAATTGAAGTCCCATCTACCAGACTCTTTTTCATTTTGGCAGTTATGCTCAAATTGCAATGGCAATATTTCAACTGGCAACAAGTGATTGGAATTCGGGCGAAATTCGAAATAAATGGAGACAAAACGATGGCGGGACATGCCACATGCAGCACGCCAGCGCCAGCACCATGACAATAAAGGCCGGACGGACTGCAACCACCCACTCGGCAGCAAGCCGCCCACAAGCCACCAACCACCCACTTGGACACCAACCACCACCCACCGCCCGCTCAACGTTTAGTTGGTGTCGCCCACATGTGTCATGTCATTCTGCCAGAGAGAATGGCGCTTTAATTGCTGGTCGGTCTGGGTCTGGGCCACATTGAGATTACCATTTCCAACCAGGCCGACAGGTGCTGAAATATGAAATATTCAAAGCCTTTGCGCACGTGTCAATTAGTGACAGTTTGATTGATTTTCCACCTCCAAGTTGAAGGTTCTGTCATTGAGAGTCGAATATTGAAAAGTGGCTGACGCAACCGATTGGTTTAGCCCCACTAGAACTCACCTGGAAGGTCCAGAAGACCGCGTAGCGAATGATGTTGCGGCGGGTATCCTCGAACTGCTTGTCGCGACCCAACTTTATAATGCGATATAGCAAATATCCGGACAGCCTTGCGCCCCACAGGCAAACGAAGAACGTAACCATCAGCTGGCGACTGTCGTAGGCCTGGAAATGAGGTTAATATAATAAACTAAATCGTTAAATTGAGGTGTCTAAATAGAAAGGCGTTAGATAAGCAAAAAATAAATTAATTTATAAATTTCATATTGTGCTTATAAAGGTAAAGTTATACTTCAGTTTGGTATTAACAATCCAAATATCTTTTAAAATCATTATTCCATTGTCTTTCATTTTATACAAATTTTAATATTTTAGTTGCAAAATCTTGTTTGTTAGATAAAACCACTTTTTAAATACAATACAATACAAAAAATCGATATGAAACGTAAATCTATTTTACAATATGTAAGCTCAATTTTAATTTGATACTAGGCCAGGTAAATTTTACCTGTTCGAAAAGAGTATTTCATGTAAAAACGATATGGGTGCATGACCTTAATTTGCATGGCCGAATCGATTTTACGGGAAGAAGATTTTATGTTGTGTGGGTTATAAATTATAACTTATAATTTATTTAAAAAATAATAACCAATTAACTTTTTATAAAACGTTTTATAAAAAAATTAAGTTTAATGTGTAGAACTCTGGACATGAGTTCAATACAGTAAAAATTCAACCTGAAGGTTGAAGAGAAAACTCATCAGGAAGAAGGCCATTCTTAAAGATGTTTTTGGGCAATAAACTGGAGAGTGTGGTCGTATCACGGCAATAAACATTTAGTGGTTGCCATTTGCCGGATGAGATATATATTCGAGGGCAATTGAGGGAGGCTCGGCGAAAGTTCGAGTTCAAGGCTGAGCCGGTGTATCCTTGGACAGGAAGCAGCTCTCGTAACTATTTTAGTATCCCCACAATAACAGAGGCATTTTCCTCACCTAGGGTATCTGGCGATTCGTCCCCTCGCCTCCGAATGCACGAAAATTGATTGCCCAACGAGCAATTTGCACGAATTTTCAGTTTTTGCACCGTCAAAGGAAAACATTTTGTGCTTTTATTCGTGGATATTTTATTTTACAAAACCACTTTCGGTGGTCATGCAAATTTTGCATAAATAAAGCGGAGCACGCACGAGTGCAAGCGGTTCTATGCTCCGCCCAGCCAACTGCCAAAGTGGCCACGGGGCAGTTGGCAGTTGGTTCAATAATGAATGAGTCGACTGCACTTTGCATATTTATAAACGTCATTGGCGGCGAAACTGAATCAGAAATGCATTTCGCGTGGTTGAGGAGGAGCCAGCCAACCGCTCCTTCGTCAAACGCCGTCATGAAAAATGCAGGAAAAATTGTTAAATTGCTTTGTCAATGGCAGTGAACAGGCGGCTCATGACCGTAACCGCCAGCCAAAGTCGATGGCAGGGCGAGGTCATATGGTCGTAGGACTATGGAAGGGCGCACTTTATTGAGGGCCCCGAGCAGTTGATAGTTTAATGGGTTTGTCGTATCGCAGGGCGGACTTGATTGCCCATTTTGTCGTTTGATTGAGCTGCCTTTCAGCCGGGGCTTAAGCTATTTTATCGCTCGATTTATTAAGCGAGACTGAACGGCGATAAACCATCGACAGGCGACTGCATACAGCGCCAGTAAAGCATTTTTATGGCCATCGCACAGCTGCAGCGAGCAGTGAGCAATTGTGCACTGTAGTGCTGTACAAGCGACAACAGCCACAAGCAATGGCAGCACTTCCGTTTCCGCTCGACGTCCTGCGTCCGCCATTTGCCTCCAGTCTTTAAATAAATTTTGCATTCCTAACTTAATGTCTGCTGGGGGAAGTTTAATTTTAATTTACGATCGATACTAAATTCGTTATTGCCACAAAAGTGTGGGAAGCAAAAGTTTATTGGACATTCGAACAAAATTAATACCTCGATTTTAACTTCTTTGTTTGATTTGTAAACAATTCGGCCCCAAAAATTAAAAGCTCATAAATGTGTGTGGTCGTGCAGATTTTACCCTCGATTGTTTGTTTTGCACACGAGTTTGCCCAGCAAAAACCCACAACAGAATCGATAAGAATGAATTTATTTCTCAATTTGTATCTCTTGTGCTGTGCGAATTGTTATAAGCCCTTAATGGGCTTTCATGGGCTATTCGGTAAATCGATACATTGAGGGGCGTTTTAAACTGGAAACTGAAACAAAGCTTTTACGGTCTTTGTTAAAGAGGAATATTATTGTTTTATCTTTATTAAGCTCCTCTTAAGAGGTTTTAATGATCCGCAAGTGGGTGTTTCTCTTATTAATTAAAATAAATTAGCCTCAAGTGCAAAAGTGTCAGATAAGCAGACAGGAAAATGAAGCACATGACAATGGAAATTGAAACCAAAATAATTTCACTCTTTGTTTGCGTCCGTTCTCTCATATTTCATTCAATAATTAGGGTAATCTTAATTAAAATCTTTTGAAGAGATGGTAATGAAGCGAAAATGAGTATTTAATATTAATTATATTAAAAGAGCCGGCGGTAAAGTGTGTCAGCATCAAAGATAAATCAAGTTAAATATACGCGGTTCAATCTGAAGCAAAAAAAGCAGCTAAAATCATTTCAGCATCTCAATAAATTTCATATTACAGGTACCGTATAAACTGTATATTTGTAAATAAATAAACCGATGGCTACTATTATTTTTCTAAAATTAAAAAATATTTCAAAAAATCGCAAAACAAATATTTTAAAAGTTTTTTTTATTAAAAATCTAGGTAATGTCCATTTCCCAAATAGTTCTTCGCACGTTTCATTGGCAGCTGTCAAATTATGAAATTTAAAAACAAAGCTATAGATACAATAAGTTTGATCCCCTTGTTAGCACGATTAAAAAGTATAGTATACTTTATGAGTAGAAGCTTGATCGTCCACTAAGAGTACTATGGTCCTCGTAATGAGCTGTCAGTCACTATTTAAGGTAAACATTGTTTTCCTCTTTAGCACCGTGCTAATTAAGGGCTTAACTACGAAATTGGCCATCGTGTCAAGTTAATTAATTATAAGTTATGGACCATTCTGGAGTGGATAGATTCGCTTTCAGGCTGCCCGCAAATAGCGTTAGTTGGCTGCTTAGGCATCGTGATAGCCTGGCGGAAGGACACGGCGACAGACAGATTGAAGACCCTCACGATGCCAAGGTCATGTTCAGCCAGAAGGAGACCCACGAGCCACAGCTACAGCTACAGCTACTGCAGATATAACAACAAATGGAACAACAGCAAACAACGAGAAACAACAGCTGAAATGTGGGCCTCGGTGGGCGTAACCTTTTGTTTGTCGGCAATGGATGTTTGGGTCTGTATGCGTTGATGTCTGTGTCTGTGTCGGCGTGCGTATGCAAAACTCAGTTTTCAATGTCAGCAGCCGAAACCACCGAAACCCACCCACCGCCCATCGCCCACAGCCCTTCATAGAGCACCCAAAACCACCCACTACAGCAGCCCCTTCACGCCCAGTTGGGCGACATGTTTATGGTCAGGCTTCAAGTTCACAGGATTTAATTTGCTCGAAAAAATACGTATACGCCATATATGGCGCAATGAAAGAGTGCGAGCTAATAAACAGAATAAACAAAATGGCTCATAAATTATGCATTGTTAAAATTTCAAGTATAGCCATAAATTATGTTCAACATATCAGATATAAAATATATTTGGCTTTTTCAAATGAATGCAATACAATAAATTTTATTTGTTCAACAACAATTTGTATTCATTATTAGTTTTGGGAAGGCTGAGTTAAATGTTTACCATAACCAATTTATAATCTTCTTAAATTGGTATAAAATCTATCCTATTTATCTTTAATTTGTAAATTATTAAATTGTAAGGTTTTGTTTCAAACTAAAAAAAATTGTTTGTTAAATTGTATTTTGCGGGTTTTTAATTAATATTAAATAAATTATTATTTTGATTTCAAGGATGATTTTTGCATTTTTATTTAGATAGGTAACTTCTTGTATAGTTTTGGAATACCACATTTCCATTCACTTTTCACCCGAGCATGATACTAAGAAACAATGCCCATATTCTGACCAAATTAAAATGATTTCGAAGATACTTATTGTAATAATAAAATATTATCTCAAGTAAATTCCACTTACCTTCGAGGGCCGATCAATTTGGCCGAGGAAGAAGGTCAGCAGGGAGATGATGATAAAGTTAACTCCGCCGGCAAAGTCCGTCAGCTTGTCCATTTGGAGCATGGAGTTGATCAGGAAGAAGACCAGCTGCAGACTGCCCACCACAATGGCGCTGATGGCGAAGTGATCGTAGTCCAGTACGTTGACGGCCATCGTTGTGGTTTTATCCTTTCTCCCTTCACCTTTAACCTTTCACCGAACTCTTTAGCCCCTGTCCAGAGTTTTATGGACGGGTCGGCAACAGGTACTCGTCCTCCTCCTGTCTGTTCTTTAATATTACAAAATGTTTTGCCTTCACATCGCCTCACTCACACCTATGCTCGGCTTCCTCGAAAAGTGTCTGTGCCACTCCCCCCGCCCACGGAGAGAGCTTTACATGCTGTGGGTGGGTGGCTCAGTGGTTGGGTGGTGCTGCCCGGTGGGTGGGTGGTTTGTGGCAGCGTTTGGCTGCCAGCCAAGGAGTCTCTCTTTTTTTGGGGCCGCTTGTTGATTACGTATTTATGTGATGATTGTTTATTTGGGGTCGCCTCTGCAAAGTGCAATAAATAATGCAATTTGTATATGCTGTGGCAGCTGCAAGTTATTTGCTAAATGAAAACTTAATTCAATTTCCCGCGCTCAGCGGCACGCAAATAGCATCATTCTCCCCCTTCCCCCAAAACCCACAAGTTACCCCTTGTCCTGATGCTATTTAAATAAATTTGAGCGAAACCACCTCGACATGGCAACAATCTCAAGCCGTTTTTGAGAGTCTGTGAGCATTGAGCCGGCAAATCGTTGGCAAAACGGAGACTAGAGCAACATGCTATCCTGGGCAGAGGTGCAGATAGGGTGTAAATTCTACTTAAACAAATAAAAAGAAATAGAATAAAGGGATTACAGGAAAGCTTATTTAAAATGCCTCCACAAAAAAACTCTATGGGATCAAATCGACATGCGCATGGTAAGTATACTGGTATACTTATACGCTTATCTGTTTTTCCTAATTCTCTGTCTAGCCTAAACGAATTATACCTCTTTAACTGAAAAACCCTAAATATTTTTACCTACTAAAATATTAATCAAACTTAAAATTCAAGTATTTCTAACCCCCTTAAATATAATCCTTGCTAAGCCACTGATCCTATGGCCATAAGTGTGTGCTGGAATGGTTTATATGGCACACACTTGAGCTGGCTGGTTTAACTTCTTGAGCCTTTATTTGCCTCTTGGGCTTGACTGCATTTGCACTGCTCTTCCTTTAGGCCCTCAACTATCCAAATATCCACACACTTGCCCCTTGGTTGGGACAACATTTTCAGCCCGCATACATAATTAACAGACCGAAATGGTTATCTATGATGCAGTCTGCAAATCTGGCCACTCACACAAGAACGTTACAATTTATAGTGCTTTCGGTTGAAGAGCCGCGGGGAATCGATTTTCGGACAGGTTAAAAGGGGGAAGCTGTCCAAAATTTACTGTCGGCGGATTAGCTGCGCTTGAAATGCCCGTTGAAATGTGTTAATTGGTCTGCGGTTTTCCGTTTGTTTCGCTCTCAAATTGCGACTCAATTAAATAAACATTTTTACGGATTATTTCGGAGCATTTAATAATTTTAGCTGACTCACAACGTATTAATAATTATTTTAATTGACTCACTCAAGTAATCCAATTTTAGCGTGACAATCCATGATTTTCAAGTCTAAGAAGCTCTTAAAACTTAACTAATAATGGGAATAATTTCAGTTGGAATTAATTTTACTGCTTTGCAATTAAAAAGTTCGCTTGCAGTTATTCGTTTTTATTAAGTCATTCAGTTAACTGGAAAAGAAAGTTTATGGTAGTTGTCAAAACTTTTCCCCGCGTAAAAGTTTCCATTAAATTCTGCGACTTCAGCTAAACCTGTTATAATCTGAATTTTTAATTTAATTTAGGATAATTACAAAGCCACTTTTACCAGCCAATTAAATTCACCGTGGTTTTAGTAACTACTTAACTTTTACCAACCATATTATTAAAAGGATTTTCAATTAACTGATGGGATTTGCGAATATATAATTAAAATTTCTTCGGTTTAGCAATCGTGTGTGAAAATTCAAAGCTAGTGAAAATTATAAAAGGAAGTAAATGCAAATTGGACGTTGCTTTTCGCTAATTGGCGATGTCGGGCCCACAAGCTAAGCTAATCCTATTCGCAGGGAATTCCTAGCAGGCCTCCTTTGGGGCCCACCAAAGTATGCAATGCTTTTTGTTCTTCGCATTTTGCCAAAGAAATGCATCAGCATTGCACATTCATTAAAGCAACACCCGCGGCGCCTTCAAGGCCCAAAAACAAAAGCAGCAACCGTGTTAAACTTGTGCCACCTCCTAAAAAAAAAGGTAAATTCACCTTAGTGTATGCAAATATGCAGCCAGTCAGCTGTGCTGTTGCCACTTGGCTTGCTCCCTGCCTGTTGTCATTGTTGCTGTTGCTTGTGTTACTTTGAGTTCTTGGTACACAGAAAAAAAATGTTCTATACTTAATCAAATATTACACATATTTATAATCTTTTTAATTACAATCAGTTTACATAAAATTGAATATAAATTATTTCGATTTTTTTAATATACGTTTTAAAAATATATTGACAAAAATAATTTGTTTACAAGAAATAAAACGTTTTAGAACCTAATTAAATTAAAAACATTAACATTTTATTAACTTTATAACATATATTTAAAACTTTATAGAATAAGGTATTTTTTGAGCACTTAAGATTTCGGTTTGAAAACCCCTTTTTACTATATTTTACAAGGAACCTTAAAATGTATCCCGTTTTTTCCAGTGTACTTAACATTGCCTGGCAACGCGTGGCAGAGTCGCCGGTGTGATGATTCCTGGCGGGGGGTGGGGGACAGGGGTTATTCGTAGCCGCAAGACATTGACAAGGTGTCTGCCAGGCTGTCACTCACACTCACCGCAACTCACTGCAGTTGTTTGTTGTTTTCCCAGGGCGGTAGTCTCTGTGTGTGTGTGGGGCAAAGCTCAGGAGTGAATTTGCATATACGACAAGGACCCCCCACCCCCGTTCCCGCCCCCCAGCGCCTTACACCCCCGTCCCGAAATGTTTGTCCCCAAGCTGTGCCCACTTTTAAACGCATTTTCGCGTGCTTTGCATTTTTCGCCAGCGTCGTTTGCCATTGTCGCCACCTTCTTGTGGGCATTAAGGTATGCCAGCGATGCAGTTTTCCACCACAATTGAACAAGAAAAGCCAATTTCGATGGGGTTGTAGCTAATATATTTTGACAAATGGAATGAAGCGGGCTTTGCCAGTAAAGTGAAAGGATTTGCCAAGAAGCGGTAGCCAAGAAACTTTTATTCCTGACCTTGATGGACTTGACGTTGAACATTTTGTCACGTATCAGAGTGGACCTCTTTAAGATGATGTTTTTAATGCACATATGATACAATTTAACGGTAGGACGAACTAATAGGATTTTGTAAAATTATTTATATAATTATTTAAAATAATTATAATTACTTTAAGAACTAGCCATAAAATCTATAGTTAAATCTCTGTGGTTGATCAAAACATGTGCCTAAAACTTTAAAATGCTATCGATATTAATTTATCTTAGTTAAATTTGTTATTAAGTGATAGAAATGGGTAAAATCCCTTGGCAAAATCTGTGTCACGCTTATTTCACACCTTTTTCCGTGCACTTACATGAGTTCTGCTTTAGGTGAAAACATCCAGAACAAATTGAATATAACCCTAAAACTATTACAAAACATTTCACGGTCGAGCCAAGACAATTCTCGATTTTCCGCGCGCGACTACTATTATTTTGCGCTGCCAGTATTTGTTTTCCTGTGGGCGGGTGTGTCAGACCGCGTTTGCAAGTGCTCTTGGCACTGAAATTGCAGCCATGTAATGGAATTGGCTGCGGTTCAACGGTGCGTATGATTAACTTTATGGCAGCGGCAAAGCGGAGGACTAAACAACTTTCATTTAGGGAGCAGCAAATTGCCCTGCTGTGCGATACACACCACTTACCAACTCGACTGCCTGTTGGCCGTTTATGCTAATTGTTTGTCATAGTTTCGGAATCGAGCAAAGTGACCTAAAAGTGACAGTGGCAATTAGGCATCTGCCAGGAATTTTAGTTCGTGTTGACACTATCGATTGCCTGCTGAATGTCGCTCGCAATTGATAGTGTCGAACTTCCCCTGCTGGCCGCAAAAACCTAATTTAATTATACCATTCTGACCATCACTTACTGCATCAACATGCAGTTTACCCCTGGTAATTGACAGTCGAATCACGTTTGCTTTGTTGGACATAGCAAGTGCATAAAAAGGTAATGGATTCTTTGATAATATTTGATATTTTTTGGGTTAGTGTAAAATAAATGGTATAGTGCCTAACTACCTCAAAATAAATAATATATATTAATAAATAAATAAAAATATATACTTCAAAATTTAATTTATTTAAGTGTTGACTTTAAATTTTAATTTCCAAGCTGGAGACTTTCTTTGTTTGCCCTTAAGCCATCTGAAGAATTAAAGTTTGCTTTGTGATATCATCTCCAGGACTTTCTTGCTCTCGAATTTTTCCCTAATGTTTGCCCATTCCAAGGATTCTGCTGTGTAATCCGACGAAATTGTTTTCCCATGGCCCGGCCAAAATGGAAATGCATTAAACTGAAATATTCATAAAGTGCAACTCATGGCGGGGCAATTCAATAAGGCCGAAACCATATTGAATTGACTCCCAGCGAAGGGAAATCTCCATAATGAATAAAGCATTCCGTTGGCAAGATTGGCACTTTATGTAATCCCACAGAACATCGTCGGCGGAGGCGGTGGACAAGGCGTGGGAATTCACTTAATATGGGCAGCATGGGCACCTTGAACTTCGACAGAGTTTGCCAAGGACTTTTTCGGACGACGAGGACGGAATCGGACTCAACGGGTGGTCGCCTGAAGGAATATTGACGTTTTTTCAATTAAACCTAGCCACCAGGCACTTCGGCGGTTGTATTTATGGCGTTCAGTTAGTTCTATTTTTATGAGGGGGCGGACAAACAAATGGGATGTGTTTGTGCCAGTGTCAATAGTGTAACTGAAGCTTTTCCAGCTCGCTGGGCGTATGTATATATGCAATATCCCATATCCTGTGGCAGATAAATAAATCGCACAGTAGCTAAGCGGAAAAAACACGCGTACACACACGCACTGTTATGTACACCACAAGCACACTCACTCACACACAGGTGCTTAGAAAGAGACATTAGAGAGTGTCTTTCGGGTAACTTTGTCCGCCTTTTTTTCCGCTTTTCCGCTTTTCCAACGCTGACACAAGTGGGAAGTCAAGCAAGTTGGACACGCGCTAAGTTTTACAATTTCCCGCTGAAGGTCTCGCCGCCCCCTTTTCCTGCCCCGCCCCCTTCTCCTTCCCCTTCCCCTTCGACCTGCCAAACAACTAACGCACATTTCCGTTTCCGCTTATGCCACAAAATGGCCAAAAGTGGCCGCCATTGGTGATTAGTTACGATTTCGTATTTTTTTGCGCCTCCGCTTAATTTCTCCCCTCGTTGCCGTTGTGGCTTTGGTTTTTATTGCTGCCACTGCTGCTTTTGTTTTTCTCGATTGCAGCCAGCATCTACGAGGCGAATGCAAACACACCGCCGCGCTTTTTTGCGAACGGAAGGGACTCGGGCAACCGACGCAACAGACGACTCCGGGTGGACTGAAATGGACTTTCTCTGCTCCCGCAGCAGCAGCTCAATTCCGGCTGCAAGTTGGGAGAAAGCCTCTCTCCCAAAAACACTGCGCAACTGCTTGCTGCGGCGAAAGGGCGCCAAGTTTTGAAACGCTTTTATGGAAAGTAAATCTAGAATCTGTATTTAGAAATAATTCATAAACTACAAATCATTTGTAACAAATGTGTACACATAATTCGCTTTTACTCTTCTTAAGGTATTAACTTTTACTTAGCAACCGTTTACAATATTTTACCATTTTGAATTTGCAAAAATTTAAACATTTTACTAACTTATTTTCCATTGAACCATTGAATTATCTTAGTTTATTGCCTTAAATTAAGCTGCTATAACACCAGACACCAGAGACTTTTGAAGATAAGAAATTTAGCTGAAGAGTTTCCAGTGACAATTATTTGCTTTGTTTCAATTTCCGCACTCGTAAGCACTTTCTTATCTGTCCAGCAATTCTTTCGAAGACCCAAAGCTTATTTGTACAGTCTTTTGTGTTTATTCCCGGTATTTCCCCTTTGGTTCCATAAAGTTACGCAGTCAAAAAATTAGACGTTGGCAAAAATTATCGCCAGTATATGTAAGTAAATTTCATGACAATGCTTTGCTTTTGCATCACTTGTTGATTTTGTTACTTTTATCTCCAAGAAGCCGAAATATGAAAAATGTGTACCAGAATAAGTATGAATGATTTTTATTGAAAAGTTATTCGGTTATATATGGAATACATAGTTTGGAATACATATTTATGGTTCTGGTTGACATAGAGAGAAACATTTTGGTATTATAAAATGCATTGATTGTTAGTTTTAATTAAAAAGCTTTTGCAATTCATAAGTGTTGTTGTAATTGTAGTACCTTTGTAGGTTATGGTAAATGCTTCTGGCATTACTGCGACACATACTTAGTTGTCGTTGATTTAGACGATCGAAGATATTGTGCCCGTTGGCCATGAAGAAATCCAGTCTGCCACCATCTAGGCGATCCACCAAACGTCCCCACATTTCCACCAGAAGAGGACCCTCGTCGCGTTGCCAGTTAACATTATCAATTACATCGAGGAGCACGGTTTTTAGCATGTAGCTGGACAGGTGCGGCAGTTCTTCGGAATTCCCATCACGTAATCCCTTCATGAGACGCAGTACGTTCTTCAGATTGTAAGAGCCCTTCATCACTTCACGTTCCCAGGTTGGGGCGCAAACCATAAAGGTGCGATCGTCGGAGCTTCCCGACTTCTTTTGCGGAATGGCGAACCAGGGATATTGGCTACGCACCTGGTAGGGAACCGGTGGAGTGGCCGGGAACGGCCACTGAGAGACATTGAACTCAAAAGCCGGAACGAAATCGAAGGATATGGTACGATTTCCGCACTTGGCCTCTATGGAATGGGCGCAGCCGTATCCCTCCATTGTATAACTCACAGTATACGAATTGCCAGAGCTGGTACACCGAAGACTCAAAGTTGGATTGAACACCTTCTTGAAGATACTACGCAACCATTCCTGAAGATCCTGGCGACGAATATAGCCATCATAGGATACGATCCGCGAGTTTGTTCCTCCAGGTGCATAAAGGAAAACGAAACCCTTTTCGTCTGCCTTCGGAGTAATTTGAAATGGGAACTTGAGCTTCAAGTGCAAATCGAATTCATCGGGAGTCACTAGCTTGACGCGATCCAAGTAACTGCCTGATAAGAACAAATTTTTATATAGACAACTATTTAGGCATATATTTATTGCAGTGATGGTCAGCAGAAGCCTGTGTGATTTTCTCTGCGAACCTTCTGGAAGTGAGCCTTATGCTGTGCGAAAATCCCGAAGGAGGTGCTTCTGCTGGTCATAACTGGTCTAAAATTAACTTACCACCCAGGCTCAGGCCGTCAAAGGCATTGCGAAAAGTCGGGTCCACCTTTTTCAGCTCCTCAATCACATGGTTTTGAATGGCAATCGCATCCCTCGTGTATACGCAACGGTCGTCGTCGGAGATTTGCAAGTTATTTAAGATTTCTTTTATTTTTTGCTGAGAACTCATTGTAACGCGACTTATTCTTCTGCCAAATGCAAGTTAAACCTTTTACGACGAACTTTAAAATTCGAATGGAATATTCTGGGGCTCCCCTTTTTACGACGCCTCGGTCTGTTAAGTAACAGCACTTGATGACCAATGTTCTGTTACCTACAGACTTTTAGCTGGAATAAAAAGAAAAACCCGCTAAATGAGGTGGTTGCACTCGCTAACTTAGCCGATGCACCCTCCGCAGAGTTCATATTTACGGAATTAAATTGGTATTTCTCGGATATTTGTCCACCTTTTCAGGCAACAGCTGTTCGAACGTATCAAATCGGAACTGCTCCTTGGATTTTCCTATTTTCGTGGGCAACTCCTGCTTTGGAGTCGGTTGGCGGTTGCGTAATAAGGCGCCTCTACCTGGTTTCTGCTTGGCACTCGCAGCTGCGGAATGGCGTTGGCGTTGCGCGTGGCCCGGTTCGCCTCGATTACGGCCAACTGCTGGCCCCGGGATCGCCGGCCACTTTGGCACCTGTGCGGCAGGTGAGAGCGCGATAACCTGACCCCAATTAGCAATCAGCATTAAAATTCAATTATCCAGGCAGAGCGATAGGAACAGGAACTACGCCACGAAGCCCGAGGCCGCGGCCGCGACACCGGCGCAAATCAAGCGAAATGTGGCCGCCGAGATAACCAGCGTGGGCAAGGTCATCTACGAGACGGGCTGGGATGCCAACAAGCCAAAGGTACAGCCCAGCAGCAGCACCTCCTCCTCCTCATCCTCCTCCGCCCCCCAGCCGCCCAAGAAGCCAAGAAGCGAGGACGAGAAGCGCAAGGAGCTGGACACCGTAAAATCGAAGAGGGATCAGATGCGGGACAACATGCAGGACTACATATTCACCCGGTACTTCAACTACGTGAAGAACTACGACAAGGTGCTGGAGAAGAACTTCCCCAAGGCCATGCAGCTGTACCGGGTGTTCTTCGATGGCGTCAAGGATTTCTTTGGCGACATGAAGCGCTTCCTGAAGATTGCCCGCATAGCCAATGATTCGCCGCAGGGCATCAGAGCCCTGAATCGCCAGGAGCTGGAGCTGTACATGCAGATGCCGCGGGACATGATGAAGGTGGCCCCGGCGCTAATTGGCTGCTCCCTGCCCATGGTGGGCTATGCATTCTTTCCCCTGGTGTAAGAAAACCCTACTTCAATCCTGGAGTGTTGTAATAATCGGGAATTATATCGTAGCTTCTGGTACCCCCGCTCCTTTCTCACTGCCCACTTTTGGACCTCGCAGCAGCGCTCCGAGTTCCAGAGCTACTACATGAAGCGGCGGCTGGGCAACAACAAGGACGTCTTCCGCTGCCTGCAGGCCAAGCTCAAAGCGACGGCCTCGCATCCCAAGCACGCGGCCTTTGCCGAAATCCTGGGACAGCTGGGCAGCGGCACCCACCCCACGCCAGAGATGCTAATCGATGTGAAGGATATATTCGCCGATGGACCCTACTCCCTGCTGGGAATGTCGCGAAAGCATGTTGTAAGTCTGATCAGGGAAAAGAGAGGATGCAACTTGCTAATCCTCTTGCCTTAGAGAAACCTAGTCAACCTGCATGGCCTGCCGAGCAGCATCTTCAAGCGACACCGCCTGCACGAGCACGCCTTTCTGGTCCACTACATGGACCAGGCCATAACGCGCGAGGGAGGCGTTCACAATTTGACCCCCGAGGCCCTGCGCTACTCCTGCTATCTGCGCGGACTGAATCCCGACAGCCTGAGCAGCGAGGCGATGATCGAGTGGCTGCGCAAGTGGGTCAAGGTGTCCACGTCGATACAGGGCGAACATATCACGCTGTTCCTGCACTTGCCCATCCTGCTGGGCTACAACCATCCCAACAACTGGCAGACCATCTACGGCAAGTGCCCCCCCACTTGAGCGGGAGAATATTCGGTAGACTGCGCTTTAAAGATTGGACTGTTTTGATTTTGAGATCACTTTGTTTCTTGAGAGCAAATAAAACTGTTACACCCAAAAAGAAAAAAGGGCCGAGTGCGTGTGTTTTTCCTAAAAATAACACTTTCTTTTATTTTCTCCATGGTGGTGGATGTTCATCAAGCAGTTACTTTCGTTAAAGGTTGTTATTTTTACTTCTTGGCCGCGGCCTTCTTGCCACCCTTGGCCTTCTCGGCGCGCAGACGCTCGCGACGATCCTTCTTCAGGACGCGGGGAGTGCCGTCAGCCTTGGTGCGCTTCTTCAGTGTGTTGAAGGCGATGGTCAGCAGCTTGTTGCGCTGGCGCTTGGCATAACGCAGCTTGAAGCGGTCAAAGTCGTTCAACGAGGAGCGCTGCAAGGGGATAAATAGTGGATTAATAAGTGTAGTTTATTCGGGGGTATGGTAAACATAACTAGCTAATATTGTAATCAGATAAAATAAAAGTAGCTTCATATATGTGTCAGCCGGCAATTCCTATCAAGAACTTTCAACTATCATCATGTGCGGTTCAAGGAGGTAAACAACTAGGCAGAGAAGAAAGTGTGTCGTTATCTATATAATTTGTTGTTTATAAATGTTAAAAAAATGTATTCATGTTTGTTAACCATTTTGTAAAAATAAATAGATAAATGTTTACACGAACTAAATGTCTGATGAGGTTATAGCAACCATAAATTAGTGATTAATAATTACATTTGATTTATAAAAATGCTATTTTGATTTAGGAATGAAAATTTAGACTTTTACACGTGTTTTTTAAGGTTTAAAAAATCCAATTAATAAAAACTATTAGAATATATTACAAATGGATGAATGTTTACACAAACTAAATGTATAAACAAGTTATAGCAACAATAATAAGGGATTAATATTTACATTTAGTTTATAGAGATGCTATTTTGATTTAGGAGTGAATATTAAGACTCTTACACGTGTTTTAAGGTTTAAAATATAAGTTAGGGTTTTAAATATATGATATAAACATTTAGGATATAATACTAATTGAATCTTTAATATTTTTAAGACAAGTTTAAGATGTTGACTACCGCTTTTTTCTCTGTCTAGACCTCCCCTCCTCTACAACTAGGAATCCTTCTCCTATACTTCTTACTTACCTTGCAGATGTTCTGTGCCTTGACCGACCAGGGGCTGACCTTCCACTGGGCCTTCAGGTCGCTCTCCGTCCAGGCCTTGCGCACGATGCGCGTGGGCGCGGTGTAGGGGAACTTGATGCGGTACTTGGTCAGGTGCAGATTGTTCAATCTGTACTCCTGACGGGGCACGCCGGTCAGAGGACCATCGACCAGAACCTGCAGAGTAAACCGGCGATTAGTTGGGGCTCCCACACACTAAGGGTTAAGGGAGAGACTGCAACAAAGACCATGCGTGCTTGCTTGCTTTCAGTGGGTTAAACTAGCTTCATTTATGTGTCAGTTGGCACTTCCTATCAAGAAGACAAATTATCATCATGTGCAAGAGCGCGACACTCGGCCAATTGTTGCTGCAATCCCCGCCTGGAAGGAGGCACTTACTCTGTTTTGGTCAATGACGTCGACAATGGCCACCAGGCGCCCCTTCAGGGGACCTGCGGAGGCCTTGGCGATGCGACCAGTTTGTACGAATCTCTCGAAAGGCTGCAAGCAGAGAAATGCCCATTAGAAGTTGCTCGAAATTTTAAGTTCAGGTGCTGCATGGCCAGCGCGTTGTCCACCACGTGAATTATTTCAAAGGCAAATTTTCCACTATTGTTTGCGGCTCCCGAGCTGCATTCTCTTTTTACACGTTGAACGCACTGACCCGTTCGCTCGGCCGACAGACTTAATTCATCTCGGGCTCTTAGGACCGCTTAATTTCACATTTTTCAACCTAATCCGAAAAAAGTTCTCCGATTCTTACCATGACGCTAAACAGGAAAGAAAGAGAAGGAACGAATTTTTTTGACAGCTCGAGGCAACATGGCGTTGTAGGGTTGCATTTCGGCCAGTGTTGTAAAAACCAACATAGTGTGGCAGTAAACCGAAAACCATTTAGTTAGTATTTTTGATTTTAGTGCGTTGCAGTCACACTATATACAGTGGTCCACAGCTTATTTCAACCAGTCTCCACCAAAAACATCAACAGCCCGTAGAGGCTCACTTATTAGTGTCTTTAGTATGTTTGAAAAAATGTATTTGAAAGAAATAATTGAATTTTAATACATTTGATGCATTCTGCGTTCAAAATATTTTGATAACTTTTTTTGATTAGTTGTTAAAGTTTTTGGTGGAGACTGGTTCACAGCAAATAAGCTGTGAACCACTGTAGTATCGGTAACGTTTTATTGGTTGAGCGGAGACACCTTTCAGGCATAGCGGAGACACCATCCTGTCAGCCGATGCATCCTCCAGGCATTTCGGGGTGACCATTTGTGCAATTTTATTGGTATTTTTCAATAATAAATAAAAAGTGTATTTTGTGGAGACGAACCAAAAACAAGACAGCGGCAAAAAATAAACAAAATATTATTGCTAAATTACTAATCATTCGCGTGAATTGTAGTACACCTTGCTCAACATGGTTTACATACACTTCCCGACCAATTTAACTGAGGAGGAGCAGATGCTGCAGGCCAAGTACCAAAAACTCAAGAAGAAGGTGAGACAAATCTCGGTCTAATTTGTTAATATTTATTTATGTGGTTTTTAACTATACAGAAAAAGGCCCTGCAGGCGCACAAGGCGCCCAAGCCGGAGCCGGAGAGCTCCCTCACCCTGAAGCGTCCCACGGATGCCCGGGATGCGCGCGAGGTGGCGAGGAAACTGATCAAAAGCGGAGCCATTCCCGCCATCCAGAAGCAGACCAAGCAGGATCAGACCTCCTTCAAGCGGCCCAAGGGGCAGGAGAGGGCCAAGCGCTCCACCTCGGAGACCAGCGTCGCCTCCTACCAGCCCTTCTCGTCCACCCAGAACGACGTGGCCCAGGAGACGATCATCAGCGAGATCATCAAGGAGGAGCCGCGTCGGCAGAATCTCTACCAGCACTTTGCCACCGAGCGGGATCGCGAGGAGCGCGGCATGCCCGAGAAGGTGCCCATGGACACGGCCCAGCCGGAGAAGCCAAGGGCAGGAAACACTATCTTCGTGTCCGGCAACAAGGTCACCGAGGATTTCCTCAAGAAGACCTTCAACGACTATGGTACCATAGTCAACGTTTCCATGGAGATCGAGAAGAGGTAATGATGGAAAGAATAACTAGAGGTTTACATATTATAACTCACAAAGATACTCATTAGTTATTGAATCAAACAGCAGTTCAGTGAAAATGTTACTTATTGTTTTTGTGCCCCATTTCTTAAAGATATATTCGCCCAAATGAAGCTATCTTTATGTATAGTACTTCCCTGAGAACTACAGAAAGACACTTAATCACAAAATCGTAGTGCCTATAAGGCATAAAAACATATACGACATATTTTGCATATTATCGACATATCTTGCATATTCCTTTGCATAAAAAATTCATATTTTCGATATGTCGTTTCCATTCGAATACAAATTTTATAAAGTGCCTAAATCCAAAATTTGGCGGTATTTGTAGCATAAATACAGATGTCTAGTCATAAAGTTCCATAAAATTAGCTTATAAATTAACATACTCTCCTACACTGATTATAAGATGAATTCCCAATCCTAACCACACCTTATACTCCTTTTGCAGTCGCGGCTTTGTTTCCTTCGCCAAACCGGAGTCCGCAGATCGGGCCATTGCGGAAATGCACGGCAAGAATGTGAACGGCATCAATTTGCAGGTGCAGCTGGCTCGACGTCAGCCCCAGATTGAGCCCATTAACGATGCCTCCTCGTCGGCAGTCTGGTCTTCCATTGGTAAGTGCTTACACTTTATGCTCTGAAACAAAAGTCACACCTTGAATACTCTGCCTTTTAGCTGCCAGCAAGTCCCAAAAGGGCAGCCACAAGGACCACCGCGAGATGGTTCAATACGATGAGGATTTCTTGTTGTAAAGCTCCATTCTATTCAATACCTAGTTTATATATTTTACTTTCTACTACCTGCTCCCAGAAAGAAACACATTTCCGATTATTTTATATCCTTTTGCTTTATTGAAAATACGCTTCTATATATTTATGTATATATGTTTACTTTCTGGCTAAGTACTCGCATTTCAAATTATAACGTTCAAATGAATTCAATGAAAAAGAGTGTATGCTTTGTATATTAATTCCTACATTTTGGTCTAAATTAAACAACAATTTGTTCAACAATTGAATCTCTCGCTTCGCCTTAGATGGTAGAAAAAATGAGCAAACAAAATAGGATTTTATTGGATTAGTGGTCCTCGCTCCTTCCTCGCATGAAACTCAAAAACGTCTAAGTACATAGTTAATACATGGTCGTTGCTTCTCTTGCTTCTGCTGCTCTTCTCATATAGATCTCTATAGATTTCGTTGGTAGACAATGTTGAAAAATGTTCCCTCTATATTTCTGGTTAGTACAAGTTAGATGTCGGTATGTGTCTGATGGACTGGGATTCTGGTTTCGATTATGGTTGTGTTTTGTGACTAGTAGCACGGGCACGCCCCTCGCCCCTCGCCCATTTCCGCCCCCATTGGCGCACCTTTCCTAAAGTAATTTCTCGTTAGTATATCATTAAGGCCTTCAAGTTTCGAGCGGACACCTGGCCGCGTTTAAATTCGTTTCTCCTCCTTCCCCGTCGCCAAGATGCTTGGCCAGATTCGATGCTCCAAAATGCAAAACCCCCAAGGGATCCTCCAGCTCCTCACGTCTGCCGGCCATGCTCGTTTCCGGGCGGATTAAAGTAGTCCCAATGGTGCGTGTGCACCTGTCGCCCGGTTAGCAGGAATACCAGCACTCCGAAAGTGATCAGGATGAAGAGAACCATCAAAGCGGACACGTTGCGTGGCGCCTGTTGTGGCTCCACCGCCTCGCCGCGGACGTAGTGCGTCAGCTGGTTGATGATGTTCACCAGCTCCAGGCTGCAGGCGGAGATGAACTGCCGGCCTGCCTGGACGACCGTCTTGGGCTGATCCTCGTCGTAGTCCTCCTCCAGCGGCTGGGTGGCACTGCGGGTGCGGGAGCGACGTGATCGCGATCTGGGTCGCTCCACCAGCTGCTCCTCCAACTCGGAACCGGATTCGGGTTCGATGTGCTCCTGGACATGACGACGGCGGCATTTGTGCGGTGCCTTTCGATCGGATGGTTGAAGGGCCTCCGCTTGCTCCGCTTCGGCGCTGCGCTGGAGGTTGTAGAAGGCCAGTGGAGCGAGGGACTGGAGGTACTCCACACTGGGATAAGCCGCCGGCGGTGGAGGCAGTGGCAGCAGACCCGCTTCCGTCTGGGTCTGCTCGTCCAGATTGGCCAGCGGTGGCGATTGCTCGGTGGTCTTGCTGTGACGTGGTGGCTTCACCGGCTGCTCCTTCTCGGAGGAGGCGGGTTCGCTACTGGCCTGCCGGCTGGTCTGGGTTTCAGTGGTCAGCAGGCAGGGACGCTGCTCCCGCACCCGCTCCACAATATCGTCAATGAATCCGGGAGGCAGTTCGATATTTTGCACCACCAATTGCCCAGACTTGCACTCCAGTTCGTCTGCTTTAATCTGAGCGCCATGGAGCTGGGACACTTGGATCTGGCCAGCCTGCAGGGCATGGACTCGCAGTCGTTCCACCTCCAATTCAGCCAGGCGACTGGGGAACTGTGCTTCTGGTGGGGATTGCACCGTTTGAACGGGCGTAACTTCGCGGCTGGACTGCTCGGCAATGGTCAGAACGGAGGAGGCAATGGGCTCCAGGGCGGTGGTGGATTTGCGGCGTGGCGGTGGCAGAGGTGCCTCCTCCAGAGCCTCCTCCTCGGGTTCGGTGGGCAAAGTGGCCACAAATTTGAGCTCAACTTCGGCCTCGGTGGGTTGGCTAGCAGTGGACTTCTCCATTGGCTCCTCAACAGCCAGGATTTCGGTGTGCTCCTCCTCGGAAAGAGGCTGCTCTTCCTCAGAGGCATGGTAATCCACCTCGGAGGTGGCCTGCTCCTCTTCAGATTGGTGGTAATCGATCTCGGAGGCAGCCAGTTCCTCCTCGGAGAAGGTCTGCTCCTGCTCCTGATCCTTCTCCTTCTGACGGTAATCAGACAGCTCCTTCTCCATGGCTTCCTGTAGCTCCTTTTCCAGAGCCTCCTCCAGTTCCTGCTCAGTGAGCTCCTTTTCCAGTTGCTCTATCTCCTGCTCCTCTTCCTGTTCCGAATACTTCTCCTCCTCGTACTCACTGTCCCTGAGCGTTCGCTCCACCTCATCATCCTCCAGCCGGCTCTCGAAGTCGCTCTCCAGCTGAGCCTGCTGCAGCCGCTCCACCGCCGCATCCAAGTCCGCCGAACTGGCGGCATAGTCACTCAGGGCCACCTCGCCGTGCTCGTCGTCCTCCACATCGGATTTACTCTGCACCGAGCTGTCCGAGAGCAGGCCCTCGCGACGCAGTTCCTCCTCCTCGCGCCGCAGATCGTCGTCTATCAGATCGGCGGCACTTATGGGTCGCACAATCAGCGAGGCCTGCACTGTCGCCGAATCCAGATCCTCGCCAGCAATTAGACTGGGCGTGGGCACACGTCGCTCGATTATGACCGCCGATGAAGGCGTCTGCGGACGACTCAGCGACTTGGAACGATCCGCCTGCGAGGAGGCACGAGATCGCTCCGACATGCTGCGCTGGTTGGCGTCCCGGAATCTCTGTAGTCCCTTGGCCAGCTGCTCGTCCTCGGAGAGAACTCGTCCGCCGTCCACCTCGTCCACCTGCTGCTGGGCTGCCTCCACGCTGCGCAAGAGATCCTCCAGGGTCTTGTTGCCCGAACCATTGGAGCGTCGCGGCTCGATGATCTTCATGTCCTCGGTGATCTCGAACTCCTCGCACACAAAGTCATCGGGCAGGGGATCCGTCTGGGTGGACACCTCCACCTCGAACTCACCCTGGTCGTAGCTATCCGCCTGGCTGGAGCTGGCCACCTGCTCGCTGTCCTCGTAGCTGTCCAGGGTCTGGCTTCCGGCCCTCGTGGATCGCTTCTCGCGCGGAGGACGAGGTGGCGGCGGCAGCGGGCGGAACTTCATCTTGTTGATCACCGCGCCCGACTGCAGATTGCTGCGTTCCAAGGCCCCCGGCTCCTCGTAGTCATCCTCCTCCTGGGGCTGCTCCTTCTCGTAGCTAGGAAAAAGGTTTAGGATTTAAGGAGCATTAGAATTAAATCTTGAGATCAAGCTGCGAAACTGCGAAACTGAGCAAAAGCCAAAGGCAAAGGCGGTGTCTGTGTGGTGAACTGCTTTATTGTGTGTAGATTGTGCGTGTCTCGGGGGAATCGGATTAGTGGCTTAGCCTAGCCTAGTCTAAGAACTTAACAGCAAAGGAATATTAAATAAAAACTTAACAGAAATGCATTCGAAAACAGGTCAACAACAAAAATCAAGAGGTCAAAGCTCAAGAGGCTATACTCTTACTTCGACTTGATCATCAGGGGAATCTCGTCCAGACTGGCCGCGGATCGGCGGCGCGGCACCAGCGGCGAGTCCTCCGTGGGCACGTACTGCTGTGGTGGTGGTGGTCTTGCCGGTGGCGGGGATCCCCGAGAGCCACGGATGCTGGGCAACGTGGCGAACCGCTCGCCCGGCGATCGGGTGAACTTCTTCCGGCGCGCCGGCGGCGTGGGCTTCGGGAGCGGCTCCTTGCGGACCACCGCGTAGCTGGAAGCGGGCAAGAAAGCAACTCCTGGCATTCTTTGGTGCAAAAACAGGCGATCCTACTTACCCATCGCTCTCCAGCATGTCGATGACGAATTTCTCGTCGCTCTTTGTCCTTGGCCCCACATCCTCGTTGTCATCCCCCTCGGGCCGGAACTTCGTGTGCCCGTCCAGAATCATGGAGTCGGCACCGCGTGAAGTGCGGTCGTCCTCGGAGCGCTGCGTGCGCGCCGACGTGGCGTCCGTAAATCTATCCGGCGTGGCTAGCGGTATGTGACGATATTCGTGTTCAGTGCGATAAACAATTACCTAAAAAAAGGAAATAGTTGCAGTAATTATAGTCATTAAAATATGTAATTTTATATAATAACATTGTGTTACAAAATTAATGCTCTTTAAATTTACCTCGAAGGATCTGATAAATTTGAATTCGAAGCAGTTTTTTTTACGTTTTATGGCTATGTTTCCTTTATTTTTTTTTCTGCCTTAAAAAAAGTCTATAATTATTCTGTGTATAGGGTTCGAAAGATAAAGAATGTCACTTTTAAAATACTTTAACAGCAAAACAAACCATTAATTCGTTTGCCTGTAATACTCCCGGAAAGTTGGAAAATTTTTTAGCATTTTTCGAACTTTCGGGGAACTTTTTGGAAAACGCAGTTTAACTTGGGAATTTATAACGAATTTAAATTTATCGCATTTTTCGAGCTAAGTTTTAAATATAGCATAGTGTTGTTAATTTATAATTAAAGTCAAGTGTCTCTTAACATAACAAAGTTTAATTATAAAAAATTAAATTATAAAAATTCCACTCACATCTTCGTGTGGCTGCAAAAAGGTGTTCGATACTGATCTACCACCGAAGCCATTGATGAAGGAGTCGGCATCCTTGTCGACGGATGCGTCGTCCCTTGTGCGTTTCTTCTGGCGCCTCGGTGCCTGCGGACGGGGCTTCTGTCGCTCCTGCTGCTCCTCCAGCTCCCGCTCCCGCTCCATCTCCTCCTGAATCATCGCCGCTGCCTTGCCGCCGAAATCGAGGTTGTTGAGTGCCTGCTCGGACTCCGTGACCGGTTGATCCCTGACCGGAGGTCGGAGGTACTCCTCGTCGTCGTCGAAGTACTGAATGCTGCTGCCGCCATCCTGGGGGATGATATCCTGGCTGCCCTCAATCGAGTATTTGCTGCGACTGCGGGCCTTGCGCAGCGGTCGCTTTGGAGTGAATTCACTGCCATTTTGTGACATCGAGAGATCGTCGCCGTAGTCGCTGCGCTGGAACTCCTGGGAGTCAAAGTCCGGCTGGTAGTTGCGATGCAGACGACGTGGCTTGGCCGGCGGAACATCGTAGTCGCCGTATTCCGCCGGAACCTGCTCGGCGGAATAACCGACATGCTTCAGGGCATTCGGCATGTCGTAGCCCTCGCGAATGGCCTCGCTGATGTACTGACGCAACTGGATGTTGTCCTCGGAGATGCCGCGCTTGCGCAGGAAGAACTCGTCGTCATCGATGGGCTCCATGACTACCTTCTTGCCAGAGCTGGCGGTGGACTGGGCATCCTGCAGGTCGTGGAACTTGTAGAATCCCGCCTCCGCCTCCAATTCTGCCTTCCGGAGCAGCTTGTTCTTCTGTATATCCTTCTCCGTCCAGCCCTCGGCATCTCGGCTATCCTCCGAGCGCAAATCCGAATCCTGATGCACCATTGGCCGGCGCTTGAACTCCCGCGATCTCTTGCTCGAGATCTCGTGGATGGCGCGGTTCTCCTCATCGAATTCGGCAAACTGTTTGCTATCGGCCACCACGCCCAGGATGCCCATCTCCGCTGGCGGCTGGGCCTCGCTGGCCGTGTCCTCGGTGCCCTCGAGATCCTCCTTCATGCGTCGCTCCAGCGAGGATTCCCGGTCGAAGCTCTCCAGCTCGCTGCCATACCGCCGATACCGCGATCCCTCGCTGTCGTTGTAGCTCACATCCGAGAACTTGTCCGCCCAGCGGGAGCGAACGGGTCCGGGACCGCGATCTCCCTGAGGAGAACTGGTCGAGGTCTGCGATGGCTGCGTCTCCGTGCTGGGAATCACACTCAAACCCTCTGTGCCCAGTGATGACTCCGTGGCCACCGGAATTGGCTCCTCCACGGGCTTCTTCTTCCGGAAGGCACGTGGATAGGTGCCAAAGTTGAACTCGAACTTCTTCTTGGGCGTCGGCTGAGTCTGAGTGGGTGATGCAGTGGCTCCGGTGCCTTCTGGTGTCTCATCCGAAAGCACTTCACCCTCGTTCTCCTTGAAACTCTTGCTGCGACGCAGTTTCAGGGTGGACAACTTCTCCGGCAACTTGAACTTGGACATGTCCGGCTTGTTAAACTTGGTGAACTCGGGACGCTTTAGATCCTTCAGCTTGGACATGTCGGGTCGCTTGATCTCGGGCATCTTGATCTTGGAGAACTCGGGAGCCTTGAAGCGTCGTCGCTCCTTGGCCTTTGCTTTCGGGCTTCCCGAAATGGGTTTCGGTTTCGGCTTCGTTTGAAGACGGGTTCGCAGTTTTCCCGCCTGCTCACGAATGCCATCCTGCATCTTCTTGGTGCGATCCTGGGCCGAGGCCATGAAGCCCTTGCGTCGGTTCTCCGGCTGCAGCGGCAGCTCCTCCAGGGCGCTCGAGTCCACCTGGCTGGTGTGGATTTCGTAGTCGGTGCGAGATTCGGTGCGCGGCGTGGTGCCAGCCGAACTGAGCGGGGCATCGATCTCCATGGGCAGCTGCAGTTCGCTTGGGGGGCCAAGTGCTGGCGAGGATTCGTGCGCCGGCGTCACGCCCACGGGCTCGTATTCATGATCACTGGAAGATAAAGAAGGGTTTTTGGGATTAGTTTGGGGTCTACAATAAGTGGGATTGCTATATTGTGTGTGGAGTGCATATCTCGGGAAGGAACGGATTAAATCTAAACAAATATTTTTGATATTACCATATTTACCTTCGGAGTTATTAACCTTTTTCTTTATCCCGCCCAAAGTTCTATTCGATTCTGCTTACAGAAATTTTGAGTTCGAAGCTTTATGTATATTTTCAAACACTAATTTAAACATTATAAGAAATGTTTAACACATAATACCAAGATATTACAAACATTATAAGAAATGTTTAACACATAATACCAAGAAATGCCCCATGAATGGAATGTATGTATATTTAGAACCGGTTTCTTTTTTGTAGTTTTTCGGTAAGATAACCCAGCGGAAAAACTGCCATTTCAAAATGGATTACGAATGCATTACTTGTTCTCTAGTAATAGGGAAACAATGGATTACTTTGCCATAGGCATGGCCGCCTTGTAATGTGCTCCGGACACAATCTGCATTACTAGTAATGGGGAAAGTATGCTATGCTTGATTTTTGACGAAATTAAATCGTTTACAACTTCACTGATTACAACTTCACTTACGAAAAATAGCAATCGTAATCGATTACATTTTCTACACTTGTAATGCGTTTTTTCTCCACACCCCATTCATATGTTCGCCGCTGGGAAATTATAAGGTTCGAGAAAAGGTACTAGACTCTTGACTGGCACTCTAGAAACCGGCTCCTAAATATTTATGTTTAATAACATTCTGTGGGAATCTTTGTTATCTCTCTATTTTGAGAATTTGCTTGTGGAAGCACTTTGGATTGGTTACATAGGATTTAGCAGTGATAACATGGTTTAACATGTAGTGTAGAAGCGTTTGGTTGCAGAAGGTCGGCTGCTGCTGCTTGAGTGTCGTGGTCGGGGGCTCGGGAGGGGGGACAGAAAACGGGGGCGATGGCTTACCGAGTGAAATAGGTCCGTTCGAGAAAGTCTCTGTGTTCTAATTGCTTTTGGTTCAGGGGCGAGGAGTCGGACTCGAAATCCGCGAGGCGCGATTTGCGTTCGTCAAAATGGAAACTAACCGTCTTTGTCATGCGGCTCGTCCCGAAGAGCTGCTCCTGGGATCGGCCCAAATGGGAGTTGCGGTCGTGCGACTGGGTGCGCGGTTCCCGGAACGAGGTCTTCCGCTGAACCCCAAAGCCCCGCTGCTCGGAGGGAGCGCGATGGGGCAGGCCCCTTCCGGGTAACTGAATGGGCACCGAGATGAGCGGGCGACTGCCGCCCAAGGAAATATCCCTGCTGGCGGAATCCCTGTGTCCGTCGATCTCGCTGGAGTAGAGGTTCCTGTTGCCGGCCATAAAGCTGCCTCCGCTCAGGCTCACACTCACGCTTCCTCCCCGGGGCACCGCGGACACCACCACGGGTGCAAAGGCCTCGCTTATGTCCACCGACACCCTCTCGGAGGCGGCAAAGTCCTCGCGACTGCTGTACATGGTCTGGGCACTCGGCGGCGGAGCCGGTGGCTTGGCTGGCCGGGCACAGTACTGATCCATGTCGTCTACCTTCAAGGAGAAGGTCTCAGTGACTCGCACCGCCAGGGGTTCCGCCTCCTTGCCCTTGACTCCCGCCGAGGAGGTGGTCACCACGGACATGGCCTGCGGCTTGCTGCGCGAGAATACGGATAGCAGTTTCACCGGTGACGGCGACTTCTCCTGGCGCTGCAATTTGGGACTGGGTGTGCGGGATCGCTGGGGAGCGGGAGATGGTGACCTCTGACGCGGCTCCTTGGGGGTAAACATGGATTTGAAACGCGAGGTATAGGAACTCTTGACCTCCGGCGAGGCATCCTGCAGGCTGATGGCAGTGGGAGGAAGCGACATAGGCGACAATTGCCTCTCCGGAGTGTGCTGGCGCTTCAGGATTTGCTGCCCAGCTGTAGCCACCGATGGTTCCGCGGGCGAGGGACTAGTGGTCCTACTGGAGGGCAGCTGAAGAGTAGCCATCACGGGCGGTGACTTGGGCCTCCTGGGCGAAGGTCTGGGGCTTCGGCTGCGGTGCTCCGCTGCCTTCTCCTCCTCCTCGCGCACCAATTGATCGATATCCACCACTGGTATGTCGTGGATGATCTCTATCTTGGTCAGTTCGCCCACTTGCGGTGGCACTGCGCCGAGATCTCCACCAATGGAGGGTGGACGTCTGGTCTCCGCCTGGATGTTGTCCCTGATCCGCACGATGCTGTGCTCCTGGGCGATTTGCTCCAACTCCGCCACTGTCTCGGCCAGGGGATCAATGGGATCGATGGGCGTGACGGTGGGCTGATAGGGACTCTGCAGCTGCTGGAAATCGGACTCCACGAGGAACGAGGGACGCACTGCATCGCCGCCAAAGCGGGAGACATCGATGGGTCGATTCTGGGGCAGCATGTCGCCGGGCAGCTGGTTCTCCTTGTTGGCCTCGCTGGGACGCATGTAGTCCGTTGAAAGTGGCCGCTTGGCAATGCGGAAATCCTGCTGCTGCGACGGAGCTGGCGAGGATTGGTGCGAGGGAAAGAGCGGCGGTGCGTCCATCAATCCCGGAGTAGCTGTGGCTGGTATTAGGTTCAACTGCGGCGGCTGCAGCGATCCCGGCACAATGCTGGCCTGGAAGAGATCCGCATTGGATGCCCTGCGGCTGGTGCTAGCCGATCGTCGTCCTCCCGCGGGTGCTCCACTGGGTATGTTGATATCCGCACAGTAAAGATCCGTCTTGGAGTTTCCCGCCGAGATGCGGCGCAGCGAGGGGCCACTGCGCATGGAGAGGGTGTCGGGAAAGCGGCCCATGCTGCCGGAGGACAGGCCACCCACGGACAACTGGCGCCTGCGTCCGGCCACAAAGGCTGCTCCAATTCCTCCTTGGTGGGGATTCTCCGGTTCCGTGGCATCCGAGATGCTGCGCACCACCAATCCCCGCGAGCGGGCGGTCTGCTCCAGCTCCGGGTAGCGTTCCATGAAGCTCAGGTCCACCGAGGGGGCCACATCCGCATGACTCACCACCTCGAAGCTGTGAGTGGATAAATCATCCCGCATCAGATTGAGGTGGCCAGGTGGATACTGCTCCTCGGCGTGGCCACTCAGCCGGGAACCTGGACGCGAGTCCACGGGATTCACGCGCTCCGGCAGCAGGGATTCGCACATGAAGTACTGGCAGGCGCAGCGGACGTCCAGGGAGGCTCCGCTGGCGCTCTCCTGGCGGGACACAAAGTGACGCTTCTCGGCGGGCAGGGCGCCCACAGAGGCGGATCGTCGGGAGTTCAACATGGCCAACCCACTATTACTTGCTCACTGTCCCCGGACGTAATCCCCCTGCTTCTCCTCCTTCTCCTCTTTTGCCAATTTCAGTGCTTTTGTTCGTTTTCGTTGTGTGGTCGTCGTAGTCGGTGGCTATTTTTAAGCACCACCAGAGCAGACATTGAATTTATTTTTTGCCCCGAATTCGAAATTCTTGCGGGGCCCCGAAGAATTTCGCTCTATTCTTTCGCAATCGTTATTTCAATTATTTATTCTCGCAGGATTGATTAATAATCGTTTATCGATACCGGGCTTGGGAATATCGCTATGTCGCCGTCCCTGTCGCTCGCATTTGAGTTGGTGTTCGGGTCCCGTTATGTATGTACGTGCTTGTTTGTGCGTGCGCGAGCGCGTCTACATCGTTGCGATTTTCGGCCAGGACTGAATAATGGGAGAGCTTTTCGCCATTTGCGCGACACAAATTTTCAACCGAATTTCTTGTTCGAAAGATGAAAATGTTGTTCTTTAAAATTAGCAAAAACACACATAGTGGCGACACGGATTAGGCGCGCCATAGTATTGGTGTGTGTGGCGACAAAGCTACTTGCCTGCTCATAATTGAGATCGTGGTGGGTTTTGGGTGGGGTATAAAGATTGCGGGTTGGGGGCGGAGGATAATGGGGAGATGAACAAGGAGGAGTAACAATTAGTCGCTCGGCCTGCACTTTATCGTTCTATTTTTGGCGGTCTTTGGCTTGCCTGCCGGAAATCTTCTTGTCATTCGTCGACCTTTAGCGCGCTAAATATACTCTTCAATTTGTCGTTTGATGTTCGCCTGACACGCATCGTTTGTTTCTTGTTTCTGGCCTATCCATGTAATTACTTGTTGGAATTCGTCCTCAGGAAGCGAACTCGGCGTGACCTTTGGGAGTAGTTTTCAGATGATCATGAAGTCAATGAGTCCAACCCCTTCCGCTCCCACCACAAAGCCACCCAAGTTCCCACACACTTAAGTATTAACATATTTATTAATCCAACACCAATGGAGGAGTGAAAGGGACGCACACATTGTAGTAAGGAAAGTGCAGCATGGTGAGTACAGCAATTATCGGTTAAAAGAAACTTTTCAATTTGAAAATGAAAATCTTTTTAAAGACTCTTTGTTGTATATAATCTCACAATTTAAAAAAATATATATGGAAATATACGATAAACAAAATTACCCTTCACGCGCAGCAGGGATTCGCACATGAAGTACTGGCAGGCACAGCGGACGTCCAAAATTACCCTTATATCAAATTTCCTTATATCATAGCCAAACAGGTTTCTCAAGATCTTGATAAAACCATTTAAGAAATAACATACATACATTTGAATTGACTAAAAAGTTAAAAGTAAGGATTCTATACAATAAATGGTTATTGATTATTAACTCTTATGTATAGCTAAGATTAGGAAAGAACTATAATAGCATCGCTCTAATATTTTTAGGTTTTCTTAAACCTTTTTCTTATATGTAAAAGAAGGCAAATCTACCCTATTTTACTTAGCTAGTTTTTTAGCTCTTAATGTGAGACCTTTTGACCATGTCAAAATGCACCAAAAGAGCTATTTTGAAAAGGAATTCCTAACCTCTGTCTCTAATAACCCGATAATCACTGTACCCGCCGAGCAGGTCTTACCTTAGGTCTAAATCATTTCAGGCCACCTTTCGTTTGGAGCCCGCTACCAAAACTTATTGGTGGCGCCGGCACTGCAGCAGCAGCAGAGCGTCCAGGATGCGGATCGCTGGAACCGGAGGCGCCACGTGCTGGGGGTGGTGTGTCGGGTGGTGGTGGGTGTTGTAGTGTCGGTAGTGTAGTGGTAGTCTTGGTACCGCGGTGCTCGGGCACGGTGGTGCTTGGTGAGCCGGCGGCGCCCTCTGCCTCCGCCCGCAGCTCCACCTCCAGCTCCCGGCAACAGGGTTAGTAACAATTTCAAGAGCAAGTCAAATAGGTTAGAGCCTCTGCAAGATGGTTAGAGCAACAGCAGCCGGTTTGGGGTTGTGCTGAGTGTTAGTGTCAAGCCGGGAAGTGGGGTATTCTCTTTTTTGTGTTTCTAATGGAGTCTTCCTCCCACTTACCTCTCGTTCTTCCACCTGGCCGCATTGGTGGCCGCCTCCAGGACGTCCTCGGGCAGCTCGACATCCTCGCGATGTGGTTCCGCTTCGTCCTCGGTGTGCGAGAAGGTCACCTTCTTGTCCGAGGGCGCCGGCGAGGCCTCCTTCTTGAGGGAAGGACGCAGATCTGTAGTGACTTCCATGGGTTCATCACTCTCCTCGGTAACGGGAGATAGCTGCGCCAGTCGGGCACGCTCCTCATCCGAAGAGGTGGAGTCTATGGAGGAGATGGGGGCCAACAGGGCGCCCGGCTTGCCGGCGGTCACCTGCTCCTCCTCACTGCTGCCCATGCGATCCAGAGGCACCGCCTTGGCTGCCTCAATTTCATCGATGGCGAGATTATCCTGACGCGTCAGAGACTTCTTGAGAGCGTCCAGCTCCAGGAGGGGCTGTTCCACCAGTTCCTGGGCTCCAGCCTGGCCAATCTCCTCGTAGACATGCTCACGCCGGATGCGAGGTGTCTTCTTGGGCGGGTCCTCCTCGGCTTCTGACTCTTTTTCGTCTTTCTGTTCCAGCTTTTCCTCCGCCGGTTCGGTGACCTCCAGTGTGGGAGCCTCTGTCTCAGTCTTGACCACCGGCAGTTCGATGATCTCCTCGGGTTCCGGCACTCTTCCACTTCCACTGGGCTGATCCTCCAGCAGCTCCTCCTTGGTGCGCTTGCGGCAGGGCGACTCATCGTACTCCACCAGCTCCAGGATCTCGTCAGAGTCCTGCTTCTCGATGAAGTGGGGAATCTCGCCGCGATCGGACTTTGGTGAGGCCTTTAGCTTCATGATCTTCTGCTGCTCGCCCAGAACGATCTTGTCCTCCTTCTTCAGGGAGATCCTCTTGATGTTCAGCCGCTTCTTCTGGCGCTCGGCCAGGCTCTTCAGCTTCTTCATGATGTCGAAGCCCTGCTTGGGTTTGCTGGACTTCGGAGGCTTGTCGGTGCTCGGGATTAGGGATCCCGGCGGCGGGGCAAGCTCGTGAACGCTGCTCTGTCGACTGGGATTCGCCGAGTTTCCGGGCAGTGACTGGGCGTCCTCGTGGGTGCGTCCGCTGCGCCTGCGCCGGATCAGGTCACGAATGTGGGCCAAGCGATTGGTCTTACGTGGTCGGGCGTGACCTCCAACTGCCAGCACGGAGTCGGAAACGCAGGAGATGCACTCGCTGAGGGCGTCTTCGTTGTGCTGATCCCGCTCCGACTCGGTCTCCGAATCGGAGGACTCCTCGCTGCTGTCGTCGGTGGTGGTGGCTACCGCCTCGTCCTCCGAGAGATCCTGGATGTAGCGCTCGGTCTCCTTCACCAGCACCTGCTCGTCGTAGCGCACCTTCTTCAGGGACTTGGGCGACTCGGACTTGAAGCGCAGTTCCTGGGACTTTCGCAGGAGCAGCACAATCTCCGGCTGCTCGTCGGGTCCAAGGGGGCGTTTGTACAGGTGTGTCCAAGGATAGCCACCCTGTGGAGGAAGCAAAGAAAATTAAAACAGATCTCTAACACAAAGAAATATTTTCCTCAACTACCTTATTATCTGAAAATCTTGGCATTCAACGATTCAAATTAAAAGCAAAACATAATTCGATAATTTTATTACTTTAATTGGGTAGTTTTCTTTCAGAAAAAAACGAGAGAGAAACATGTTTTGAGCAACCTCAAATATATAATTACTTTTTGTGTTTTTTTAAAATTATTTCGAGTGAGTAATCCTATTTCATGAAAAGACGAGCGAACTCGAGAATTAAATTAGGAAAATATTTATTCTACACAAGTAAAAATGTAAGAAATCTTTAAAAATATTTTATAACGGTTTTAAAATGTGAAATTCTTGAAAATAAATTTGATTTTTCCATAGGAAAACAATATAGTTCTTTCACTCCATTTTATAAATTTCTTATAATGTTATTATAATAATACTCTAATCATTAAAAACGTTGTAATTGATATGCAGATAATACTGCTCTTCTAGCTAAACCTTACTGACTTTTAGACCATTGACTTACCCTTTCTTTGGCTCTCTTCAGATCCTCCCAGCGATATGTTTGCAGGGGCACTGGTGGCTTCTCCTGGCTGCTATGCAGGAGGTACTTCTTCAGGGATTGGTAGTACTCCCTTTTGCAGTCCGCCGACAGCTTCTGGGCATCGGTGGTCTCCTCCGATCCCTGCAGGCGATTCTGTTCGATCTGGGGCAGTGAGTCGATGAACTCCTTGCGTTCCTGCTCCTCGGCCTCGGTTTTCGGAGTGGGAACCTCTACGAGCTTCAGTTCATTGGGTGCTGCCACCAGTGGCTTGGGCTTTTGCTCCTCCTCCGCCTCTTCCGCCGGCAGTTCCAAGACAATCTCCGCCTGGGGCTTGTTCTTCAGGATGCCGGTCAGTTCGTTTAGCTGCACCTCCACCTGTTGGCTGAGTGAGCTGATCTCGTCGCGATCCCGCTGGACCTGATCTCTGTGCACCCGCTGCGCCTCGTCTACATCCCGGCTAAGTGCCTGCAGCAGCTCCTGTTCGATCTCATCCACCAACTGCTCGGCGGTGCGACGTACTTCCTCCGACGGAGTGGCCGCCGTCTCGTCGACCTCGGCGATTTGGTGAGTCGGCGGTGAGATTTCCACGGGCTGTTTGGTCTTGGCACCAGCTGGTTCTACCTCGATCACAGGTTCCGAGTTATTCGAGTCCACTTTCGAGGTGCCCTGCTGGAGTTCCTGCTCGAAGGGGGTCAGTTCCCGGATGCCCACGCCACTGGCCTCGTCCGCGATGCTCTCGATGAGATGGGACTCGAAGTCCAGGAGATGGGAGCCACCGGGAGTGGTGGGCACTGATGCCTCGATGTTGTTGTTATCGAGGGCAAGTTTCAAGGCGGCTGCTTTAGAGTGCTTCTCCTCTAGCTGGGAATCGCTGGCGATGCCGTTGATCAGGAGTATGGTCGGCTGCTCAGTGGGGCCAGTTCCAGCGCCAGGTAGCGACACTACAAATGGGCGGAAAGGTTTATACCAAGAGGTAAAAAATGAGTAAGTCAGGTGTTTACACTGGGTGCCAGCAACAGGTGCTAAAAATAAGCGCAAACGGCGGACACTAGACGAGACATATAATTACATAAGTCGAGAAATGAGAGACAGTACACAATACGCTGGTGGACACATAAACATTCTCTTAGATATTCTCTATTTCGACATCGAAAGCTGCAATTACGAAATACAAACTACGAAAATGTATAATGCAAAATGGTTCCTTTACCACAATTGATCAAATTGGGGGATATAGTTCGATTCCTTGCTGATCTACTGATTCCTTATCGTTTTTTCGTTGGGTTATTCGTTTTCGGTTGCCTTTTATTTTCGAAAATTAAAATCAATCGAATGGGGGATACGGATATATCACAAATATCTCAGATATCAGCGCGATTCGCGGGTACACGAGCCGTGCACTGAAATTGTCCGGGGCCAACTGGTCAGTTCAAACGGATTTTCGCAAAGCAAAGCCCCCCGAATAAGCCAAAAAAAACTAAAATTGTTGAGAGACCAATTTTCCTTCGCTTTTGCCTTGCGCTCAACGGTTTTGCTTTCAAAATACTTATACTTATGCTTAGCAAATTTCTCGTTCTCTCGTTGTTTTCTGCCTTTTTGTTTTAGTTTCTGTTTGGTTCGCGTTCGAGAAAAATAGTTGCACACACAACCAGTCGTAAACAATTTGCAGTTTTTACACACATATTATCGTTAATTTAGCACACACCGCGGATAAACAAGAGCACCTAGAGCAACCGACCGACCGACCCACTAAAAACAAAAAAATACCCACAAAAACCAAAAGTAAATTTCGTTTTACATTCATGCGCCCAATTCCCGATGTGTGTTTTTACATTCAACAATTATTGTTTGCTTATCGTTGCTATATAGACACACACATGAATCCGTAGTTCATATTAGTGGGTATGCGATGGGGTCTAACGTAATCACATCAAAAATTACAAGCCCACAAAACTTAATTGTTTGTACAAAACAAAATTCGCCTTCCGTTACGCCTATCGATATGCCAAAAATGCATCATATTAAAGGCGAAATTCATTCATTATAATTCAATTTGCCATATCATGACAAATCGCTTTAATCATTTCCCATATGGGGTTAAATGAGGTAAGAATCTTGGCTCTCAAAGTTGTTTTCCTTTCGTGTGTGACATCATGTTGAAAATTATACAAATCTGGCAAGGGTTTAAATGGGTAATTATAGGCAAATGATGCCAGGTATACATAAACTGTAAGGGTCCGAAATAAACTATTGATCAATGTTCAACTAAATAAACGATGCTAAAATTAATAATGTTTAATCTCTCCATTCTAAGTTTCTCAATATCCCAAACAATTCTTAGTATTCTGATACCTGAATGTACCTTTTGATCTTTCAATATTCAGTCATCTGGACTGATTTCCTCCACCCGCCCTTTTCATATTTGTTGTTATTTTTCTGTTGTTTAAACATCCACATGTGGATGGATTTACCATAACAATTCGAGCGTAACTGCCTTGGCTCGACTTGCTTTACATGGAGAGCCTCAGTTCGCAGTTGAGTGAATTCGGTTCGAGGCTTTTCCTCAAAATCAACTTTTCATACATAAATGAACATTGACAACTGCCTCCGGGAGCATTCGCCTCCTGTTCGGTGGCCCCCCGATGGAAATCAATCCGAATCCGAATCACGGACAAGTTCATGAACACTGTAGCCGCTGAACTTTACACAAATTTGTGAACAGACAGATAAAGAGCCGGGAAACTGGGAGATTCGGACGGGGGAGAGTCGGAGTAGAAGCAGCCGTGAAACGCGGCGTATACGTAATGCGCGTGCGGATACATCGACTCTATAAATAGACTCGAACCTAGGAACTATTACGTTGGCCATTACACTTTTGTCAATTTATTACCGAACTCTGAACCTTCGCTCCCGACGAGTTGCGTAACATGCAAATCAATTAAATGATTGCCGGCTCACTCACCATAATTACCAGCGACACTGAGGAAAACATAAACCATAGTAGAAGGAACTTTGCGTTGGTATCATTGGTTAATAAGTTAGAATTAATTTGCAAAAAACAAAATAATAATTTGGAAAAAAACCGAAAAGAAAAGAGTAGCAAATGTTTGTGGGGCGGCGCTTGAGCCTCACATGTTCGACGTCTAATCGCGTTTTGAATACTAGCAAGTAAAAAAACCGACGCTGAAAACAAAACTAGCAAAAAGTTGTGGCAGCGCCGCCGGCAGCGAACTTGTCGCTGACGTTGAAGCTTTGACGTTGCTCTCGAATCGCGAAACGTGAAATGCTTATTGAAAAGCGAGAGAAGAGACAGGGGGACACCCCCTGCTCCTCCTCCTCCTTTGCCTCCTCCTCCATGGGGATCCACCAGCGTGTTGCACTTTCGCCACTGGTTGCATGCGAATGTGGCGACGTCAAACGCTCAAGGTCGTCATCGCGACCGGGCGCTCTCCACTATATTTAGAATCATTTAAGCGTAACGCACTCAAGGGCCGCCAAGATATTGCCAAGTTATTAATGAGTGGTTTTTTTATTGGACTCTTTGCAAATCAATTCATTAGCCCAGTAGTCTATAAACAAGTTGCCCGGATGTGTCTTGAGTTTAAGAAATAATAGTAAGTATAGTTTGCAAAGCATTTCTTAGTATCCATTTTTCCAAAAAAAATTAAAAACTGATAAAAAAAAATGAATTTCCTGATCACTCTTAACATATATATTAATTTTAAATTTTTAAAAAGATCTTAGGATATTAACTTCTGAAATATTCTTTTCAATAGATAAACTTTTCCCTTTGTAAACTTAGGAAAACTAATAAAATATTATAAAATTATGTTATAAAATAAAATATTTTTTGTTTTTAATATCTTAAACTCATTACCCAATATTGACAAATCATTACGAAAATCTGTACACCTAGACTCTCGCTGTTCGCTTGGAATTCTCTTGGAAGAAATGTCTCTGGCCACCGGTGAGTGAATCCTAATGAATGAGCGAAAATGTTGAGAAACTGGCACACGTTGCGTATGCGTTATGTGAATTCAGGTCGCCGTCCCGGCTAAATTTTTTGTGTGTTCGTTTGGTCGGCCAATTTTTGCTTGTTGTGAAAATAAATTCTGGTGACACAATTGCAGAATTGCGAGTTCATTGGACGGCTTAATTATTCCAAGCGAATGCAAATCGGCCGAACTGAAACGGAAATTGCCGAACGTAATTGATTTCCACTCTTAGTTGGCCGCAGCCTTTTCTCCATATTCCATATTTTTATTGCACTTTAATGCCCAGGCCAACGGCCCACGCAGAAGCTTTCGGTTTCTGACCTTGACTGGCCAGCTATTCAGCTATTGAATTATTTATGTGGGTACCTATAAATATAGTTCAGGGAGAACTCTTTGGTATATACATACATTTTGGCTTTCCTTCATATTGACGATTAGTTCCAAACTGAAATAAAAATAAACCGACGGCGAGCGACAACAAAAGCGAAGACGACGTCAACGGAATGAACCAAACGAAACGAAACAAAAGCGACGGAGCAGAAATCCAATCAAATCAAACAGCCGTAGAATATAACGTATACGTATGGTTGGCCCGCTCGACAGACAGTTGGATGGGTTGAAGAAATCACGGCACAAACTATGTACTTAACTTGGAGGCAAAAGTTAAGGAACTTTTGCCACAACACAAACAGAAAACGAAACACGGCACACGAGCACCACTCATAAATAATGAAAGTACGGACAAGAATGAGTGGCCACAAAAGTGAGTACGATTCCGATGAGCCTCGAACCTCGAACCACATAGAACCGATGAAAATGAGATGCAGACGATAGACCATCGGTTGTCCCGATCCGAGACAATGTAAACAATGGTGGTACACAAAATCCGCGCAACATGTTGCCAGAGAAAATCTCTTGATCTCTTTGTGAATGAAAATGAATGGGGGAGGGGGACGTCACAAGACCAAGAAACCATAGGGAAAACAGAGAAAATCTTTTACCAATCACTGGTGCCATACAGGTCAGGAATCGGGTCAGTGCTGTACCCGTGCTGGGAATTGCTCTATTTGCTTGGGGACTCTTTGCTGAAGGGCCTGCAATTAGGTCAAAGTTTGCTTTATAATTCCATGTTAGTCGAATGGTCATGTGATGGGATGCGATTTGCTGCTAATTGGAAATCAATCAAAATACCATTAGCTGTGCGTTTTATATTCGCAGACTCCTCCAACCGATCAAAGACCAGTTCCCCTTCCAATTACCGGCAATTTTCACCTAGTCTGAATAATCAGGTTTCTTCGCCATGCTAATCAATAGACGAAATGTTCCGTGGATTATGGTTATGAGAAGTTTTTACTGGCATTTTGGGTTGAACATTTTATCACATTTGACTTAACAGGAATTTACTTCTGGTTACTCTGCTGCATGATTTATCAGTAAATTATACAAAAGTAGCTGCAATATCAAAATGTGGGGGTAAGAGCTTATTGATTTATGATTCTAATATAATAATCATAAATGTGCCTGCTAAGAATAGCAGCTGACTTCATAATTGACTGATGTCTAGAGCCTTAATGAAATATTAATGCAGAACTACGCGGCAAAGATAATTATTTTATTTAACAAGGGAATTTATTTATTACACAGTTATTTTTAGGAGTGACAATTTTTACTTTTTAAACCCTTTATATTTATAATTCAATCGATTTGAAAATGTTTTATTATTGTAGTTTACACCAATATGATATTAGAATACGGGTTTTTAGTTAGATAGATGGTTAAGGAGTTTCCCAAATAAAGAACAAAGGTCCCTGCGTCATAAATAACTACTAGGCATTACGTAACAAAAATCTTAGTTATCAGCGAGGTTGTTAAATAGATAAAGTCGGCACCTCAATTGTTTCTGAAATGCCGATAAGATAGCGGAGCCAAAAGTTTACTGCCCATCATATGACCCATTTGACGTTTCAAGAACGGTCTACGTGCTCTTATCCCAGTGTGCAGTCTCTGCTGCAGGAAACTTGAACTTGGCCTCTTTGCTGTTTTAATTGCCCATAACAAATTCCCGTCAAGTGGCAATCAGAGCACTGCAATCCGCTCGTCCCCGGAGATAAGAACCCTGCTCTTTTGTTTGGCCGTCTGGGAACGGGAAAATGAAAGGCTTTTATGGCTTGGCAATAGGCACGGAATTTGTTGCGCTTGTTTTTCACTTTCGTCAGCCATAAAACCGGCCAGAATAGCGGAAAAGTGCCCATAGATCACGTTCATTCTCCGGCTAATTTTAATCATGATCGATGCAACGGCTAGCGGTACTCCACAAAAACCCCAGACGAGTTGGACGGGGTGGGTACAACCGGTTTGTCAATTCACATGGCCCGATCCACGCCCATTGTGCTTAGCAAACAGAAGATGCCGCTAACACGAATTGCTAGACCCCGTTGATGGGTCTCGGTTCGTCTGGTCTGTTTATCTGAATGCCAGGCAATTCACAAGATGCCGAAATCCATAAGTAAACTGGTGGGAAAAGTCGATTTTCCAAATGCAGAATTTTATATGCTCTTGCGAAGGTCAAGATTTCTGACTAAGAATAAAAAGATTTTGAAATAGGAAAAACTTTTGAAAGATTTTAAAGCTTTTTTTAATAAAAAAATGTGTTCTCATATCAAGGACAATCATTTCACTGGGAATTATATATTTTTTCGAGATTTGAAAATTAATTTTATAGGTACAATATTACTCATGGTAAGGCAAAAAAAAACTTTAATATTTGATTTTATATTCAAATATTCTGAAGTGTGTTTTTAATGATTTAATTAACATGTAGATTAATTTTTAAATTTGTTTTTAAATACCAAGCCAATATTATTATTAGGGATGTTTCATTTCGATTGGTAAACTTTATATGACTTTTGTTTTTAGAGAAAAACATTTATTAAGTACATTGTCTGTTTTTCCATAGGAATAATAATCTTTCAGCACTTTAAAGTGACTTTATAACTCTTACAAAATCAAATTCAATCAACCATTTAAATGTTAACCTTCAAGTTCAGTGATTTCCCGGCGTTCTGCATGTCAAATTGATCTACCCAGTGTTTTAGTACTACCCCAATGGCCAGACAATTGTGGGATATTAGTGGGCTATTGCATTTGATTGCCGATTTCCGCTGGACTGGGTCTGTTCCATGGGTCTGGGAACTTTGGAGTCGGCCTGTGCATACGAGGGTATAATTGGGGAACCGTTTACCCGCTGCGGCGCCAAAACAGAGAACTTGTCATACTTTTTGGCCGCCGTTCAACTTGGCAGGCAATCATAAGTAATGTTCTTAGTCCCCAGCACATGTGCATGTAGTTTGCCCATAGCCCGCCCCATAGAATACGACTTGTTCTATATTCGTCAACGACTGTCATTACAGGCGATGCGACACAGCGCCCACGCGGCGTATGCGTAATGCGCGGCTAATTTGTGGGGCATTCATTGCGATGTGGGGATGCAAGTCGACCTCAGATGGACTTGATGGGCCTACCTTCGTCCCAGGGATGATGATGTTGCTGCTGCTGCTGGGGAGCTGGATTCTCGTCCTGTGCTGGCCGAGATTTGCGTCCTTTTTTTGAGCGTTTCGACTCCATTTTGTGGCTGCTGCGGCTGCTGGCTAAGATTTACTTTTTGGCTACAAGACACGCGCGTAAATAAATAGAATAATATATACTTTTATGTCGGATGCCTGGATGGCCGTGTGTGCGTTTTTATGTGCTCGTGGTTTATCTTCAGTGACGCACACACAAGTGACATTTGGCAAACACACACAGTCCCGCACTCTCTGTCGCGTTTTTTCGAACTTTGCGTATTTTTTGTCGCTTCGATTACTTGGCGCGTCCGCAGATATACTCGGTTTTATATATAGAGGTTTCGTTTTGGCGTGAATATATTTTAGATTTAAAAATTTCCCAAGTTATTTATAATGCGGTGATTTAATTTAACACACACTCGGCCACTTTTTATATTCCTTACTTGCCAGAAAATCACGAGAAATGGCGACAGCACTTTTGCCTCAGTACGAAATATTCCAAAAAATTAATTATGAAATTAAATTGAATGGGCATTACGTGACAACGCGACGTTTCGAAGAGGGTGAGAGGGTTGGTTTATTGCGGGATAATGATGAGTTTTCCTTCTAACTGCCGCCGCTGGACTGCTGAACCGCTGAACCGCTGGGCAGTTGGGAAACCGCTGGCCGGTCGGCTCTTTTATTACTGGTCGGGTTGGTTAATATCTCTATGTGAGTGTGAATATATCTGAGAACTGAGCGAGAAGTTTCGGGTGAATGTGAAAAGTGAATGAAAATCGCGCACGGAGTCCGCTGGTCCGTCCATGCGTCGTCGTTGTGGTTTTTCAGTCGATGTGTCGTCGATCGTGGATCGTTTGCCGTGCCGTACCGCGCGCGACTAATGCCGACTAAACCAGCGACGACTGCGCGATCCGAAAGCTTTTCAGTTGGTTTCACTTTTGGACTCTGTTTTTTTGTCACTGAACTCGAGCGGTGGTCACACGCCGCGTTCTCGCTGGCGGAAAATATATATCTTTCCACGGAACCGCTCTCCGGTGCTCTGGCCGCTTTTCCGGCATCCATCCGTCGAACTGCACGGACTGCACTTGCTTATCACACACTATTTCGCTGGGCGAACGTATTTTTAGATGGATATAGCCTCTGCCATATCGAGTTGGTTGATTGCCAGCCAGATGGATGGGAAATGCTAATTGAAAATGGATGGGGTTCCTTGCTTGTTTGCTTAGCCATTAGTCAAGGGAGTTTCAGAGATCGGGGTTTTGATTGGCAGATGTGTCAGATCTTTAAAGTCTTAAAAGGTTTCTAGGGAAAATATTTATAGATTGAATTTTTAAATGTTATATTTCGGTATTTACGAGAATTATATTTACAAACTAATCTGACAAACTACCATAGCACATTATATTATTTTTTTTTCACTCTCTATTATTTTTTTTCCCAATTTTTTGACTCTTTAAGTTCTCCTCACTAAACCCACGATATTTAATTTTAATTCCCCTAATGAAACTAAAAACTTGTGGTCTCTTTAGGGTGCATTAAACTGTGATTGCGATTATAAAACGGAAAGTTTATCAAAAGTTTTGTGCAGTGGACACGACAAGTTCAAGTTGTTGAGTCGGCAGATTGCATGTTTTGTGTTTCAGCCATGTTTATGAGGACGCAACCCCCAGCAGCCCAACATCCCATCAACCCAACCCAACAGTCGGGTTCAATTGCCGCACTGCAAGCCATCGGAGATGCCTTTGTGGGCCACTAAAAGTGGCAACTGCTGCTCATCAAGTTCATTCCACTTGGCATTAAGTGCGCCCAAACAAACATCCCAAGAATGCTGCAACAGACACTGACAGTGAGATCTGTTTATAGACCCGCTCGGCATTTAATTGCTGGGAAAGTTTGTGGAGGGGAATGTTGCGTTGCGCCTTCGTTGATTACATAAAAACAAATGGTGTGGCATCGCCATCCCCGGATTAATCAGGCAAAAAGCAAGTCATTAAAGTGGCATTAGCCAAGGCAATTTGGCGAGAGACAGGACATCTACCAAGTTGACCTTTAACTGAGTGCAGGTGCAGTGAGTGGGGGGATGAGTCATCTGAAGGTCCCTAATTAAAGCTAAACATGGCAAAGCGTGCATGACACAACAGCAATAATGGATTCAGATCCCGATCTAAAGGATCCATGGAAACCTACAATACGAACTGCGTCCTCATTGAGTCGTTGACTAAATCGGTTGATTGACAGGATATACGATAGACGACGATTGGGGGAGGAGCTGGCCGGAATCCTTGGCAACATTCACTTGGCTATAACCGGGTGCCATTAATCAAACGCACACACGTGAGCTGCTCCACCTGTCTGTCTGCCTGGAGCGACTTATTTACGAGGACATTTATCGATTTGCCTGCCGAATTGTTCAATTATTTGGGTTACACCTGAAATCGAACCGAAACACTGCACATTTCAAGCTACCCTGCCTTTTTTTCGAGTCGCATCAATTAATTATCCTTTCCGCCTGCCGCTGGGCAAGACACTTCCGTATCCGGTTGGGAATCCGATATGTCCATCGATGGACACCGACTGCGGAGCTAATGATTGAACGGTCGCCGCCTTTTTAATTCCATTTAGACCGCAGCTCCTGGCAGACTGGAGCTCTGGTGGCTCTGTTTATGTTTATCCCTGCGCCTGCACTGCCGTTGTTGTAGTTGTTGCTATTGTTGCCGGCATCGGTTGTTGGGTCATGCGCACTGTGGGTCCATCGCTTCGATTGGGAGCCCACTGCAGGGATATCCTTTGAGCCAATGTGCAGCAGGAGTACCTACTTAATTGACCTGCTTTGGGCGGGGAAGCCCGCTTTTGGTAGTCACTGTTTTGGGTGCTTCTAAGGGCCATTGGAGAATCATGCGCAGACAAAGGGCGCGCAATTATGCAATGCTAAGGGATTTGAATTTCATTTCAAATATAACTAACTATTTGCTGAACGAATTTTAGAGTAAAAATATTACGGATTTTAAAATAAAATCTTACATTTTTTAACAACAAACTGGATTTACATTAAATTGACTCGTAAATTAAAAAAAACAAACCAAATTAAATAGTATTAGTGAGTTGGCGGGCGCTTTTAAATTTAACCCGTAAGCAGTGTTGTTAATGGTACCCTAAAACTTAACGTTTACTTATTTATTTTGATAAATTTATAAATTTTATTTTAAAAAGTTTTTCTATCAATTGATATCTAAACTTTTGAAAATTTGAGAAATGCAATCGTTTCTAGTTATTTACATCGTTAAGATATTGATATAATTGGGTAAAAAACCTTTTAATAAAGTGTTTTATTTATTTATGTATTAAAGATGATAGTAAAGTTTACAAAACTAAGACTAACGTAGGGGATGTTAATATAATTATTATTACATTTTTTATAAAATTCGAATTTTAGCAGTAAGATTTGAATTTTCCCGCTCATTTTACCTAGTTGATTTCTTAGTTTCCCGATCTCGCTGTTTGCCCACTTGTTTGAATGCCACTAGTTGCTTTCCACGTAGCGAGTGGGAACAGCTGATCGGAATTATATAATAGTTTGTTGTCCCGTCCCCGAAATCAACATGGCTCTAAGATTTGTGGCCCAGTCATGCCGATCCTTGCTGCAACGTGGCGATCGTCCTTTGTCCTGGACCCGCACCCTCTCCCATTATCCCGTCAACGATGCCATGTTTGGCTTGGACGAGGATCGCCAGAAGTTGCGGGAGGTCGCCTTCAATTTCTTCCAGAAGGAACTGGCGCCTCTGGCCAAGGAGATCGATAAGCTGGATAACTTCAAGTAGGATATGAAGGATACAAATACCTGAAATACCTTTAAATGTGCCTTTTTTCATAGGGACATGCGACCATTCTGGAAGAAACTGGGTGATCTTGGCTTCCTGGGCATCACGGCGGAGCCAGATTTCGGAGGCACTGGTGGCAGCTATCTGGACCACTGCATCATCATGGAGGAGTTCTCGCGGTAAGCTATTAAGCTATCCTCCATGACCTATATATGAACTATAATCCTTATAGTGCGGCTGGTGGCGTGGCCCTGTCCTACGGAGCCCACTCCAATCTGTGCATCAATCAGCTGACCAAGAACGGCACCCCGGAGCAGAAGCAGAAGTACCTGCCCAAGCTGTGCAGTGGCGAGCACATTGGTGGACTGGCCATGTCCGAACCAGGCGCTGGATCCGACGTGGTGTCCATGAAGCTGCGGGCCGAACGCAAAGGAGATTACTACGTACTGAACGGATCAAAGTTCTGGATCACAAACGGATCCGATGCGGACACTTTGGTGGTCTATGCGAAGACAGGAGGCAATGACGTGCCGGGAAAACATGGCATTACGGCCTTCATCGTGGAGACCGCCTGGGAGGGCTTCAGTGTGGCCCAAAAACTCGACAAGCTGGGCATGCGAGGCAGCAGCACCTGTGAGCTGGTCTTCCAGGACCTCAAGGTGCCGGCCAAGAATATCCTGGGCCAGGAAAACAGGGGCGTCTATGTGCTGATGTCGGGACTGGACTTTGAACGGCTGGTTCTGGCCGCCGGACCCGTGGGTCTGATGCAAGCTGCCTGCGACGTGGCCTTCGACTATGCCCACCAGCGTAAGCAGATGAATCAGTTGATCGGCGAGTTCCAACTGCTCCAGGGAAAAATGGCTGACATGTACAGTACACTGAGTGCCTGCAGGAGCTATCTGTACACGGTGGCCAGATCCAGCGATGCCGGCATTCGCAGTCCAAAGGATTGCGCTGGCGTTATCCTCTACACCGCCGAGAAGGCCACCCAGGTGGCACTGGATGCCATCCAGATCCTCGGCGGCAATGGCTACATCAATGATAATCCCACAGGTCGCATCTTGCGTGACGCTAAGCTGTACGAGATCGGCGCGGGAACTTCGGAGATCAGGCGTTGGCTCATTGGCCGCCAGCTCAACCAGGAGTACAAGTAAAAGGAGGAACTTGTGGGAAACCAGAAACGCATTTATCGTATGACAACTGTGGCAATTATGTGGATCAACTCTACTACCTGACAGACTAAATGTTGCATTTATTTTTGTTTAAGATTTATAAAATCAGTACGCTTTATCAATGTTTATATGTGCCTTAATAAAAGAATTAAAAGCTTTAATCGAAAGCATTATTTTTTAAACCTAATCCGTTCTGCATTCAAAACAAGTATACCACTTTGTTAAAATATTGTTTTTTTTTTATTATTTTACAAAAAGTTCACAATTTAAATATGCAACTGCATACACGACTCGCATATGTACGTATATACAAAAAGAAATAAATTGATTAAATCGAATAGAATTCACCAGCATAGAACATAGATTGACTGTTCTACGCACTGGTGAAATCAAGAGGTTTCTTACGTTAGAAATAATATTTCATGTTTAGTGCACAGTAATAAATTGCATCGAAATAACAACAATGTGAAGAACCAAATTTGTATGTGTTACGCTTATTAAGGGTTACTTGTAATTTCGTTGAATTTAAGAGGTTCGCCTGAAAAACTGCAATCTGCAATCTTGTATCAATATATTTTGGCAATGAAATGGCAAATAAACACGTAGAACACAGATTTACGAAAACATAGAAAGTGATTAGCAATATTAGGTGGTTAATATTAGGCTGATTATATTGTATGGGTAGAGGCATATAGATGTAGTTTCGCTAGTGGCTAATTACAATTAATATTAAATTATTTCTATTAGTATGTGTACGGGGGTGTGTAAATGTTAAAAGCACTTTTGGCAAACATCGACATGCTCATCACATCACCATCAAGCTAGAACATTTACTTAAGCAACTAGAATTAGTCCAATCGAAAACTATGCTTCTCCGTCTTGGTCTCCGATCGGGATTCCGTTGTCGTGGTGAAGGACTTGCGCTCCATCACACGCTGGGTCATCGAGGTGAGTCGCTCCGAGCCCTGGTCAACAATGCTGATCTTACCGCCATCGGTGTTCAGGGTCATCTGCGAGAAACTGGACTCGAGTGGCTTCACAGCTCCCAATTCACTGCTGCTGCTGGTGGTATTGTTGGCTGACTTGTCGAAGTTTCGCGTCTCATATCTGTAATTTATAAGAGAAAGATTAGCAAAAGCATAAAGTAGGGACAAGGCTATAACCCACCTGGATGTGTAACCCTCGTAGTTCTGTCCTGGATAACCATTTCCTCCCGTGAGCTGGACTACGCCGCCCTGACCAAAGGTCTTATCATGAAGATCCTGCACGCAGGCCGCCAGATTCCGGTTTACAGTGGGCTTCTTTGGCACCGCCGGTGGGGATGAGTTTAGCGTTTTAGTGCCGGACGACTCAAAGCTTTGCTGGTAGTTGGTATTAGTGTTTGTGCCTGAGGGGTTGGGCGTGGAGGTTAGGCCATTGCTGCCGCCCGGACTGCCCGGATAGGGCCGGGGCACGGCATTGGCTGTTAGCTTGGGATTAGGGCGGAAACTGTGACCCGACGTGGCGGTTTGCATGTTAGAAATGGTTGTAGAGAGCGGTGGTGGCGGTGGTGGGAAGTCTCCGTTGGTATCGTCCAGCGGAGGATAGTTGGACGGTGGCGGAGACACCGCTCCCGGATGATGGAAGTGCTGCGGCTGCGGACTGGCGTAGCTGTAGTTGTGCTTCTGCTGCTGTTGGCTACCGCCGGACAAGTAGCTTGGCGAACTGGGCATCTCGCCGGAACCGTAGTAACCGCTGCGACCCAAAGTCTGTTAGGGTTAGGGGTTAGAAGAGAGAGAAGAAGAAATACTGCCGGTTAGACTGGTTACGTGTTAGATGGGCTACCCACACCAAATTAGAATTAGACTACTTGAAACAAAATGGTGCCTCAATTTCGCCATCAATCTCAATGCCAATTTTTTGTTTCGGTGGTGCTTTCAAGAACTTATACAAAATATAACAATGTGGAAAATAGAGAAGCTGTTTCATACATTGTCCTGGCTCCTGTAGGCGTACTCCGTGTCACTCTCGTCCGTGGTGACTCCCTGAGCGTTCTTCACGAAGCGCCGCGCATGGCGCACGTTCTTCAGCAGCTGTCGAGCCTCCTCCAGCTCTTTTTCCTTGCGCAGCACAGCGGATCGTGCGTTGATCTCCTGCGCCATGCCGTCCACCATCGATGTGTTGATCTTTAGCGAGTGCTCCTCCTCGGCTTCCAGGCCCTGCTGAGCGGAGCGCACCAGGTTGTCGGTGGACTTGATCACTGCATTTCCGGCAGCCTGCAGGCGACGACCAGCCTCCGAGTTTGGATTAGACTTCACTTTGCAGGCAATCAGCAGTTGGGCTGTAGACGCAGCCACTTGCTTGGCCGTCGAGATGAGCATCTCCTCGGTGCCCACGCCGCGCACCAGATTCTGGGCAGCCTCCACCAGGCTGTGAGTGGCGGCGGCCACAAGGCGAGCGGCCGAGATGAGACCCTCGGACCATTGGCCATCGTCGGAGCTCGTCAGCGGACGGCGGGCCACCTTGCCCGTGTCGATGAGTTCGCGTTGTGCGGCATTGGCGGCTCTCACCAAGGCAGCAGAGGCTGCCATTATTCCCTTGGCGGCCTCCAAAATCATTTCGTCAAACTTCATGTTCTCGTCGAGTTCAATCTGTGTGGCAGAAAAATCAGAGATACTATTAGATTCTATGACTCGGGAAAGAGAAAACAATGAACAATCACCAGGCGTTTTTGTTTTAGTAGATTTAGCGAGGGTCACAGTAATAATATGTTTGATTCCTGGGTGAACTTTTGAATGAAACAACCAAGAATATCAAACATATCTCACTGGAACCATCAATTAGTTCGTTTTGAAGGGCTGGTTAGGGGATAAATCAAGCACCGCTTAAAGATTAGGATGAGTTTCAGCTATGTCACTATAGTTAGTTATCATTCACCACTTAAATTAGTTAAAAGGTATCCAATTCGAAACTCACCTTGACGTCGGCTTGGCGACGAGGACGCAGTGAGGCCAACTTCTTGGCTGCCGCATCGATGGAGGCAGCGGCGCCCAGCAGTTCGTTCTCAGCAATGACCGTGGGATCCTCGGGATCGATCCAATCGGAACCCTTGAGCAGCCTGGCCATGGCCACCAGATCGGTGACGCATTTGGCAACGCGACGCGACAAGTGCATGCGATCGTCGGCACTGCAGTTGTGCAGGATGCCACTGAGCAGGTCGCGGTAGGATTCTCCCACGGCAGTTCCTGCCTCCAAGGTGCGCGAACGCAGCTCCTCCGTTTCGGCACAGTTCCAGGCGACGGAACGGCAGACGATTAGCATGTCGGAGATGGCACGGCGTCCCAGGTTGGCGGCAGATACAATATCAGCCTGCAGATTGGAGGTACCGGCAGCCACAGCCTTTGCAGTGGCAGCGGTCACATTCATGGTCACTCGGATCAAATCCTCGGGTCCCACCTGGGTGTTGCCCACCGGTGGGGGAGTGTGCATGGCCTAGAAGGTAGGAAAATTAACCAGTTAATATTTATATCTCATACAGAATCATACAGCCTAGAAAACCTACCCGAATCTCCTGGGAGATGGCTTCCACGGTGGCCTCCATGGCGCGAGTTCCGCGAGTGTGTTCATCCTCCACAGCTTTCACTGTCTTCAGCAGCGAGGATACGTTTAGCACCATCACCTATTTGTTTGCGAATGTAGAAAGGTTTTTTTTTTGGGAGCAGAGCAGAAATGTTTGTGGTTAATGTTTGGTCAGCAAAGAGGTGATTTGGAAAGAGTTGCTTATTGATAGCAGGATGACTAGGACTACGAACTACTCTACCACTAAATATGATAAACTAAGACTACAACATTCTAATTGGCTTTGGCACTCTTACAAATCAATATAAAACTAAAATAAAGTCAAATGAATTTCCAATTGGTTTTTATTTTTCGCATAAGTAATAAGAAATAGTTTTAAAAATGACTTGATAACATTGAAAAGAGACAAAATGGGAACTTTTAGGCGCCAGGTAAGCGGTTCAAACTAAAAATGGTTTTTAAGAGGACTTTGATTTGCGTTGCTCTGCCCAGCACTTAAAAGTTCTCTTACAATCAGTTTGAATTCAGTTTAGTCGAGTGTCGAAAATCATGTTTCATTGTGCAATGGATTAATGCAAGTAGAATTTTGTCCCAGAATCTCAGTTGGCCATGATGTCGATGCTGCTGCTGGCGAGGAGGATGTGGCTGCCACTTCGAATTTGTGACTCTGGGTTAGTTTCTGAATGGCCATTGTGGACAGCTGCCTGGCAAACATCTTGAAGCGTCTGCTCGTCGTTATTTTTGTTCGATTTGGACATACATATGTACGATATATGCGGATGAATGGAGATTTTGGTTTGATATCGATTTGATAGCAGATTGTTTTCCACAGCGAGCGCAGCGCATGAAGAGAAGGAGGAGCGTGGAGCGGTTTGAATTCGATTTGCATTTTTGTACAGTTCATGAGTGTTTTTTTTTTTTTTTTTGTGTGTTTTTGTGGGAAAAAAGAAGAGCAGATACGTCGAAGGCACAACGAATTAGCAAAACGAAAAAATACATCAATTTATGGATTTTCCCATTTGGATTTCTTTTTACAAACGTTGGAAGTGGTGGTGGTGGGTGGGTGTAAGGGTGTATAGGAAGGGTGGGTGGTTGAGAGCGCAGCAAGCAGAGCCGGAAGGGATGGTTAGGGCAGAAGGGTGGTTGGATAGCCGGGATTTCCCTGTTTTTGCTGGCGATGCTGCCAGGGAAATAATGCAAGTAGTGGGCTTTCCATGGGTGCGTTCGGTTAAACATTGATAACATTAATAACATTAAAGAAACGACAACACAGAGCAGCTGAAGCTTTAAGGGGAGCAATTTCAATGGTTTTGCATTGAAAAAATTCAGACAGCAGCAGCGGAGATTCTTTTTTTTTTTTTGATTATTCGAAATATACACAGATACATTTATGTGGTAGTTTTTTAGGAGCGGGTGTGTGGATTTTCTCATTTTTTTCTCGAATGTATAGGTAGATGAGTGCCAAAGCCATTTGATGTTTATTTATGTTGATTTTTCAATATGCCACAAACAACATTTATGTATGCGCGTTACATATTTTGCATGGAAGAGAATATATTATTAAATAAATAAAGATGAATAACAGCCTATCTGTTCGGTCCGTTCGTTATTTATTCCAATGTTTCAGTTTCAATTTAAACATCAGAATAAAGGTCTCCTTTCATTAAAACTCCTTTTCTATGCACCGATTATTACAATTTAGGAGCAAACCATAACCAAGTTAAGTCAGTTACAATTTGGTGAGTGAGGATAAAAAACTAAAGCAGCATAATTCCCTTAACTGAATTTTTATAGAGAATTATAACAGTTAGGAAAATTATCCTGCTAATACTAAAAGCCACAACAACGAAAGCTTTTTTGCAAGAGATTAAAAAACTACGTAAGAGTAAGAGAAAGAGAAAGTAGAGAGAAAGACAGGGGAAAGTAAATGGGTTGAGTTCGACTTACCCTGGCGCTCTCCTTAAGTCCTTGCATGGAGGGATCATTGATGGGCTTGCCAGAAGCCAGTTTGGTGCAGTTGATCAAATCGCCTAAAGCAGAAGCCACATCCTTGACGGCATTGATGACCATCACCTGAGAATCGGGTTGGGTAGATCCCAGGGAGCAAGCGCCTCGCTTTACCGCCTCAGCCAGTTGAGCTAAATTAAGTACATATTTAATTGGTAAGTTAACTAGTCCACTTAGATTTCCTTTTAATATTCACTCACTTATAGTTGAGACTGCATTCTGTGCTGCATTGGCCAGCTGATCCTGGGTTCCAGCCGCTCCAGTCACCAAAACCTTGGTGTCCTCCACCAGAGCCTTCGCCGTCTGAAGAATGTGCTCGCGATGATCGGCAAAGCTGCCATCGCCATCCGAATGGAGAGTACCCGCGGTGGCAAACATAATGGTTGTATCCAAATCTCCGATGATTCCAGATACCGTGTGGGCTGCATTGATGCAGGCCTGTGTGCCACGGGAGCCCGCCTGCAGAGCGGCGAGCACCTGGGCCACCTTCTCGGACACCTCGCGAGCATTGCGCGCAATGTCCTTCTGGGCGCCCACATCATTGGGTCTCGCTCCGCCCGCCGACGACTGGATCATGGAGCTAACCGATCGGCCCAAGTCAATAACAGTGGTGCGAATACGCATGGCCACATCCGGCGAAGAAGTGGTCGTGCTGGCTCCCACTGAATCCTGAGTCAACTGCTGATAGTGCTGGGTCATGTCGACGGCCAGTTGTGGCAGAGCAGCCGGTTCCACGCTGCTCTTGGCGTTCATCTCGTTGGCCAGACTGGCGATCTCCTTTGCCCGCGCCACCATGCGCGTCTGATAGTCCACAAAGGTGTCCGAGTACGAGGCATTCAGCAGGGACTGACGCTTGTCGGTCAATCGGGTGATCGAGCGATTCACCTGCTCCATCAGACCCGTCACAATGCCCGTCTCCGCGCTGATCTTCTCCACGGTTTGCTGCAGTTCCTGGATGGCCTCCCTTGTGCCATCGATTGCGTCATCCAGTCGCGGATGGGCATGAGTGGCTCGGGGATTTCCGGCCGAATCCTTGGCCGATTGCACCAGGGTGACGGCACTTTCCACCACCGAACGCGTCTGCTGGATCAGCGACATCTGCTGCTGGCTGTGCACAATGTGGGTGCAGGCTCCTATGGCTCCATTAACCATGGGCACCACATAACGCGAGATTTCGCCCACCGCATGACCCAGTTGCTCGGCATTGTTCTTGCCAGCCACGCGAATGGGTTCCAGTTTGTCCACCAGCTCGGAGGCAGAGTTCATCGTCTGTCCACTGAATCCGTGCAAGTTGTTATCCCGTCGCTGGCTGAGACCCTGAGCATTGACGGCCAGCGCACAGCTGTCCAGCTCACGGGTGCAAGTGCCCAGGGTGTGGAGCACCTGCTCGCACTGTGCCTGTCCAGGCGCCTTGTCGCGAATGTTGTCCACCAGTCGCTTAACGGACTCCGAAACCGGGGTGGAGTGCATCGAGAGCTGTTGCCACACGGGAGGATTGTCGGGGGAAAGGGCCAGTGATTTAGCAGCCTTAACCATCTCCACAACGCCATCGATTACACCGCGACCCGCTTGGATGACCGGCTCCTGCGCCTTCCTGCCCTCCGCCGATATCTTGGCGGGCACTGAACTGAACTCGGGACTCGAGGCATATTGACGCACTGCTTTCACAGCCTCCAGGAGGGGATCCACCAGACGATCGCGACTTCCGCTGGCCGGCTGCTCTTCAATCGCCTTGATGGCTTGCACTAAATCAGAAGTGGCGGTGGCCACTTGCTTGGCCAGCACAATAAACTCATTCTTGGCCACCGGATTCGAGGTGTTCATCGAGGCCTGGCGGCAAATGGAGCACAGATAGCTGGTGTGCTTGGCAATCACCGTGAGGGCGGAGATCATCTGCGGCTTGGTGGACTGCTGGCTGCTCACAATGTCGCAGTGCTGACGGATTCCCTGGTAGGCCCAAGTCAGCTGGGCCTGATCGATAATCCCTGGTCTTCCAGCAACGCTCGAAGGATGCGAGACTCCAATCAAGTAGGCTGCCTGCGACGAGCTCTCAATCAATCCCTGGATGGAGTCGTTAACATTGTTCACTGACTGACTGAACTCGACATGCTGCGATTGCTTGGCATTGTTGATCATCTCGGAGATGGCATAGCCCAGGTTCCTAGACTTCCCAGTGGCCTGCTCCACGCAATCAAAGTAGCCCAGCTCGTTGATGGGTTCATGTGGGTAGTCCAGCATCAGACGCAGGGCTTCAATGTTGCGCATTGCGTTGTCACATTCCTTTTGTCCGGGAGCGGATTGGATGCTGGCATCCACCAGCTGATTGATACTCTCGGTAACTCCTCGGGCAGCGGCGTGCAGCAAGTTCTTTGCATTCGGCTGGCCAGGATCGGCGGCAATCGACTTGGCCGTCGAGAGGAGGGAGCACGATTGAGTTGACACATGGCGCAGGGACTCGATCATCTGCGAGCGGACCTCCTCCTCCTGCGTCTGACCGGCCATCTCCATGCTGACGGACAGTAGATCCCGATAGTTGGCTGCAAAGTTCTGGCTGCTCTCGGCCAGCAGAGCTGGCGAGGCATACGAGACCACAATCTCGCCACCAGAGCTGCTCAACTGCTCCGCCACCTGCTTAAGTTCCGACTGCAGAGTGGCATATGGACGTCCCGAGGGCGGGAACTCGCTCATCGATAGGATTTCACTCAGATCGCTGACATTTCGCAGGGCCACGTCCACCTCCCGCTGTCCGGGAATGCAATCCACGGTGGCGGAGAGGGCGCCGGTCACCTCCCGTCCGGCTTGGGTCAAGGCCTCCGGATTGGAGACACCCTGCAACGTGCGTTGCGCCTGCTCGATGAGTCGCGCCGAACTGGTGACCACATCATCGGCACAGTCGATGATCGCCGGATTCTGTGTGGTGGCCGCCACTCCGTGAACGCTCCTGGTAAAGTCACCCAATGCCAGGGCAGTGTCTCGTCCAGCAGCTCCAGCATAGCTGCGCTGATTGTGCAGCACAGAGGATAGCAGTTGGCTCAAGGCGATGCCCACATTCTTGGCGGATTTCCTCAGCTCATCGGCGGTACTTTCCACCGTTTGTCCCGGCAACGGACGCAGCTGCCCGGCGAGAGCCGCCTGGCGAGTATCGTCCAGGACATCGTGCAGTTTGCGCACCTCCTCCAGCGCCGACTCCAGTTCCTGGCCACCGCAGGCATCGCGAGCACGCTGCGCCACCGAATGCAACTCGGACACGCATTGTCCCAAGTGCAGGGCTCCCTTGGACAGTTGGGTAGCCGAGGGAATATCAGTCACCGTCGGCTGAAGGGCTCTCGACGATTTGGAAACCTGCAGAGCAGGCTCGATGAACTGTTCCGCCGCCTCGATAAGATTCAGTTGGGCATTGGGATCGTCGGGCTGGGCACGGGTGGTCTTCAACGAGGTGACCAGTCGCGGGATGGTGTCCGCCACTCGCTTGCAATCCTGCAGCAGCGTCTCCTTGGTCTGATGATCCTGACTGTGCTGCACAGCATTCTGGGCCGCCGAGATGCACTGGGTTGCCGCCGAGGCAGCTTGCTTGGAGCAGAACTCCAGTCGCTGGATGAGTCCTCGCTTCATTGCCGGCGTATTGGCCGCCGTGGTGGTGATCTCCCTTAGCTCCTCCGCCGCTCTACGCAAGGCGTTTTGGTTATCCGAATCATGGGGATTCGAGGAGCAGAGACGAGCGGCCTCCACCAACTTGGCAGTGGCATCGGCCAGCTGCTTGGCGGCGGACAGCAGGTGACGCTTCAAGTCGGCATCCTGCTGCTGATCTGCCTCGCCCTTGATGCTCTGGATGAGCTGGGCAGTGGTCTGACCAAGGGTACGGGCATGGCGCACCATCTCCTGGGGATCGTGAGTGGAAACCAAAATGTCAGTGCCAATAATCACATTCTCCACGGGACTGAGTTCAGTACTGGTGCGATTGGCACGCTCCCTGGAGCTCAGCTTCACGTGCTCCAGCATATCGGTGAGGCTCTTGGACACATCGCGCGCAGCTGCCAGCAGATCGGCCTTTAGCTTGGGATCATTACTAGCCTCGTTGCAGACCTCGCACAAGGAATTCACGGCCCTCGCCACATTCCTGGCCGCCGCCTCCAGTTGCTCGCGACAGGCGGCATTGTGGAGAGTGGGTGCCACCACCTTGGCACAGGCCACCAATTGACTGGTGGCCAGGGCACACTGACTGGCCGCTCCAATCACCCGATTCCTGGCCTGTTCATCCTCACAGCTCGCGGCAATGTTCTTGGCCCGCAGCACAAGGGCCGCCGTGGTATTGGCCACCGCCTTGGCCAAAGCGAGGAGCATGTCGTGAAGGTCACGGTTCTCGGGAACTTCCTCCTCGGCAATAGTGCTCAGCACATGGGTGGTAGCCTCGCCCACGCGACTGGCTGCATTAATCAGATGTTGCGGCGGCTCCTTGCTCTCCGGCTCGGCTGCCTTGAGGAGATCACTGAAGGCATTGCACAGATTGCGGGCAGCCTCCAGCAGTTGATCGCCATTCGTGTCGTTCTCCATCAAAGCTGCAATCAGACGCACTTCCTTGGTCACCTCGGGTATCGTTTGGGCAATCTGGGAGACAGAAGCCGAAATGGCCTCGGTATCCACTTCATCCGGATGAGAGGCGGTGATTATCTGAGCAGTGGCAGCGCTCATGGTGGCCACATGACTGCTCACCGCCTGTTTGGAAGTGTCCAAGGTGTTCTCACGCCACTCAATGGAACGCATATCACTGCCCAACTCCTGAATGGGTGCCTGTAAAAGGGAGGTAATTAAAGATAAGTTAACTAGTTTCCTCCAGTGGAGTAACTAAACTCACCTTGGTGCGCAGCTCTTCGTCAGCGCGAATCAAGACATCCTGGCCAGCGGATATGTAACCCAGCAGAGCTCTCTGTGGCTCCGTCAGATTCACAGAACTAATGCGAACTTCCTTAGTCTAAAGGGGAATATTCAAAGAACATTAATTAGTATTTGGGTTTATAAGAACTCTCTCCAGCTGAATGCATACTTTGTAAAACATTGGATGACCACTGGCTTTATTCAGAGATTGCAGCATGTCAGGAGAAAGGAATTAGAGAAATGCTTCATGTTAATTTGCTTCAGATGAGTTGGGGTTATGGCTTATGGTTCAGATTCAGTGGTTAGTTTAATGTTACGAGTAAGTGCGGTGCAAATCAAGCAAAAATCGCGTGAAATAAATAATTAGCTGAGAGGAAATGAGTGGGGTTAGTGGAGGATGCATGGGCATGGGAATAAACTCACCGAGGGCGGCTGGTGGGCATGGTTCACCTGGCCGACGAAGGCACCATACTGCACGGTCTGCACTTCGTTCTGCATAAAAGAGCGCTCGCCTGTTGTCGAATTCATTGGCCGAGATTCAAAGGGGATTGGTAAAAAATAAAACATTTAAATTAGCATATACAAGATAAGCAATAAAAATAAAACAAGCAAGTAGCAGAACCTATTTTGTCGATTGTTCTTAGGGAAATAAATATTTAAAGTCTCTTAGTTCTGAAGTATCACTTTTTTTTAAAGGTTTCTTGTGAGACGAATATTAAAATTAATTTTATGATGACCACTAGTTTAAATATATCATCTTAGAGTTTAGAAACCATATTTATCAAGTAATCTGGTTATTCTTCATTTAAATTAAGTAAAAACATCGACATTTCTACACAAAAGAATTATCGCAAGCTTCAGTGCTTATTTAAGTTAAAGTCAGTAAATCTTACCGTCATAAGGCCTCATAATGCCTGGATGAGCCAAGCTCTCCACATTAAGTTGCTCCATGCGATTCGTTTCGTGTTGCAAGAAGGTGGCCCTATAATTATTCGATAAATTATTACAAATATTACTATTTTTATTATAAACAGCGCAACTTACTTGGAAGGTGCCACTGACTCCTCCACCATGGTGGAGCCCTCATCGCCCTCGATGCCGAAATGATCCTTGGTCTGCTTCTTCTTGAGAATAATGTCGATGTAGCCCGCAATGAGCTGCACAATCTGCTCGGCCTCTGTCGTCTGCACCGAGTAGTATTGATTGGCGTAGTCGCCAAAGTCCAGAGTGAAGGTGTTTGGCGAGGCGCCCCAACGTCGCACTGTGGTCAAGGGCCACGAGATGAGAATCTCCTTGGTGTGCTCGTCCAGACGCAGCACCGAGTCCTTGGTCACTCCCAGCAGACGGGGTACTAGCTTGTTCTTGCCATTCATCTTCTCCTTGACCAGAAAGAAGGTAACGCCGTAGGTGGGCAACTCCCGGGCGGTCTTGGTGTACAGGACTTTGGCGTCGATTTCGGAAAGATCCGTATGCTTTCGGTGCTCCGAAAAGATTTTCTTCTCGATTCCCTTGGTGCGCACATACGACTGAGGCAGAAAGTCCTTTAAACTGTGAGGGAAAAATACAAATTAAAAAAATACAAAATAAAATAGGAAATCGTTTACTCACTCTAAGAATCCGGTCTTGTGCTTGGCCTCATTGTGCGGACCAAATTGAATATGCACTTGGATGCCAGCGAATTCGCAAGCTAAGGAAACGAAATAAAATGAATAGAGTTTCTTTGGGGTCTTTAAACCTTAAAAACCCACCTTTATCTTGGGTCACCGGATGGGTGCCATCGAGAATGGCGTCCCTGGCCTGCACATAAAGCAAATTCAACTGCACGGGGTCGCGAGAATCGATATTCTGATCCGAAAAAAAAAAGCGACGGCGCAGCAAAACCGTTTCTGCCTCGTCGATGCCCTGCTCCCTCAAGGTTCGACTCACATCCACCCAGTTCACTGCAAAAGAAGCTCTGATTTAATACTTTTCTTTACAAGACTGACCCAGTTACTTACTTTCATCGTCCGTCTTGAGTTTCTTGCGCAAACTCTCCATTTTGGCATCACGATCCTTCTCCATAATCTTACGCTTTAGGGTCAAAGTGCCGAACTTGTTGTCCGGCAGGTTCTCATTCTGCGCCTCGTTGTCCTCGCGCACCAATCCGTATTCCTCGTGATTGGTGATGCCGATCTTGGTGCATATAACGACCATGAGCTGGGACACCGGCTGGGAGTCATCTACCAGGATGGTCTTCACGGCACCATCCAACATTCGGACGCGCAGGGTGCGCGTTTTGCGGCGGTACTCCAGCGTGTCCTGGTTGTGCAGGATGTAGTAGCCCAGGGTGCGTCCGGGTTCCAACCAGACGCCCTGCTGGTTCTGCTCGTCCGAAATGAACAGGCCATATTCGCTGGCTGTAAAATAGAGGTGAAATAATATTATTAAAAAGGGACGATTTGGTTAAAATTCTTGCGTTTTACTTACGTTGTCCTTGCACCGCCTCGGCGAACTTATCGCGAATGACCTTGCAGGCATCGAAGACTGTGGTGTTGGGCTGAAACTGTATGGTCTTCGTTACCCGACCACCCTCCAGTTGGATACGCAGCGATAGTGTGGACATCCTGCCGCTTCACTTTAACTTCTGCTCCTTTTCTTCTACCTCTCTCTCCTCCGCCTCGTCGTCGTTTCCTCGGGAAAACTTCCAAGGGTGTGAAAGATGCAAAAGGCACTGCAAAGGAGGAAAAGGAAATGTAAGGTTAAAAAGCCATTGGGATTACAATATTAACATTATATTTTCACAACAGAAATAAATTTCTAAACTAATGAATTCGGTTTGTTTTTCATTTCGAAAGTAGTATCTTTATAATATTATATTACCAATTACGTGTTGGAAATATAAATATTATATTACTTAAACAAAGTGAAAATTAGGTAGACTAAAAGGACATTCAGGGCTAATAACCCATACTATAATTTGGTAATATCCTAATGAATTATGCTTAGAAAGACAAACTGAAAGTGGAAAACAGACACCGGAAAAGCGGAAAGCATCGACTGAGACCGAAACCAAAACCGAAACCACCCCCAGAGCACAAGGATATCTTTCGCCGGACGGCCAGGGGCGGTGGCAGTGGCGGTGGCGATGGCAGCCACCACCCAAAACGCAGACGACCGATAAAATTGCTGATGAAAATCTTCTCCAGAAAGACTCGCACACGACGCACAAGCATTAAATGTTCACACAAACAGGGGAGAGGAGCAGGCCCCACAGGACACTTGAGTTGCCAAATCAAAGCCTGAAAGCCCTGGCCCATTGTGGTGTTGTTGCCCTTATGGGGTAGCAAACTCTCTCTGCATCATCCACTCCATCCGCTCCATCATTAGGCTTTGGATTTTAAGCCAAGTTCCCTTAATGCCATTCTCCATCCCCGAAAAGCAGGCGTAATTGATTTTCTGTCGCCCGCTTTTCGATCCTGCCAACGTCCGAAGACAAAAGCTGGCCAAAGTGTGTCAGAGTTCGGGTGGAAAAGTGCTACCATTATTGTTTTTTTTCTCTCTAGCAAGCAAAAATCAATAATTTACACAAATGTTTTGTTTTTTGTTGTTATGTGTGGAAAAAACACACACTACACACAGAGAAAGAGAGACTCTGAAGCACTTGAAATTTCCGGCAGACGACACACACAATATCTCGCACAAACTTTCACAATTACTTTTTTTTATGGGGAGACAGCGACAACAGGACGAGGTCGGTTCCATATGGCGGCTGTCAGTGGCACCGATTGTCGGCATCCTGCGGCAGGAGCTGCACGTCTGCTCTCCACGGAATCTGGCACGAAAGTGATGAAAAGGCTGACTCAACGCTGCGGCTGAGCCTGCGGCAGAGGGATGCTGCTCCGTCGACGTCGGCGTCAGCATCCCTTCGGTGTCTAGGATATCCTTGCCACCACCGCCGCAGCAAGGACTCTCGAAGAGAAAGTTCGGGAGAGCGCCTGCGCAGTGCTTTTCTTTTGGGCGAGAGAAATGGTCAGAGACCAAAGGGTGCAGTCCACGTAAATTCACCCTCTATTTGCCACTGGAGAGTTCTCTCTCGCTTTCTCCCCTTTTCTCTTTGGAGAAAACTGGTAGACTTTTACAGGGCGCCTGAGTGGCGCCAGCCGACCAAAAAGCATCAGAATCCTGCGCAGCATCAGCCGGAAAAAAGGAAATCACTGCGTAATCCGATATGAAGCTACACTGCGCGACGGGAAAACAGGTTCAAGAGCAGCGGACAGAAAGGATTTAACTTTTGCTCTTTCAAATGAGGGATTTTAAGAAGGATAGTTAAGGTCGATGTGGGAGGAATTGGAACTAAGAATATTTAATTATCCGAATTTGTATACACTTAATTTTAATAAATTTCAAACGTTTTTTAAACAGAAACAACCCTCCAATTTTAAAAATGTTAAGTAATGACTAGTATTACTTAACAGTTCAATGAAACAGTTTTGTCAAAGTTTATAAAAACAGCTGTACTATATTTATACCCAAATAAGTTACTAGAGTTCCTCCATCAACCCTACTCCTAGTTTATATTGTAATGCGATACGGCCCATTAATTAAATTAACTTTATATGCTCGTATATGCCAAACAAGAGAAAGGAACATGTCCTCATAATACATCCCCCTCTAGATTGTAAGAAAAGAAAACTGTCAGCGTCACAAGAGGATGGATAAAGGACAATGAATAGATGGATTTCTCCTAACAAAAAGGCAAACAAGAAAACAGTGTATATCAATGGACCCGTTATTTAAACGGTATCAACTTCCCCAGCAGCATTATTTTGACTTGGCGATTTCTGACATTATTTTCTTACAACATCCATCAATTGCAAAATTACAGATGGCTAATAAAACATAATAATCAAGGAAATATTCGTTAATTTTAGTGCAAAAGGCAAATTTGGCCTGCGGCTGCCACGAATTTTCACAGTGGGCGCTTGGCTTAAGCTATTTCCCTTCCTCCCCATTTTTCCTCTTCCACTTTCCTGGTGCCTCCTGCACAGCTGGCCACCAACTGATACCATCCGAATGCAAATGGAACCCATGCAAGGAGGTGGAGCTGAAGCCTCTCACTAATTGGCAACCACTTTCTACACAGAAGTCACACTGAGCTGCTAATGGATGTAATTTACTGCCGACAACGTATTCCTATGAGCACATCTAATTAATTGAGTGTGGATGTGGATAGCAGGGCTACTTGTGGATTTCAATAGGCAGGGGAAGAAATCACAAGAAGTGCTATTAGTTTGGGAATTTGAAAATCCCATTTTAATTTTTAAAGAATTTTATAACCTACAAATTGGAAACTTTTTCCTAGTTTTACTTACTTTTCAAACACTTTGTAAAACTCATCGTGGGATCTTGTTTACAATGACGTACTTTTCGAAGATGTTAATACTTTTTCGTGAGTTGGCGATCGAAAAACGTTAAGGCACAAAGCTTACGGTTACGGTTTTTGGGGCTTAATGCTTATAAAGGCACGCTCGGGCGTAGTGTGTTTCTTTGTGTGTGGTGTTGGGTGTGTTTTTTGGTGTTTAACGCGATCTTTGCGATCGATCGGTTGACGTTGTCATCGAAAGGCATTACGGGGTGTTGAAAAGGGATTTTAAAAATCGTTGACTGCGACGGCAGCGCTGGTTCAGGCGAGTCCCGCGACTCCTGCGACTCCTGCGAGTCCTGCGGATCCTGCGAGGCAACTGCTCGACGAGCTGAGGCACGTTTGTGGTGTTGGCAACGGAGCGTACCGTTTTTGTACAAAAATTGTACGGAACCGAAACTGAATTTACAAATACTCAACACAAAACGATGGCAAAAACCGCTAACAATTTGGAAAATCTCAAAAAACGCGTATACATCATAATAACGTGGGAATTCTTTGGCTTTAACAAATAACGTTTAAAATTTTCGAGTTCTCTAGTGTAAAAGCTTTCGTTGTGTAAATGTTGTAAAGTATATACAAACGTGTGACTTTGTATATTGTTAAAAACGTGTAAAGCTTGGTAACAAATGTTTATAGTAATTTTGTTTTTTTTTATAGGGTTTTTTTGTTTTTTTCTGTTCTAAGGCAAATTAGTGGCAGAGTTTTGAGCAGCGATTAAATCGCATCGACTTAGGGTCTATTAAAAGTAAAGTATCTGTCCAAGGCACTCGACGACGACAACGCAGTGTGTGTGTGGTGTGTGTGTGTGAAAAGTTAAGAATATTTCTTAGGGTTAAGGCACGAACTATGTCGAAAAACAGGAACCGAAACGGTACAAAAGGCACTTGTCCGCCAAACTTAACGAATTTGTTTCAAAAACTCAACAAGAACTCAGGCACAAAACGGTTTCAGAACGCGACTTAGGATTGACTTTCTGTATCTTTCTGTTTCTGTTTCTGTTTCAGAACTGAACTGAACTGGCAAGTCCTGCCCGATCAGAGGCTAGGCCTAGAATGATGTGCTATGCCGGCGACACATCGTGAGCTTCTGATGTCAGCATCATTCATTCCACTAGTCGTAACCGTTGTGTGAATCGGCGACTCTATGGCGTCGTCCTGTCGCCGGATCAGCGCATGCTCCGCGGACAGGATGCCAGGATGCCAGGATGGCCAGGATGAGACGGGATGAGATGGCATGTGCCGGTTAGCCTTCTTTGCCTGGCTGCGCGAAAAGGATGTGAGTAGGTGGCTGGCTGCTGGGCGAGATCGTAAAAATTGCCTATCCTCCTTCGTCGCTCGGAAAAAGGGAGGGTTTGGGTTGCACAGTAACATTTTGGCTTTTTCACTTCGGTTTCTTGGTGTTCTATGTGCTGCTGTGTGCTGCTGGGAAATGGAAATCCACCACCAACTGGGAGCGCCCAATGGGTGGTAATGGACCACCAATGGCTGAACTTCGCTTTCGCCTTATGTACAACCGGAATTGTTTTTGCCATCGCCATTTACATGGCTAAAATTGTATAAATTAAACTTGGCTGAGTGTTTTTTTTTTAGCCCGGCAAACCAAATGAATAATAGTTAAAGAAGAACGTTATTCCGGGAAATCGGCCAGCTGGAGATCCCTGTTTTTTTTTTAGAATTTCTCTTTAATTAATCTGATTTATTTTGATTAATTGCAAGCGAATGAGTTAAGTAATTTTGGCTCGGGACAGTATGCAACAATCTTTAAGTTACAAATGAGGGAGGTCGCTATCTTGAGGCCAAAATCTCCACCCACCACTCCCACTTATCTGTGCAATCGCTGTCGACATAAAAGCGAAGGAAGAACAGAAAAAAATAAGCTCAACTGGCGCGACATTCTGGCGCCAAAGCCACCATTTTGTCTGGCCATATAAGTGAGTATGTGCCTCGTCCTGGAACGCGTGTGGCTGCGTAGGAGTCCTGTGGTGGCCGCCAAGGAATCTGCACGGTTTTCACTTGTCTTCGGACACGTTTACTCCTTCGCAGCCATGTTTTCCCTCTGATTGCTTTGCCTCCTCCCCTGAATTCTCCTCCACTTCCTCCCTTTCGGAAAGGATAACAAAATGCCATCGGGCTGCGCCAATGTGGAGCCTTTTTATGTAATTTGCACAGTTTTTATTTCTGTTTGTTAAGTGGAAAAATAGAATTCGACAAGATACGAGCAGAACCGTCTAAGACATAAAATAGAGTAATAAAGTTCAAGGAGGCCTTTTTCTTTTATTATAGGTAGAAGTTGATAGATCTCCTTGATTAATTGTGTTCTTCCAAGAAAAACAAATTCAAGAACTTGTCTTTTTTGATAAGAAGTTCATACAAGATGATCAATGACTTAAGCTCAAAAGACATTTATTGATTCTTTGATTGTCTTTCTTTTCACATTCCTTAAAAAGTATCTTTACTTTCGTCAATCGCAATTTTCTGTATTATATAATATCACTATGGACGGCAGTCCATGTAGTGACGAAGCGCACCAGGAGAGTGTGCGAAGGCGACTACAATATATACACGAAGAAATGAAAATCTACTGTGATGGTCCGATCATAATGAATAATACACCTATTGAAAGGTATTGCGAAAACTAACAGGATTGCATACCAAGACTTTAAGAAAATCATTTGGCTTGGGAGAGAGAGCGGTGAAAGTGAAAAAGTGAAAATTTCGAAATTTGGAGCTGTTGGGGCCGGTGGGGATAAATGCCCCCTCGCAGTGTTTTAGTTGTATTCCTTTTGAAAATACCCGTCGAATGAGGGGTCATTTGTCAAAATCCGACTCTCCGTTCAAAATTTATAGCCAAAATAAGATTTTCTTCTTCTTCCCAAAATGAAAATTTAATTCTGTTTGTCAGTTTGTCCACTTGTCCACTTGTCCGCTTGTCCACTTGTCCACTTGTCCAAAATATGTTTTTTAAGTTCTGAAAATTTGATATGACGTTCATCACATCGATATAAAAAACTTTTGTTCTACCACTTTTGGAAAAACCCGCTAGTGTAGCGGGAAAACAGCTATAAATAGCTAAAATTCGGAAAGCCGTAACTTCTATACTACTAAAGCTACAGACTTGTGCTGCATCTCGTTTGAAAGGTATTTTTAAATGCTATAAACACCTTTTATATGCAATTTGTGTAAATGTAATAGTTAAAAAGATATGAACAAAAGAAAATTTGTTTAAACTTTTTTTTAGCTTTTTTTAATTTTCTCAAAAACGGCTCTAACGATTTTCCTTACAACTTTAAACTGTATAGCCCTTGAGATTCCTTAAATTTCGGTATATATCATGTTTATGTAAAAAATCGCGTTTAAAAGTTATTCAGAAACGAAAATAGCCACTTTTGCCAGCTCAGAACAACTAACGCTCCCTGAGTATTGAATTTTGTGGGAGGGTATCCGAACTGTATTTTAGGGTCATGGAATCAGTAAATTTGCACTTAAGAGTTCCATATAGGAATCTTTTGTTCTACGACTTTTGGAAAAAGCCGCTACTTTAGCGGGAAAAAGCTAAAAATAGCTAAATTTCGTTAGTTTGTAAGTTCTACACTACTAAAGGTACAGACATGTGCTATACCTCGTTTAAAAGGTATTTTGAAATACTTCAACGCCTTTTTAACTTAATTTGTTAAAATACAATAGTTTAAAAATTATGATTGACCAATTTAAATTTAAATGTATATATTAGCTCCTATGAGAGCAAATGTAAACAAACAAAAACTTCTGATATCAAATAAAAACACCTTTTAACGAGGTAAAAAACTAGTGACGACCGCACCTTCAACATACAAAAGTTCTGATATCAACATTTGTGACGAAAAATTATTACACTCGTCATCAAATAGACTTTCTAATCTTTTCTCATTCGTCACGCTGCAATAGAAAATGCCTGTAAGGGGAAAAAGGCTGGAATAGTTTGCTAGGGCGGGCCGAATGAGAAAAGATTAGAAAGTCTATTTGATGACGAGTGTAATAATTTTTCGTCACAAATGTTGATATCAGAACTTTTGTATGTTGAAGGTGCGGTCGTCACTAGTTTTTTACCTCGTTAAAAGGTGTTTTTATTTGATAATATTATATAATAATTATATAATAATTCAGAAAGTTAATGTAACTGTCACATTCCAACGATAATTAAAACATTTTTGTCAGAATAGAAAGTAGTCACCTAGCACTTCCCAATCTTAAAACTAATTATTTGCTTATGCAAATACTTGTTGACACCTTCACTTACCTCAATTCGTTGTTAGCCGCTTATCTTCAGCTAATGTTGGGTTCGATTTAGTTTCAGTTGTTAAGCAGATAGTGTAGAAATATGTTTAACGAAAGTTGTTTGCTGTGTGTGCGCCCGTGTGTTTGTGTGTGTAAGTGCTGGCAGTGTTAAGTGTAGTCGTTGTTGTTGCGTTGTTGGTTTCTTCGTTGCTTGTTGCGGTTGTCGTTTGTTTGATTTGTTTAGAAGATCTGCAAATAGAAGAGCAGAGCGAACGGTTAAAACTGCATTTGCAAACGTGGCGGTAGGAAAAACTCTAACTATCAAGATGCCACTGTGGCGACTTCAGCTACCAACAAAGCCCATAGCAATCCACTCCAAACTGCAGAAACGCACAAAGCATTTTTCCTGTTTTCATTTTCCATATTAGCACTGCTCGACCTCGGCGCCGATGGGTGGACGTGGATGAGTCTGTTAGGTGGGGCAAGTTGGAGAAGAAGAAGCCGATATAGCCGCACATATATGGGTAGATGTCGACATTGCGGTTAATGCCACCAAGGCAGCCGGAGCAAGAGCCGCCACCGATATGTGCGCACATAGAATACCATTCCAAGAATGCTGCACCAGACTTTTCCATTAGCGTTTGCACATCGCTAGCGACTTTTGTTTATAGCAACAAAAAATATCAATCAACACCCAAAAGCCCAAAAGAGTGCATCAATGTGGCAGATCGGCGGGATCGGGACTGGAGTCGGAAGAATCGGGTAGAGAGTTGTCAGCTGCAGCTGGCCAAGAATGCGGCTGCTGTGGTCTCCATTTCTGGCCATTAACCCTCTCTTAGCCAACTAAACAATTTAATTTTCTCTATGAAGAAATTATTAAATCTTGTAATTTTTGGACATTCAAAAGAAAAGGGAGTCAGAAATATAAATAAAAACAAAATATTTGAGTGCTGAATATTATTTTTGCTTTCGGTCTTGGAATTTTATGATTCGTGGATAGTGTATTCCAAAATACAAAATAAGAAAAAACTGATAAATACTCATCGTTCTACAAAGCTATCAGGGAATGAGTAACATGACGGCTTAAACTGGAAATGTATTACATTCTAAAGCAGATCAGAGTGTTTTCAAAACAATCCATTCGTTGTTAGTCATATTTTAAAAAGGAATATTTTTTAGATAGCCTCAAAGAAACAGTGGATCATAATTATGTGATTCAAAATTCTGAATACTTCAACAATAATTTGATACAAATGTTGTTTAATTCGAAACTATAGATAAATGTGCTTTGGGTGATGTTTTTTCGGTTACACTAACAGCCATCTCATTTAAGATTCTATAGAAAGTATTATTTGAATTTTCAACCAAAAGTCTCAAATGATAAATCTTATATTTTTAACGAGCCGTTTTAGAACCTGTTTTAAGGAACCTGACATAAGGAACTATAGTGTTAAGACAATCGGATTATTACAGGTGCAGGTCAGCCCGCGACTCATAGGCAAGATAAAAGCTTGGGGCGTGGGTGGCTCCCACTGATCTCCTGGCCCCCAACGAGCCTCACTCACCCTCTGCCACTCAATGAAAGCGAAAATGTAATTGTGGGCGTTGAACAAGTTTCTGTCGTAGTTTCTGTTTAGTAGGTCGACGGCTGATTGGGTTTATACATCGCTACGTAGTACGTTCATACATATATGTATCGCTCTTCGCGGAGCAATCAAAATTACAAAACGATAGCGTCACGTAGTTATAGCGAACACAATCTGAGACCTTGGCACGATTCTGCCATGCAGCCAGATGTCGGGCTAGGTGCTCAGGCACGTTCTACAAAGCCGAACCTCCGAGCTGCTGAAAGGGTTCCGAGTGGTTTATGGCCAAGACAGACAACATGGACACTGCAGATTAAGGGGAACTGTTGAATAGGTTTATTGACCCGAGAACGGGGAAATATGTGGATATTCAAGATAAAAATAAGGGGTACTCCTCTTGAAATACTCAGACACAACAAGTATTACTCTTTATAAAATAATAATCTGATAATATTTATGATTATAAATATCCCAAAATATACTTTTAATCTCATTTTCTAAACATTTTTCTCTCATTTCTTAATCCTACTAATGAATAAGTAAATCTTCATCATTGGATTAGGCTTTTAAATTAGCTGTCTGTCACCCCGAAAATTACTAATAACGTACACACATGAAGACAAATAAAATAATACATCATACATGCGGGCGGCGATGACTACACATGCAAGTGCTTAAATCAGCTTCCAATGCTATAAATCACATCACAACTCACAAAGAGAAAGGAGAATTTAAATAAACTGCCAAAGAAAATTCGACGTAAAATGTGTTGAAAAATGCGCCAGAAGAAAAAGTTCCCTCTACGATAAAAGCCAAACAGATTTTAATTAAACCAAAACAACAACCAGACCTCATACGCCATACTAGATGTGCCCAATCCTACATCCATTCTATATATATGGAACGCTATAAATACCGAGCATAAACGAGAACTTTCAAGGTAAACAAAGTATAATTTGGAGAGCAGACAAATCTCATAGATTTTCCATTCGATGCGTCCCAAAAAGAAAATCAATGAAAAGTTTTGAAACCGAAAGTGTGAAGAAAGGCAATCAACACGGATTCTACTTGCCCCCTGACCAAAATTGTGGCACGATATTCATGCAACACTGGAAATAGAACACTGCCACCTAAGCGAAGAGGCAACTGAGGTTCCCAAGAAGCCGGCAAACGAATCTTAAAATCACACAGTCCATTCTTCCCCAGGCGATCACCTATTATACAGATCTCTGATCCATCGCAAGAGTTCCCCTGCAGAGCTTTCACTGTACTTGGCTGGCGGCGATGATGATGCTGCTCTTGGCTCATTCATTTGCTTATTTTTTGCTCATTCCCTGAGTCATAGCTGAATTTATAGAAATTTCAATTTCGTTTTGTACTACAACGGGCTAGTTTGGAGGTCCAACAGATGGCCAGAGCGATCCCCACCGGCGACTCGCTTGATTATTAGCTGCGCTTGAGTAATGTAACAGCAGCATCAAACGACTCATGAAAAAGTTTTATTTCACTTTTCATGTCAGCGGAAATTGACGAGCGGTCAGCGAAAAAAGGTCGTTAGACAAATGTGTCACGATCCAGTGACAAGGTACTGAAAATGGCTTAATGAGTGCAATTACGCCAGTTTTAACATACTTTTCACACAGAATCATTTTACAATTGCTGTGGGTAAAAGCGGGTTAAACAAAAGATCATTCATAAATTCAGAATTCAATCAAACATTGGTGAATGAATAGGTAAAAGGTAAACCTTATAGATTAAAAACCGCAAAAAAAATATAAAAAATGATAAAAAAATTTCATGACAATGGCCGACATGATACACAATGCCCACATATGTAAAAGTAATAAAGTTTATTTGGCGATTTTGCACATTCAACTTGTTTTCGTTTACATTTTCAGCACTTATAAACAACAGTCACGTTCGAGCGTTTCCTTTTCTCAGCTTGGGTCATTCAACTTTACCTAAATTGATCGCCAATAAACACTTTTTGGGTAAAAATAATATTCTCCTTGAGCTTGAATTTATTTCGTACATTTCCCCAAAAAAAGAAAACTAGCTGGATAAAAAGCAAGCACTTCCAAACTCACAACAGGGGTCAACTGGGCAGATTTGACATACAGAGACTATATATGCACCTCTGATAACCCCTGACTGCGGTGGTAATTTGAGTAAACAAGACATCGTCGCCGGGGCAACTCCGCAATGAGCAATGAGCAATGTGGCCAACAATGGGGCTCAAATTTGTGTATCGCTATCAGCATCGCCAGCAACAACAATGGGCAGGCAATGATGATGGCAAAATCCAGATAAAAGATGCATTAAAAGTAACAAAATACACAAATAAACAAACGAACAAACGGCCGAAGGATGGCTGGAGATCCCTAGATGGATGGATGGTGGGTGGGTGGTTAAAGCAAACAAACAAATCAAATCGAATGAATCGACGACGACGACAAAAGTGACGTCAAAAGGGAAGGCTGCACGCAAGTGGGTGGCTTTGATGGGATCGGGTTGACTGAAAGGTCTCGATGGCCCTGTAATTTTCAATTATCATCAAGGTGGTGGCACATCATAATGTGGCCAAATTATGTCAACGGAGCGATAAGCATCAATGTTCTAATTACAATCCTTTATGAAGGAGCGTGCTTGTAATTAGCTCAGTTTATGATGCCCAAGCTTATCCATGAATAAAGGGATTTAGTACTCCGTTGTCAAGTGGAGTAAAGTGCAAATACACATTTTGTATACGTAAATAATTATATTTTTTAAGAGGTATGTGGGAATGAATCTGTAATTTCCTCTGATCCGCAGTATATTATTAGGTATTTCCTGAATAATCTAGTATTTCATGAAATATTTCGAAAGTATTTAATAGAAACCCAAAGAAAAGAAATTATATTTTCTTTCAATCTAATCTAAAACGGTTATGAAAATATTCCTATCTATAATTTTATGTAAACTGGCTTTAACTCTAGATTCATTTTAAAAGATTTCTTATAAATGCCTGTCAGCTCATTTATGGACTTTGGTGTATATTCCCCCTCAGAAATTTCACATTTCCTGCCAACTTGGATTGCCTTAGCTTCCTTCCTTCCTTTTCTCGGCGCATACGACACCATCAACATACGAAAGACATTGCCAAGCAATTTTATGATTGGATGCCAAGTTCCATTCCCATGCCACTGCCTGCCCACTTAAGAAGGAGCCCCTCCTTTGAGTCACCCTCTCTGGTGGCCACCTCCTGCTCCTCCCCGCCATTTTCAGCCCCTCATCCACAGCCGACATCGTCAATCGGAGACGGCAAAAAATTAGGCTCCCGCCAGTCGGGCTCCAATGGATTTTCGCACAAGTGAGTGCCAAAAGCGACAGTGCCACACAGCATATACACAAATTTATATGTGCGTGTATTTATATATAGCGATATAACAAATAGTCAGGGGCATCCCTGCGAGAGGGAGCTGGATTGCAGCTGGGTTGACTTTGAGGGGCAGCACTCGCACTCGCACTCGAATGCCAATGCATCCATAAGCCGAATGAGAAATGAATTTTTATTTTCACACTCACTCACTGACACTGGCGACACACAAAGCAGTTCCATTGATTAAAAGAGGCCCCCAATCCCCCGGCCAGAT